CAACTTACACGATCTCTCTCGCTAACCCGCGGTCATTCAGATATTTTCTAGCTTCGGTCTTCATTCTTCATGTCTCCATTACTTATCTACACACGTGCTGTGTTTAAAGGAATAGTCTGGCAAAAAAAATATCCAATTTACACAATTTCCCTTTTATTCCAGATGGAATTGATTGGCTAAGACAGGCTTGGTGTCTCAAGTTTGCTTCTTCAGTTTTTAGCGAAGTTTATTTAAGCCGATTAGCATCACACACTCGCCTCAAACTGTGTGGAGGTGTTCAGTATCTCTAATAGACTTGATTATGTGGTCTCTGACACTGTATAACTCACTGTTATCTATAAACATGGACTACACTGCAAAAAATAGTATCTTGTCAAGTGAAATTATCTTAATTCTAATCAATTTATGTAATATTTCTTATTTTGAGATGGTCGTGCACTTATTAGAAGATTATCAAGCTCATTTCTAGATATTTTTTATCTGTTTAATTTTATTTTAAGTAAACTTTGTCACTATACTGGCAGATAATTTAGCTGGTTTCAAGCACATTTCTTTAAAACAAGCACAATTATCTGTCAACATAGTGAGATATACTTAATAAAATAAAACAAGTAAAAATGCTCAGAAATTAAGTTAAATAATCTTATAATAAGCGTAAAACAATCTCAACATGAGAAATACAGGATATATTGACTAGATTTAAGATCATTTTACTTGACAGACACAATTTCTTTATTGTAAATTACATTAGCATAGCAAAACACAGTAGTAGCAACCACCTTTAAGCCTGAATCATTTCCAAATTCTGTCTAATATGCAGTTTGCACAACAAAAAATTTACATCTGAGTGTCATTTTTCACAAACACACAATAAGAACATGACTTGAAATGTATAACTCACTGTATAACTCACTATAACTCACTATGTTGATGGGATTTTTACCAGTGTTCTCTAAAGCTTGTAACTGTAGCTGTGACAGAACACATTTGTGGGACCAGTTATTTGTGTAAATGTGACTTTTCTTTGTCAAACTATTCCTTTAACTCCTTTTAGGCAACTGTCAGTAAGAGGTAGAACTGTTCTGTGATGAAAACTTTAAAATATACACAATATTTAGAACCCCAAATGTAAAGAGAACATGGGTGAAAGAGTTTCAGTACTGAATGTGTGTAATCTGGAAACTAAGAGGCTGTAAACATTAGTTTGGACCCATACTGTTCCAATCTGTGATGAGGATTCACCTAATAATGAAGATTCAAACTGCTATTTAAACAAATTTAAAAGTCTATCACATCACTGTATCATCAATATAAAAATGTGGACTGCAATATTCACTGCAGGCCAAAAGTGTGGAAGCAACACTAACTTTGTACAAATAAACATGAATTTTCAATTTAGTGTTCAACTAAATTTCACACTGACAAGCAAAGATTTAATGCAAGTTCACCTGCCAATAAATTAGTGTCATGTGAACTTCAATAAATGATGATAATAATAATCATAATAATGATGATAATAATAATATACTACTTTACTTGAAATGAACTAGTATAATAATAATACACTAGTTCATTTAAAGTGAAATATAATCTCACTGTTTTTTTATCCAGACAAATTTAATCCAGATATCAAAATTCTTACAAATATATTGTAAGCACCTTCCCACAGTGTTATTACATGCCATTTTAGAACCTGATATGAGCAAACATTAAAAAAAAAAATTAGAACTAAGAAACTTCGGAGCACTATTTTAAAATTTTACTGAGTTGGATGAATTTTAAATTAGCACTGCAAATCAATGCACTGCAAAACATCTTTGGTTAAACTAGATGTGGTGTTGATTGCCAAATTGACTTAAAATTTTAGATATGGACAGTAATAGGTTATTATTTCCTTTTGTCTACGCATTTTCCGTGCAGAAATGCAGTATTGCGATCACCCGGCACTACTGATTTTTAATAAAACAATAGAAAATTCCTTGTGAATTGTGAACAAAAAGTAGCAAAATTAATATAGAATTAAAGTAAATTGTATATTTAAATTAACTACAAAATTTGACTAAACTAAACAGAACAAGTTATGTGGTATTTTTTGTGGTATGGTACCAAAATTAGTTGGACATGAATGAGTAATTGTAATTTTGCAAAACATTATTGGCTTCTATCCTTTTGGCCTGCAGCATGAAAGTGATCTTCTTACTTACATCAATAACATATGATGAGATGCAGTATTTGGGGAATATTACAATTTACAACTGGAATTCTTTGAGCATTTGTAGAAAAAGTGAGGACGATCACGAGCAGAAACAACCAGAGCTGTGCTTTTTTCACACTAACACATTAAACAGTAGCCTCATAACAAACCGATCAAATACTCCAATTTAGCTCACTCAGCATCATCAGGTATTACGAAGAGGATGGAAGGTGTTTTGGTGTTTTTTGTATTTAGATACTTTGAGCAAAGTGACTTCTTTACTTTTAAATGTATAAGAGAGTGTTTAAAAAAATACATAAATATATGGTTTATGAATTAGTGGAGCTTGAATTACTCTCCTGCTTAATGTAGTCCAGCCACTTTTCCGTAGCACGACTGGTTCAACGCCCGTTTTAAAGCGACAGTTTGGTGAAAAATCCGAATGTGCCCCTCCCTCTAACCCCACCCCTTTTACCCCCTTGACCCCAAATGTAAACGATCAGCTAAGACATGTTTGGTGTCCAAAGTTTGCTTCTTTAGTTTTGCACCGGAGCTCAGAGGCGAATGTTGCTGGCAGGTAACTGAAGCTTATACTCCACCAATTAGCATGGTGCTAACTGCAAAATTCAAAGCAGATTTCAGACATCAAACATGCCTCGACCTACTGACCAAATTTTGGGGAATTCTGTAAATTGGATTTTTTGCAAAACTTCCTTTAAGGAAAGCTTAAAAAACCAAACCCTCGACTGCCGTTATTCTCACAGAGTGGAGTGCGAATAAGCTCTGCGTGAGATTTCTGATGGTTTTCTTCTCTCTTACTGTGAGTCCTCCTTCCCAGCTGTGCGTATGAATGGTTTTAAAGATTATAGATTATTATAACCTGAGACTGGAAGGAAAATTCACGGGCTTTCTTTGGACGAAGGCTCACTCGAATTATCGCTGCTTGTGTCGACCCTTTTTAAATAGAGATTATTTTACAATAGAGTGCGACAGCAAAAAAAAAAAAGCACAGTATTTTTAATGATTTATATAGAATTATATGGAATTTTATAAAGCTATTTGACTGAAAAAGGTCACCTAAAGTGTGGTTTGCCAAATAAATGAAATAAGTACATTTAATAGATTCCTGATATAGCAATATTTATACTTGGTTCTTCTTGGTTGTGATTTTCAATAACCTAATCATACATCCTAAACCCTGTGATTTACAAAAAAACTTTATTATAATTACCAGAAACAGCACACAGATTTAAAGGTTGTTCTACATCTGAAATGTATTTACTGTTGGAGAATTATAATGGCAGAGTTTCTGTAAAATGTGTGTATATCTGACCAAATCGTCACGAGGTGTAAATGTATACATGATTTTTCAGGCCACTTACTAGAAATTGGTCTGAACACACTTTTACGGTATATTATATATTAAAGCTATTTAAAATTTTAAAAAAGAACTATGTGAAGAGTTTATGGAGCAACATATCACTAAGCTAATTTCTGTGTGGAAATGTAGATCTAAGTAGTAGTCGAAGTTAAAAGACATGCTGAATTTCACCACTGTGTGGATCAGGCCCCGTCACCATCCCACTGCCCGCTTCTAGCTACTTTTTTTTTTTTCAACCATTTTTACTTTTCTTTTGTATTCATTATAGATATGAAGCCTTTTCACTCTATTTTGTGTAGATCCTGTGTTCATGTTATCTATGTTGCTGTAATTTTGTGCTATCCAAATCCTTATTTAGAATTTAATGAATTATTAAAACTGAAAAAGAGAAGTTCCTGTAACTGCACTCTTTCCCCAAAAAATCCTCAATAATTCTTGTATGGCAACCAAAACTGACTGTAAGAAATAAATATAACATTATGACTGACCACTGATGTGAGTTTTCACTGATCCTAAACTGCCCTCTGCTGGTCACTATTATGGCTGCACACTGGGGTAAGAAATATTACAGTACCATTCAAGATGTAATTCTCATGCAAGAACGACAAGAATATTTACTGTTAAACCAAATAAGCACAGATTTTTTTTTTCTTTCTTTTTAATTTTCTTTTCCTTTTAGGGAAAGCTGATCTTGGTCTTCTGCTTTGGGACGTTTTATAAAGGTCATCCCCTCGGTCACTATTATGCATCAGGTGTGTCACAAAACTGGAAAAGTTTTAAATAATTTAATAATTTAATTATTAATAGTTTTAAAAGACAAAATTAAAATAGAAATAGATCTTAAAAAGTATAAATTCAAAAACAATTATAAATGGGCAAAAAATGTAAAAAAATAAAGCAATTTCTGATTTGATGTACATTCCTTTCTGTGAATTGCTTATTACAGATTATGAATTTTCTAGTTTAAAATGTCAAGGCATTTAAAATGATTGTGAAAAATTACGTCACTTTCTGAGTAGATGACAAATATCAGCAATATTAAAGAACAATGACTAACAAAGAGAGCATAATTAGTCCTGGTTAAGTGGATATTCAGTACTGCAGTCCAGAAAATATTGAACAAAAATCAATTTATTCAGCTTTTAATGGTATTTCTTTTATAATGGTTCTTTTTCCCTGTTCCAACTTATCAAATCCAAATTACACATATATAGGCTTAGGTGGTATGGCAATCATATATTAATACATAAAAACAAAATGTCAGCTGAAAATTCATGATAATTTGTACCAGAATCACACATTTTTATATATATATATATATATAAAAAAATGTGTGTGTGTGTGTGTGTACATGCATACAAGATTACAGAGACTATTTCCTTTTTTCTGTCCGTTTTCAGAGCTCAAAAAAAGGCAAAACTTCCAAACTGTTCAACTATGGTGTTTTTATTAATTGAAATTCCATTTCTTACAAACAAGCACGTAATGAGATTTAAGCCAGCAAAATACAGATAAAAATAAAAAGATCTGAAAAGGACACTTTTATAAAACCCCCAACCCAAAAGGATGTTGTGATTAGCCGTTGCTACACCTTAAGATGCATCACTAACTGAATTAGCGTCCCACCGCACCAGAACGGAATTGTTGCTAGATAAAATTAAGCTATGTATCATATTAAGCTAATATCAAAATCAATAGTGCTCGCAGTTACAGCATCCCAGCACACTCAGACGTAAAAGCCTCCTCACGTTACATTGTGTTGGTCAAGATGAAAACGTTACAGTGGCCCCGAGTACAATACACTACAACACACAGTGAGCACACGGACACAGACCAGGACGAACGACGACACTGCATGCCCAGGACATACAAACAAACTTCACCTAGACTTTGACGCCACCTGCGATTCCGCTTCTCAAAATCCATAATATATATTATCTGTCCGATCATAAAAAACATATTTCTTTGTTTATACACATCCTGGAATATTGGGAAGGGCCTGCAAAGCTGGTTGCAGGTCAGTTGTCGCATGCCGCCAAGTAAAAAGGGTAACGTGGTCAGGAGGTGTCATTTCAGCATTTAGTGTTTTTTCTTGTCGATTTGTAGCTACAAACGAACACGCATTAGTGTTTTATTTTGATGCAAAATGCAAAAGCTGCTCAAAACAAGAAGCTTCAGAGCCACGGAGTGCTAACATGATGGAGATAATGGAAGCAAACGAGAAGTATGAGCTGCTTCATCCAACAAACCAACCAAACTCTACTGCATTAGCTCTCAAGCATGCAAAAACACTCGGATCTTTGGTGGTCCTACCGCATCTCTAAGGCCAGAAACATACTCAACACAAGTACGTGAACGCAAATGACTGTACCAACTCACCTGCGTTCCTACTGAAAGGGGGCGCTAGAGGAAGAATCAGAGAGGATCTACTGTCATTCCAACAGCCTCAAAAGCTAAACATGGGCAGTAGAGGAGAGTGAACTGCTTTAGCTCTTCTGCTGGAATGGAAAGATGATAATGTATCATATTTTTATGTTTATGTAAACCGTTTTTCTGTGAGACTCGACTGCTTGTCTGCTATGGCAGTTGTCCACTTGGACAGGCTTGGTTGTCGTTACAGCGCCCCCTGCTGTAATGCTCAGATAGCAGCTTGCGCTTGCGTCACGTTATGAAATGTGTCGTGACACATTTTTGGTCGCAACTATGCGTGAAACCCCATCAGCGCAGCTCGAAGCGTCTGCGTTCGCGTCCTTGCGTGAAGTATGTTTCGGGACTAAACGTCCCTCCATAACACAAGGCCAGTCAGGATCTCACAGTGACTGAAGGAGCAGCTCAATTAGAAATGCTAACACTGCTGAATGGAGGTCAATAGTCACCAATTAGCATGATGCAACTGATGTAAATGCTACTATTGCTAACATTGAACGAAACAGCAACAAATTATGCAGCGTTATGTTAGCATATCCGGTTGAGCTCCTCCTTTAACACCTTTATTAGGGAGGATGCAAAGTTAATACCTTCATAAAACAGAGAAAAATAGAAAACCCAAGCCCAGACTTCATGTACACTGTCGATAAATCACTTATGCCAATTGTGGACTAACTAAATGCTAATATGAACGAGGAGGAGAGGAGAAAAGGATGATTTCGGAGTAAATGAAGGAAGCTCATGCTTTCTTAGCAGGATTAGCGATACAGAAAGTTTCTCTCTCTGTTTGGGGGGAAAAAACCCACCAACTTTGAGCACATGGATGAGGAAAAAAAAGGAGAGGGATAGAATGAAAGAGCAGAGAGAGAGATTGAAAGACCTGAGAACGCCCAACACTTCAGAAGCACCGTGAAGGATGGAGGGAGCAGGAGAAAGGAGAGGAAAGAGAAGGGATGAAGACGGAAAACGATGTGCAAGAAAACCCCTCTCCTCCAGGGAGGTGGGTGTGGCCAGCAGAAAGGGGTGTGGCTTTTACTGTCGGACTTCAACGTAATTGGCCGGAAAGAGTCCGTACGCTCCCCTGCACACGCCTCTCCACCAGCCCTCGTCAATCATCTCGATGTTGGTGATGATGTCATCGGGATCAAAGGAAATCTCGTCGTCGCCAGCTACAAATATGAACACACTGACGTTAGTTTGTAGTAACATTTGGTATAAAATCTGAGTTTTACTGAAACATTTCCAATAAAAGGAATACACTATGGCCAAAAGTATGTGGACACGACTCCTAATTATTGAGTTCAGGTGTTTCAGACACACCCATTGCTAACAGGTGGATTAAATTAAGCACAAAGCCTTAGATCTTAATAGACAAACACTGGAAGTAGAGGGTCTCACTGAAGAGCTAGATCTGCCCCAGACAACTGCAAGTGCTGTTATTGTGAAATGGTATGTAGGAGCACCTTTAAGATGAACTGGAACTTCGACTGTGAGCCAGGCCCTCTCGTCCAGCATCGGTGTCTGACCTCACAAATGCTCTTTTGACTACATGGACACAAATTCCCACAGACACGCTCCAAAATCTTGGAAAGCTTCCCAGAACAGTGGAGGCTGTTACAGCAACTCCACACTAATGCCACTGGTTTTGGAATCTAATGTCCAACAAGCTCAGTTGTGATGGTCATGTGTCCACATACTTTTGGCCACATAGTGTACTTGGGGCTGCTCGATTATGGCAAAAATCATAAATCACGATTGTTTTGGTGAACATTGAGATCATGAGCATTTAACATGATTACTCACTGAGTTTGGAAACACCAATCATTTATTAAACTTAAAAAACTTGGATTAACAGCAGACTTTAAATATAATTCAACTGAAAAAAACATTTAAAAAAAAAAAGATAAATTATATTTGTGGTTAGGACGCTAACGCTAAGTGGAAGCTTAGTGCTCATATTTTCACTCAACAGAAAAATATCATTTTGTCAATTCTATACAGACTCTGTAAATCACTGCTGTCAGAAGAAAACCTCGTATCTCCAAAACTTTACAGGCGAAGGAAAAACATACTTTATTTTTAATGTAAATCAATGGAACCAGATATTTTTCCAAGTCTTTTTGGGTCGTTTCTTTTAGTCCATTCATCATGAAATTCACAAGCAATGTAAAGGGTAACGGGCCTTTTCAAGTTATGTCAAAAACTGAAAAACATCAAAAATGGAGAGACAAGGTTTTCTTCCGACAACAGCTAAATATAGATGTTTATGCGTTTGACCAGAATAATGCAGTAAGTACTTTCTCCAATAAGCTAAGCTAAACTAGCAAGCAAGACAGCTAATCAGCCAAATTAGATGTTTTAGAGAGGCATAAAATGACCACAAGACAATTAAATTGTTAATCTTAGTTATTATAACGGTTCCAGCGTCTCTCAAGCAGGTGAAAACACACCTGAAGTGTCTACATGTGTGATACTGTGTTCCTGTAAATTAGTTATTGAAGTTGAAATCAACTTATTAAAAACCAGCAAACGTGAAAAACATTCTGAAAAGCTACGAGTCAGCAAGCTTCTGATGGGCTGTATATTGAGAGTTTCTCTTCTACCTGCATGTTCAAGTGTTTATTTAGGATAAATTGGACTCACCAGCCTGGTAATCATACAGGGCCACAGCGGTCACCCCCAAATCCTCTCCATAGTCGTAGGACTGAGTGTCTGAAAAAAACAGACCAAACACAAAGTCACCGACGTGAATCACTGCTCTTATGAAACATCTAAAGCTAGCTGACTGCTTATGGTGCCCCCTTGTGGAAATTTTCAGCTTGCTAAATGTGACCGAGTGAGTTACAAGCCAGGTTCACAACATGCTTTGAAAAGCACCCCACTGACCAACATGATCCGGTTTCAGAAAAAGTGGACTATATTTAGTCCAATTCGAAAACTGTCTAATAACTATAAGAGAAACTGGTTTTACACAACATATACTTTACATGTATCATTTTGTCAAAAAATGTCTTAATAATCAAAGTACAATATTAAATGAAACTAATTATTCTATTAATTTAAGTCTTAATAATTCCACTTCATTTTAATAATTGATGAAAAACAAATACCAGTGAAACAGAAAAAACTGAAATCAGTTTTGTTAATTTTTACGGTTATATTAACTGTTTATTTATATTATGTATATTCATTCAATGGTATTATTATGATTACTATTTTTAGTAGAAGGTGGAGAAATATGACATCACGATATAAACAAAGCAGCAGTATTCAAAGCACTACCAAGTTAAGCTAATGCTAGAATAGGCAGCTCACAGACAGCAACTACGTGACTTCCAGATGAAAACCTGACTAATATTTTGAGGCAGAATTGTAAAAAGGGGGATTTTTTAGCAACTTTTGTTTTAAAACTTAATATAAATACACAGATCACTATCAGGCAACAACAATCAGGAGAAAAATAAAAAGGGGGGGGCAGTCTTACCCTGGGGGGCTTCTATCCCCCGAGTTACCCTCCGTATCTTTGGGTGTATATTATATATTTATCTGCCGTTTCTACTTCAACATGATGGATCTTCAAGGGTTCTTTAGTAAGTACAATGGTCCTATATAGAATCATGAACACTCAAAGAACCTTTTGCATGATTAAAGGGTTCTCTGCATGGTGAAATGGTTCTTCAGATTGATGGAGAATGTGCTGTAGATGGTTCTATATAGAACCAAAAAGGGTTGTGCTATTGATACAAGCTTGACATCGCAACAAGAGCAGAACCCTTTTTGGTGCTATATAGAACCCTTTTCAAAAAAGGTTCTATACAGAATCATTTACAGCACATTCTCCATCAATCTGAAGAACCTTTGCAGTGTGCAAAGAACGCTTTAATCATTAAGTTAACTCTGAGTGTTTATGGTTCTATATAGAATCATGAACACTCAAAGAACCCTTTGCATGCTTCTGTACAAAACCTTTTTTGAAAAGGGTTCTATACAGCACCAAAAAGGGTTCTGCTGTTGTTGCGATGTCAAACTTGTATCAATAGCAGAACCTTTTTTGGTTCTATTTAGAACTCTACAGCACATTCTCCATCAGTCTGAAGAACCATTTGACCTTGCAAAGAACCCTTTAATCGTTGAGCTAACTCTGAGTGTTTACGGTTCTATAAAGAACCATTTCCTTTTTTAAAGAACCCTTGAAGCACAATCGTTTTTAAGTGCATAAATATTCTATATGTCCTGAGATATTTAGGCTATGTATCCTATTTAAGTGTAAATGTTGAAAATAAATTAAATAAATAAAATAAAAATAAAATGCTCTACACTCTTCAACAGCAGAGCGGTGAGTGTGTGATCTGCTATCACGGAAGGAAAGGGCTGGATTTATTTACATTTAGAGCTTTTATCTGATAAAACATTGTTTGATGCTGTAACCGCTTTGTAAACAGGGACGTCCTGTACTGGAGCGACCGGGTCTAAAAGGAACCACCAAAAATAAATCTTAAAATTGTGTGCAATGTTAATGGACTGACTGCAGGAAGGTCAGTGCATGTGTGTGTTTTCATTCAAAATAATGTACAGACACACCGGTCAGGCATAACATTATGACCACCTCCTCGTTTCTACGCTCCTTGTCCATTTTATCAGCTCCACTTACTATATAGGTGCACTTCGTAGTTCTACAGTTACAGACTGTAGTCCATCTGTTTCTCTGATACTTTGTTAGCCCCCTTTTACCCTGTTCTCAGTGGTCAGGACCCCCATGGTTGTTGATCTTCTGAGTGTAAACAAGTGAACACATCCTCTACAGAGACACACTTCTGCACATTTTAATGCACAAGTACTGAGTGTGTTTATATCCACACCAATAATATGATCATTATTGGATTTCTGCAGTCGTCTGATTATTCAAACATTTGTACAAACAGCATATTCTGATTTCTAAAATCAGATCACATCTAGAACTTTGATCTGATAGAGGTGGGATTTGAGCTCACACTGTAAAACTCACTGCACATCTTAAATACTGCAGAAAGTTGGAGTAACTTAATCTAATAAATTCAAATTAACTCAAAAGTGAATTGTTGATTTGGTAACTCGACTACTAAAAAAAGTTTTTTCAGCATATTTTGAGTTGAGGTAACTTTACTTAAATGTATTATATTCACTATTAACTGCTGACTTTACATGCAAATACAAACAGGCCAATGATGGGTTGTTTTTAAAGACTGTTGAAAATTTATTGTGGCTTAAAGTGATAAACAGAATAAATGTTTACATTTGAATGATTTGGACTTTTGCGCTTTTTTCATAACTTTATTTAGATGATTTTCATCAAACGGGATCTTTGAGTTGAATAAACTTATTACAATGTAGTTTAGACTCTCAGCTTTACTTGATAAACATCTGGTCATTGAAACCTTCTTGAGTATAAACTCACATCATTCCTATTGGCTCTTATTATCATATATTTACATATTGGGCGTGTCTCTTCACCATCACAACAGCCTGATTCAGCAGTGACCTGCACGACTGACTGTTTTATTGGTTCCAAGTGTTCTATGTATGCTATTCTGTACATCGCTGCTGTCGGAAGAAAACCTTGTATCACCATTTCTAACGTTTTTCAGTTTTGGACAGTTTGAAAATGCCTGTTACTCTTTACATTGTGTGTAAATTTGATGATGAATGGACCAAAAGAAACGACCCAAAATTACTTGGAAAAAAGTCTGGTTCCATTGACTTACATTAAGAGTAGAGTATATTTTTTCCTTCTGTAAAGGTACCGTGTTGGAGATGCAAAGTTTTGTTCCAACAGCAGCGATATGTATATAATAAGCCAAAGACTCATTCCCACTATAATGTACAACAGAATGAATTTAATGTAATCTAAATGTAATCTGCCTCACATCCCCAGATTTCAGAAAAACTGACCATTAGGATTTGATTAATATTTTCAGAAAACAATCTCACTGTGGCCAAAAGAGAGTGTTAAAAATCTATGTGCATCTTGGGTGGGGTGGGATTGGGTGGGATTGCGTGGGGTGGGAGGGTTTGGGGGTTGTCTATTGTATTTTGAAAATTCTTAAATAAAAAGACCTTGATCCAAAAAAAAGAACCCATTTTTTTACAGCCTCTCCATCTTTAACACTAAGACCCCCATCCTGTATGTCCACGTGTACACAAAAACAGAACCCAAACCGTTGAACTGAAAACATTAGGCTAATCTGAGATGGTCAGTGAGGATGTGGTTGGCGGGTTTTCCTGGGCTGACCCCTAATCTATTAAAAAGGGTTTGTATTTATGTAGTGGTACCTGCAGCCTGGTACTGGCCGTCCTGCTCATGCTCCAGCACCTGGCTCTGGTTCTGATAAAGATCCTCCTGAACCGGTTCGTCGTAGGTGGGTTCTGCTGCTGGGGCCGAAACCGGTTCCACCTCATACACATTGTCTTCCTTCTCTTCTATCTCACTGTGGGCCTCCTTGTTTAAATACACAAAAAAACAGGAGAGAGGAGACATTATACACTGATAACGGCACAATTAATCAGTGCTGTAGATTACATTAAAAAACATGCATTTTTATTGGTGGCATGTAATTAAGATCACCAAAAAGTGCTCTATAATGCTATATAATGTTCATATGACCCAAACAATCACTCTGACAGACTGTAATACACTACAGGAAGTGTAGGGGGCGATATGGCTTCTACTGTTTCATTTAAAAAGCTCTATAATGTTCATATGATCCACTCAGTCACTCTGACAGACTGTAATACACTACAGGAAGCGTAGGGGGCGATATGGCTTCTACTGTTTCATTTAAAAGGCCTCTGTAATGTTCATATGATCCACACAGTCACTCTGACAGACTGTAATACACTACAGGAAGTGTAGGGGGCGATATGGCTTCTACTGTTTCATTTAAAAAGCTCTATAATGTTCATATGATCCACACAGTCATTCTGACAGACTGTAATACACTACAGGAAGCGTAGGGGGCGATACGGCTTCTACTGTTTCATTTAAAAGGCCTCTATAATGTTCATATGATCCACAAAGTCACTCTGACAGACTGTAATACACTACAGGAAGCGTAGGGGGCGATACGGCTTCTACTGTTTCATTTAAAAGGCCTCTATAATGTTCATATGATCCACACAGTCACTCTGACAGACTGTAATACACTACAGGAAGTGTAGGGGGCGATATGGCTTCTACTGTTTCATTTAAAAAGCTCTATAATGTTCATATGATCCACACAGTCACTCTGACAGACTGTAATACACTACAGGAAGTGTAGGGGGCGATATGGCTTCTACTGTTTCATTTAAAAGGCCTCTATAATGTTCATATGATCCACACAGTCACTCTGACAGACTGTAATACACTACAGCTTTCTTTAGGTAAACAACATGTCAACAATAAAAAATACATTAACATTTTCTACCCATAATCAATCATTACAGCCCCATTTCATATCAGTAGGTAAACAAACACACTATGAAAGAACAGTTGAAATGGTCCATGAGGTGAAGTGAACATGAGCTGAGGTCTGTGTGTTACATGACAAAACACTAGGGGGCACCAGAGTCACATACAGTAAGAGTGGATACCAAATCTCAGTCCAGGAGACTCAGTGTTCAGTACGTTTGCGTTTTCTCTGCTTTTATATACCAGATTTAACTCATGAAGCCCTTTGTGTGCTGAGTCACGTGGGTTAAGAGCAGGAACACGCTGAAACGTGCGGAGCGTGTGGTTCTACTGACCAGCTGACTCAGAGTAAAGACGTTCTGAGCTTACAGATAAACTGTGGACTTCATCTCTGTTGGAGCTGAAGTAGGTTTGTGATGAAAATGTAGCAGTGAAGTTTTAAAAGATAAACCAAAGAAAATGTTTACACACACTTAAACATGATGGTTCTTCAAGGGTTCTTTAGTGAAAAAAAAAGACCCAAAGAACCCTTTGCAGGATTAAAGGGTTCTTTGAGTCGTGAAAGTGTTCTTCAGCTTGATGGAGAATGTGCTGTAGATGGTTCTATATAGAACTTTTCTGGATAAAAAGTCTGACCGTAACAATAGAAGCCCTCTTTTTGGTGCTATATAGAACCATTTTCAAAAAGAACCATCTACAGCACATTCTCCATCAGTCTGAAGAACCCTTTCACGACTCAAAGAACCCTTTAACCATGCAAAGGGTTCTTTACATGTTCATGGTTCTATATAGAACCATTTCTTTACTAATGAACATTTGAAGAACCATTTTTTAAGAGTGCAATCAGAACAAAACTAAAATGACTAAATAAAAAAAATAAATAAATAAAAATAATAATAATAATAATAATAATAATAATATAAAAAAATTTAAAACAACTCAAATCACCACTGTGGGGAAAGCTGAGTGATATATTGGCCTCTCTCATTCTTTCTTTTGTAAAAGGATCTCAAAGCTGTATTTTGAACATGACTCTAGTGGCCCCGACACAGTATCTTGCAGCACAGGACTAATGTACAGTGTTGCTCGTGGGAGCGGGTGGGAAATCAGGCCCCTTCAGGCGGGAGCGGGCGGAAGCACACATACAGAGAAATCCCGCAAATTAATGAACAGCCTAAATAAAGTAGAACGATCACTGAATCAGATATGTAAACAATGTTCAGATAAACAGTTCAAATGAATAAAGTCATTCTTGAGGAACTGATCACATGAACGACCCGCAGATTCTCACAGACCTGGTTCAGAAATACTGCGTCTGCGTGGCGTGAGCTGCTTGTATGAAGCGGCAGGGTCCCAGACGCCGCACTGAGGCACCACTGTGTTTAGAGAACAGACCCGAGGCAGTTTTTTCTGTGCGTCACGCAGCTAAATACACTGAAATAAGCCATGAAAATCAAACCACCGTATAAAAACGGTAAAAGGCGACTTTTTACTATTATTTTTATTCATGACGAAATATTTATGACCATTAATCCGTCTGAACACAGGAATGTCTGTATGTCTGTATAACTTCCTCGCTGCTCTGCAGCTCAAACGCTATATGTATGAAAGGCCAGTGCGTCCGAGCTGTAGTGCTCGTGCTGCCGCATCACTCGCAATCAGGCGTTAGAGAGATGACGAAGCCTTCAGTCTGACGGCCACAGCTGCCCAGCAGAACACCAAAATAACCGCTCTGTGGTTTAATTCCTGCTGTGTTTAAATGGAAATAAATGGCATTTGGTGAAGTTACTTCACAGTGAGTCTGATAACATGACTGCTGTGTTAGAGGATAACGTGTTTGTGATTAGGCTGTCAGATATTGGATGTGCGCAGGACTGTGCGGGCGGGAGCAGGCCGAAGTGTTTCAGTTGCGGGCGATTTTCTGCGGGACCGGGCGGGAGCAGGACTGAAAAAACAGTCCGGCGCAGACCTCCACTCGAGAACAGCAGCTGGAAACTGATCCTCACGTGTGAAACTACGGTGGAAAAGTGAAGCAGCATGACTGAAAGATGCTTTCCAGCTTAAACAAGCGCCTGGTCGTTCATTCTGTCTGACAGGACTTTCATGGCACGAGTACAATCCCAGTAAAACACCATTTACGCCTGAATGACGTGAATCCTGAACATTATTAGTGAAGTCACACCAGCAGTGTGTTGGGCTTTGAACATGAAAAGAACCTCGAGCCTAAAAGTGAACATCATCATCATTATTAGGGTGAACAGTAGAGTTACCTCATACTCTGGAGCAGCGGTGGTGGTGGTGGTGGTGGTGGGGCTGGGCTGAGGGGAGGGAGTTCTAGCTTTGGCACTTTCCTAGAACCAAGCAGGAACACATGTAGACATGCAGGATGAAGATGGACACATGCATGGAGGAATGGAAGCACAGCTACTTTCAGCACTAGTCATGAGATAAGGACATTCGACTTTTGTCTTCTTGAGCACTGAAAGGTCCCGACTGAGCAGGATTTTCATTTCATTACCCACCTTTAGATTGTTGATCAGAGCTGGGAACTGAAAATTTCCTGGTACCAACAGTGATGCTCTGACTTTAATACTGATTCCTAAACTATCCATTTTTACCTTCAGAATTTAGCCAGCCAGCTCACTGACTCTGATCAGACGGACTACTCAGGTACTCAAAAAATGAGTGTAAATTTGGGCTCAATCCCATTTCACTCGCCCGTACCACTGAGCCCTACCCCTCTGTTTTGTGTGTTCATGTCTAAAGGTAGGGTGTCCCAATTCTTGTTGAGATAGAGGGGTAGGGTGAAGTGTTGGGGCTACATGGCCCTCCAAACGGAGGTTTTTCAGAGACTCCAAACAGAGAAAAAAGGAAAAACGGCAAGATGGAGAACAAGAGACCAAAGAAACACACAGATGTGAGAAATTTCTGTTAAAAAATACAAAAACCACTGTTTTATCTTAGTTTAATATCGTTTCAGTGTATTATGGTCATTTTTCTTCATAACAAGCACAAAAAAAATCGCTAATAGCATGCTAATGTCTCGGTAGCTAGCTAGCTAACTTTCCCGTTCCACCTTAAATAGTCCAGCAGTTCTGATACCTGAAGCGGCAGAAGGTAACTGTCGCACCATTTAAGGTGGAACGGGAAAATTCGAACAAGACGCCGGTGAATATCTGACTTCAGCTTCATATCACTGAAGAATTAGGGGTGGGTGATAATAAATAATTGCCCCCCTCTTTGAAGATCATATGATTCCCTAAATGTAACTAAAGCCCAGCAGTGAGGAGCTGAACTTTACCCTCCTCTGCTGTCACTGCAGACTGGCAGGGTCGCCTACAGAGCAGCGCTGGTAGCTGTTAATGAAGTGATGCTCTTTTTATTTGAGGGTCTCATTTCAGAGGGAAGATCTCAACCACTACCCTGTAACTCAGTTCCAAAGGGCGACACTCAAAAACAAGGGGTAGCGCTAAAAAGAAGAAATGGGACTGGGCCTTCGTATTGAATGAGATGAATGGGATGGAAGTTTTCAATGTTCAGCAGTGCTGAAGTACTTCGGTCAGCACCATTAAAAGTACTGAATGTCGATACTCAGCCCTGAGCCTGACTTTTACTTTTACCAAATTCTTAAGGCATATCTACTAAAGGCCTGCTCTGTGATCAGTGACCTTAGTATGATGATCTCAGAGTGAAAGCCTGGAGTCGGATTCTCAAAGCTTCAGGGCGGTTATCGCTATCGGTCACGTGTAAACAATAGAAAGGTCTTATGCTTATTTGATGTTACTGTATTTTATGGCATTTAAATTCATAGACTAAATAAAAAGTGGTGGGAACTTCTGTGGGATACAGTTAAATCTAAACGATCAGGCAAGTGTAATGAACAACGTTTTTGTATTATATTCAAATTGTATGATGACAATTTAAGTCTCCTAAGGGCCACATGAACTCATACTATATAAACTCTAATATTAAGGTCTATATTTCACTGCTGTTGAAAGAAAATCTTGTATCTCAGTTTTTGACATTTTTCAGTTTAATATTTGAAAATGCCTGCTGCCCTTCATATTGTGTGTACATTTCATGATGAGTGGACTAAAAAAAACGACCCAAAATGACTTGGGAAAAACTTCTGGTTCCATTGACTTACATTAAAAGTAAAGTAGGTTTTTTCCTTCTCCTGTAAAGTTACCATTTAGGAGATACGAGGATTTCTTCCAACAACAGTGATATATATATATATGAGAGAGAGAGAGAGAGAGAGAGAGAGAAAGAGAGACAGAGAGAGAGAGAGAGAGAGAGAGAGAGACACACAATGTCCTAGTGGGTTATGACTGACTCAAGTGCTCTGAGCATCCAGCCTCTGGTCTCTAAAAAAAAAGGCCAAGTAATGGTGACCAATCAATTTGGATGTAATGTAGAAAAACATTTTACAAAATATGACTGCATGACAAAGTGAATGTACATGTAAAGTAACTGAACCACTGTCAATGATTAAAATTAAGCACGTGGGTGCAGCCTATCAGAGTAAAGTGGGTGGATGATGGGTGGGGCTTATGTATGGACACACCCACTCTTAAAGCATGGCTTTTCTTTTCCCCCTGAAGAACTTATAAACACTATGGGTTGTAATTTTGGGGTTTATTTTAAGTGTAACTGAGCCAAAGCAATCTGTGTAGAATAGAAGACAAGAGCTCTGTAGAATTTTGTGTTTTGAATATGAATATGTGCATCATTACAGCCGTACCTGTCAGATACACGTGTGAAGTAAACGTACATAGCGTTAGACACCCAGTGTGTATTCTGAACTGCTGAACGCAGTTTCTCCACTCAAACGCACCTCTACCTTCCTGCGCGCTTCCTCCTGCTCCTGTAGCTCCTTGGCCTGCCGTCTGGCTCGCTCTTCCTCCGCCCGTTTCCTGTCCTCCTCCTCTTTCTGCTTCGCCAGGTTTTCAAAACGAGCCTTAATGTTGCCTGTTCCGCTGCCGGCTGCGCACAAACACACCGTCACATTCCTCACATTTAAATCTCTCAGATTATGAGTCAGAATATGAATATTGTTACTGTTTTTCAGTTGTTTGCATATTTTTGAAACTCCAGTGACTCTTTACACTGTGTTGAAATAACATGACAAACAGAAATGGTCCAAAAAGACTTGTTTCATTAACGTCCACTACACTTAAGGAAAGTTTTTTCTTCCTCTGTAAAGTTAAAGTTTCAGAGATATGAGGTTTTATTTTAACAGCAACAATATTTTGCCTGTTGAAAGTTTGGGAAAATTAAACTAACAACTTCCCCATAACCTACTGATAACTATTTAATTATTTATTTATTATCTGCACTGTTATGCGAGAGATGTTTCGTATCAAGCTGTTTGAGTTCCTTCCTCTTAGAAAGGCTGTGGTCTTCTCTGCTCGGCTCTCTCTGTAGGAGCTGAAAAGCAGCAGCAATCAGTTTTAAAAGCGCTCTCGTCTCCTCGGCGCAGCTCTGCGTCCCTCAGAGGCGCATTAGGGAAAACGGTGACTTGACAATATATTTATGCGTATATATAGTATATATTTCTAATATGTAGGAGATACACCGGTCAGGCATAACATTCTGACCACCTCCTTGTTTCTACGCTCATTGTCCATTTGATCAGCTCCACTTACTATATAGGTGCACTTTGTAGTTCTACAGTTACAGACTGTAGTCCATCTGTTTCTCTGCATACTTTGTTAGCCCCCTTTTACCCTGTTCTTCAGTGGTCAGGACCCCCATGGACCCTCACAGAGCAGGTACTATTTGGGTGGTGGATCATTCTCAGTGCTGCAGTAACACTGATGTGGTGGTGTGTTAGTGTGTGCTGCGCTGGTCTGAGTGGATCAGACACAGCAGTGCTGCTGGAGCTGAGACTGTAGAACTACAAAGTGCACCTATATAGTAAGTGGAGCTGAGCTGAGCTTCTATAGCCTATTTCTATACACTAGGGGTTCCCAACCTTCAGCCATCTAACCAATCAGATCATTTTTCTGCCCAAGAAGAAGCTGATTTGGCAGCTACTGAGTGCTGGACGTCAGGCTGAAGAGAGGACAGCTGCAGATGGAGATCAGCTCAATTTGACAGGTTTAGGTTTGACATTCATTCTCTTTAGTCTCTGAATGACTCTGTAAGTTGGGTTTCAAAGCTTCATCTCAAAAAGACCTCTGAGCAAACAGCACAGAGCAGAGTTCTCCTGCACCCGTGAAGCCCAACCCTGCTACACGCTGCTGTATTTTCTTCGCTCCGGTTATGCTGCTATTATGCCAGAACAATGAGCTTCGTATGAATATAATGTTTTTTTTCGCAAATTATTAACAACATTTTTTGTTCACAAATAATCAGCTATATTTAAAATTAGGTTTGGTTGAAAGGTGATGGCCAACAGCCTCTTCGAAGTACCACCCAGGCCTACAGGTCGAAAATCACTGGCCTACACTGACTTTTTGGAGTGTTAAAGTGTTAAAACATTCTTCTGCGCAAAAAAAAGACCCTGTAAAGGTTGAGTTCATCATTAAGCAGCTCTGTGCAGACGCTTTGTGTTTGTTTATCTTCAGCACTCGGCTGAAATATCTTCCTTGATGTGATGAGCAGCTTTCGACAGTTTCTTTCTCCAAACTATTGTTAAAAAGTCATACTGGAACTCTTCTGGTCCAAAGAAAAGTGTTAAGCGCTGACATCACAACAAAAGGAGAAAGTGGGCGTGGCCTTTGGCTTTATTTCTAAATATTCCTAAAAAGGTAGCACCAATGTTGCCACAAATATTAACACAATATTTGTGATATTGTTTTCATGGCTGTATGATGAGTTGATTGAAACAGACTAAGAAGCCTTTATGCAACCTCTTCAACTCCTTGAGACCACCGGTGGTTCCAAAACGCACTTCGTCATATTCTTCATAACTTTCATATTTCATAAGCTACATTCTAAAGGTGGGGGTCGTATGAGAGCTGTAACTGTCTTCTCTCCAGTCAAATAGATGGGTGATGTAATTTTAAACCCTTATAATAAAAGAAGCTGAACTCACAATTTTTTTTTCTACTGAAAGTCGACCCATTTTTCCACAAATCTGGGCTATAAACTATAAACAGATGGCGTCTCTTCAGTGATCTGCTCTGTAAAGATTATTTTTATAAAATAATACAAAGAGCGTCTAAGATTTTTGGCTTTCAGCAGTAAACTGTAAGCATATAGCAATATGTGTATCATAAAACACATGTTCTGTTAATTTGAGGGGAAAAGTTCTTGCCTGCTTCCACGGGTCTGGTTTTCTGGTACGCAGTGCTGGGCTTCTCCACTTCCTCAAACGTTCCTGCACTCTGAGTAAAGGAAGGTAAACAACTGTTATAAATGCAGCTTTATTCTCTTCAGAAAGTCAACAAGTAATGGAAGCTTATATGCCAACAATTAGCCTGGTGCTAACTGCATGCCTAAATCATCACTCGCTCGCCTCGAAGCGTGTTGGTCATCGAGATGGTCAGTCATCTCTAATGGACTTTATTACGTGGATTCAGAAAAATATATTCTTTAATCAGTATGTTATCTACACAAATCAGCACGGTTTGAGGTGAGTGAGCGATGATTTAGACATGCAGTTAATGCTTCCATTATCTGTTAGCTACATTAGCCTCTAGTGCTAAAACTGAAGAAGCAAACTTCAGACACCAAACATGTCTTCAACGACTACATTTGAGTCAAAGCCGGGGTTAAACTACACGACTTTTACCCTGATTTTAGCCCCGATTCTCAGTCTGAGCTGGTCGGCTCTAGTCTGCAGATGTTTGGTCAGTCGGAGTCGACAGTTGGAGAGAGTCGAGTCGTGTTTGAGGGGCGCAGACTCAGATTTACTGCCTCCCAATCCCGTTTTAGAGCAGTCTGAGTTTATTAAACGACTGATTATTTTGACCCGACTGAGTGTAATCTAGCGTAAACGGATCAACGACTCAATCTGAACGGATTCCTGCAACAACCAATGAAAACTGAGAGCACGAAAGAAGAAAATACAGAAATTAAACAAAGAAAACCTGTGAAAAGTCTCTCACGTGCAGAACAAAGCTTTTTAATGAGCTGAGTTTAAGGCAGAATTGAGTTTATGTACATTTAAAACTAAAAATACCAAACTGATCACATTTTTAAAATCAATGACCCTCATTTAAACATGTTTACCTACTGCTTCTTTACTGCGACAGTGCAGAGAGAACAGCAGCAGCCACTACACGTTTGTTTATTTGCATCTCCTAATAAAAGGATAACGCGAGAGTTCAGTGAGTAAATGTTGAGTAGCGTGTGATCCCCAATATATTAGTCGCCCAAAAATCAGCAGAAACCAGTCTGACAGTGTGAGACGCCCAGTCTTTAATAATCTGTTAAGACTTTAAAAGTCGTGTAGTGAACTAAAGGCTTAAGGGGGGAAAAATTAAAAAAAGAGAGCCGCAATTTATTTAATTCATTTTCCATCCTCTCTTCATGCATCAGAATTAAACAGGCTGTTTTTATTACTGTGCCTTTAAGACACATATGTAAATGAGCTCTGTCCTGATTGGCTGCCCTGTATTGTGCCTCATTCAGAAATCTGTCCGTGCTCAACCGCTCCTTATACCTTCAGAGTGAGTGGGAGGGGCTAAACTGTGACTGGACAGGTGGATATACGCAAGTGTACTGGTTTTTGTGACATCACAAAAACAATGGGTTGTTTTCACAGCTTGGTTTCCATATATGGACTGTATGAACTGGACAGCGATACGTTTTTAAACTGGAACACTGTCCGCACAGTAAATCAAGCTTTTTTTTTTCATGTGATGAGCCCTTTAAGTGTTGACCACAGCCTACCTTGTCCATTCTGTCCTTCTGCACTCCGTACTTTCCTCCAAACCCTTTGGAGTAATCTGGAAAAAGAGAGAAAAACAGTGAGCTTCAGCGAACTGGACACGAAAGCGTTCTTCTGAGGAAACAGAAGCTGGGGGGCGATGCTGAGAGCAGCTCATGCAAACCTGTAAAAGAAAGAAAGCCAAACACAAACGAACAGAGGAGGCACAGAAGGAGAGAACATCATTCTCAGCAGCCGCGCATCGGCCAGCCAGCCAACTCCGGGCTGAGGCAGGTCAGCAACAGTCAAACTGGACTAAGCTCTGCGCCGGACGGTGTGTTTATGTGACAAAGCGTGAGAGGGATTGTGGGTAGTTGGCTGAAGGGGTCATGCATAACAGCTGCCTTCAACAGGCCTGAAAGCTGACGGGTGCTGCCAGGAGGGGGGGGTGGAAGTGTTGGGGGTGTTGGTGGGCAGGGGGTATCATAGCAAAAAAATAAAATAGATAAATAATAATAATAATAATTAAAGATATTTCAATTAAAAGAAGGAGGGGGAGAACAGTGGTCCGCAATATCAATATTAACTTATTAATTTACTACAAACTCAAATGAGCCCTCGTCTGTCAGGAAAACGTTCATTAAACAGGACTGTCACGATTACTCAGTGGTCAAATTACACTGCTCAACTGATTTCCAAGTAAAAATAAGTGAACACATCCTCTACATGTGATAGTTTCTAGTACGTTAGACTCAGCAGATAAACAGAAAATATAATAGAAACAAAAAATGTAATAAGCCTGATGTGGCAGAGTCGGCGCCACAGCTCGAACGCGCCGGTCTTTCATACATACAGCGTTTGTGCTGCAGAGCAGTGGGAAAGTTAAACAGACATTCCTGTTTCCAAACGGATAAATGGTCACATCAGTCACTCTGATCAACAAAAATGTCATTTATGAAAATGCACGATATGTTTGTTTATCCTCAACAGCATTCTGACTTGTGATTAGGCAAAAGTTTCAGGCCTGTAGACCAACCGGGAAAATCTGTCTGCAGCACAGAATGTTTAACTAGTCTAATTTTAGTACCTGTGCAGCATGACACGCAGCACATGGGGGAGGGGGAAAATAATAATAAATCAGCTGTTCTCTAAATACCGCGCCACCTCAGTGCGGCGTCTGGGACGCTTCGCACACGCAGCCTGTGTGAAAGCACTGACCAGGCCTTAGGCTATGTTTACACAGCAGGTAAAAGTGGCCAAAATCTGATCTTTTTCTTCATTTGTGGCAGATGTGTGTCTGTGTGTCACTGTGAACAGATAAACACACTGAATCTGACATTTTCAATTCCAATTTGAAACGCTTTAATATGTGGTACTGAAATCTGATACACATCTGATATGTGGCAACGCGAACAGATCGGAATTCATGAGACTTTTACGTCAATCCAATTCGACACTCAATATAATTTCGCGCTGCTGAGACTCAAACATCTGGGCTGATGTTTAAACAAAACTTGACACTTAGCCAAACCGATCCATGTTCAAAGAGATTTAGAAAGGAATGGCCGAACGCTACCGGAGGAGAACGAGGCTGCAGCACCAAAGAAAAGCTAAAAGTCTGAAAGCAAAGTTTAAGGAAAGCGAGGACGTGAACCAAAGAAGCGGCCGTGGCTGAATAACGTGGCCTTTTCACAGCGAGCTCGAGCGCATTCTGGGTGATGAGTCCAGCTGCCGGTCATCAGAACTTCCTATCAGCTCCTGTGATGCTGTGAAGATGAAGCTGAACCTCCGGGAGCGGCTGATGCTGCTGACTCCATTTTGATCGTTTACATCTGGATGAGCCGCGTGAAGCTCTGTTCTTTAGCGCATGTGGGTCAGTTTAGGAGCTGACCTGTTCAGACTGACGTCTCATACAGATCACATTTAAAAGATATTGTGAACAACGAATTGGATTTGGTGAGAAAATCAGATTTGGGCCTCTTTTTCCAAATAACGTTGCATTTCGAATGTTCATAATGGTCATTCGCGAATATTAGCTGGCAATTTTATACATAAACATTAGCGTTTTTATAAACACTAGCATTATTATATATTATTATTATTATTAGCCTTTATTTAAAACATTAACTTAATATTTCTTTGAATGTAATTTGTGTGTAATATATAAAACTAACTGTAATAATAAAATCTAACAATTGTATTTAGACCAAATTCTGTGGACATAATAAGTATAGGCACATATTTGCGGACCACTGGAACAGAAGGAAGACCAAAAGCGTAAAATTAAACTGGGAAGATTTTCAGCAGCATCCAGACCAGCACAGGCCAGTTTATCTTTGATTTAATCATATTTAAAGGATTATGACAAAGTTAGACAGTGTCAGCTTGTATGACCCCGAGTTATTGTTCTCACAATTCAGGACAGCCAATCAGAACAGAGCTCATTTGCATGTGTCAGTCCTAAAGGCACAGCAACAAAAGCGGCCTGTTTAATTCTAAATGATTAATTTTTATTCATTAATTTTAATTTTATTAAAAATCTTTTTAATTTTATTGTATTACTAATTTTTATGTAAATATGACCATTTTTGGTATGTACACCTGCATGAATGTCACACATGCAGGCTTCAGAGAAAAACTAGGAATAAATGGTGGATATGGGCCCTTTAAATATTGCATATTGATTAAGATCAAAGTATTTAATGAAATATGAGCATCTCATAAGCCTGTGCCACTGGACACTGCAGACCGGGGCTGATTTGTGTAAGTGGACACGTTTCGGGTCACTGTAACGCATAGTAGATTTCTCTGTGTGTGTGTGTGTGTGTGTGTGTGTGTGTGTGTATGTGTTGGGGGGGGTTTGGGGGGTCTGTGTTAGAGACAGTGCCTTGTTGAGACTCGTGCTTGGCCAGGCTTTCTTTGTGGTCAAACCCCAAAGCACACTTGTCCTGCTTCTCAACCTCCACCCCGTACTTCCCTCCAAACCCACGCTTATAATCTGCAAAAACAACCCACACAGAGACACAAACATGGACAGATACATACACAGACAGACAGACAGACACGATGGCCTGGACAAGAAACAGTTTACAAAAAGAGCAATATGAAGATCTGCAGGAGGAAAACGCTGACGCAGCCATGACCCATTCACCTGTTCAGAGGCCACGAGAGGCTGCAGATAAAACAGTATAATAAGGCTCAACAACACAGCATTAAAAACTGAGTGTGGGAAAAGTGTTTAAATATACACTCCCCACATTTACTGCCCTTCACAGAGACCACGGTCAGTGATCGGAACGAGGCAGCCTATCAGAAAACTGCACCGAAAATCTGGCATTTCTTTTATTTAAACTTGGAAATAACAGGAAGTTTTAAAATTAATATATTTCTATATTTTATCGCTGCTGTCGGAAGAAAACCTTGTAGGTCCATTTTTGTCGTTTTTCAGTTTTTGGTATAATTTGAAAATGCTTGTTGTTCTTTACATTGTGAGTAAATTTTATGATGAATGGACCAAAAGAAACGGCCCAAAACGACTTGAGAAAAAAGTCTGGTTCCATTGACTTACATTGAAAGTAAAGTATGTTTTTTCCTTCTCCTGTGAAGTTACCATTTTGGAGATATGAGGTTTTCGTCCGACAACAGCGATATATTAATTAGAAATTAGAAATGATTACTTTTCCCCAATTTTCTCCCCAATTTAGATGTGTCCAATTCCTCCGAGTTAGGCTTCCTCTGATTTAGGCTGGGGTGATGGGGGAGACGGGGGGCCATCCTACCCACCCAGAGAGAGCGAGGACAACTGTGCTCTCTTGGACTCCCAGCCACGGACGGCTGTAGCATCACCAGAGATCGAACTCGCCAACGCTGAGACGGTTGTGCCCCTGGCTGGATGTTTTTGGTTCTCAGTCCAGCAGCGACACTGAGGTGTTTAAAAACTCCAGCAGCACTGCTGTGTCTGATCCCCTCAGACCAGCACAACACACACTAACACACCACCACCACCACGTCAGCGTTACTGCAGTGCTGAGAATGATCCACCACCCAAATAGTACCTGCTCTGTGAGGGTCCATGGGGGTCCTGACCCCTGAATATATTTACATATTTATTTCTTGTTTTCTGTTCTTCTATTCTTCTTCCTAGTCTCAGTTGTTTTGAGGCTTTGTTTACGACAAATGCATAAGGTCCGGAAAAGAAAACTCAGTTTATGACACCAAGTGATTTATTTCTCCTGTGATGACCTCCTTCTGAATTTCTAGACATTTCCTCCTTGAATTTCCATGTTGTGCATATGTGGGTCATTCTACAGAAACGTCCATTATTGTGTCCCTAGTGTTTACAGATATATTACACTTCAAAAACATGTAAGGGCTACAATTTATTTATATTTTCAAATAAAACAATATTTTAACAATTACACCTTCTTGAGCCTCAATTTACCAATAGTGGTTTTTAAATCAATCATCTAGAATTCCAAGCACCACAGAAGAGCTCGTCCCCACAGTCATGTGTGAAGGCTGAGGCCATATTTTGAAGAAAAAAAAAACATTTTTTTTTTTCAATTTTAACTACAATAATCTATAAATGACCATGGAATATATGATTTAAATGACAAAGAAAACAAAAGCCAAATAAATATTATAAAATATTTAATGAAAGTTCCCCAGGAGTCGTGTCACTGGTGTTACTGCGTAACAAATGACGAAAAAGCTCATGGTGAGTCCACTGTGTCTTTCAGTTATCAGAGATTTTCTCATTTAGCTCATGATTTCATATGAAGCTTTTAGCTGAAGTCACTGGTGTGACCGACTTTATTCTGAGGTTATTGTGAAAAAAATTGTGAATACAAATGGATTAAATTCCATATTTTAGTGGATGTTCCATGACTGACAACATGTGGTTTGATGCTCTGCAGCAGGCATTTAGTAAAATGCATTGTTCATTAAAAATGCCTCTGGTGTTCCTTTATTATGTGTAACACCAATGAGGACCAGTAACACCAGTGACTCCTATGGACAGATAGAAAAGTGGACGTTTCTGTAGAATGACCCATGTACACAATGAAAGCAGAGCAGTCCTGTGCTGCCTCTGAAAGTGTTAGTCTGGAGCCCCGACTGAAGAGAAATGGATTGAATAAACACGCCGAGTGTGGAATCCGCTGAAAGTCTGTAACACTATCAGACTCAGTTAGAAAGCAGGTTCAGTCACACGCTGAGATGGAATGGAGAAACGGACAAACAGGCTTTTCCACATCCTCAAAATCAGCACTTCCTCCTCACACGGAGTGCAGTATGGGTGGGTGGGTGAGTGTGTGTGTGTGTGTGTGTGTGTGTGGGTGGATCTACTACCTTTCTGGGACTCATGAAGCTGGAGCTTCTCCTGATGGTCCCAGCCCACCGCAGATTTGTCCTGGCGGTCCGTCTGCACACCAAACTTCCCTCCAAAGCCCTTCACGTAATCTAAACCACACAAACAGACGCAGGTTACTCTCATTAGTGCTCACAGGTCAATATTCTCACTTCAGAACTGAAACCGGTGAACTTCACAGCTACCTTCACTTTTACTATCACAAACACACACATTAGATGTGAGAACTGCTCCAGTTACACTGTAGTGAACATAGAGGGGTGAGTGGGGCACAACCTGAGACTTGAGGTTATTTTGTTTGCATTTCCTATATTTTTCTTGCATTGTATTTTTCTACGTATAACATTTGGGTGCTTTTACAGTCAAAATTCATTTCTACATGACTGTTTTAGAACCTCTCTTTATCCCTTAGAATTAACCACACTGTTTATTGTTACTGTGCCTTTAAGGCTGATATGTAAACGAGCCCTGTTATGATTGGTTACCTTGTATATGTGCTTCTACTTCAGAAAGAAGTCTGGACTGGAAATTTGATCAGGTTGGGTCACATTTCTTATATTATATAAGCTCCTTAGAGAAGCGTTAAACATCTAAACAGTTACTTTCGACATATGTAATCAGGCTAATTAGCCCTTTTATTCTGTTAATGCATGAAATGCTATGTAATTTATTGACTTATTTACTGTAAACACTGCCACAATGTCTTATGTTGAGATCATTAAAAAGGGAAAAAAAAATCATTAAAAAGGTAATAAACCTTCAGCTCCTGATTGAGGTGGAGAAACCTGTTTGAGAGGCAAAGGACTTATTTATTTATTTTATTTAATAAAATATAAATACATAAAAATACATAAATAAATAAATAATATATAGCATTTACAATAATGTTTTATTTAATAAAATAAAATAAATAAATAAATAAATAAATAATGTGTGATTATAGTTTAGATGCAAAAAAATAAAAAAAATCACGTATGAATAATTTACATTTTTGGTATGTAGTGGTCTTAAGTGTGGCAGAGCTGTAAAATTTTAGAATTTGTGATTTTTTTCATGCACGTTTCATTCTTTTTATTTTTTAAACAGTTTGATCTAAACAATCCTCCAAACGTTACGCAGCAACCGTGTTTATAAGACTGTGCCAAAGTAAACGCAGCTGAAGATCAGCGCCCACCTTTCTGAGACTCGTGCTTCTCCGTCTTCCCCTGATACTCAAACCCAACAGCGCTTTTGTCCACTTTATCCGTCTCCACGCCGAACTTCCCACCGAATCCTTTGGTGTAGTCTGAACGTGGGGCAAGAGACACACAGGACCAGGACAAAAAAACAAGTTAGACTCTCTTCAGGTCACAATCACACAAGTCAACGGCATCAATGTTGTTATAAGAATAAGAAATTATTAAAATTCTTATAGTACCAGTCAAAAGCTTGGAGTCACCTGACCGAATGCATTTTCTTGAAACACATTTGATCTTTTACTTGTTTGAAATTTGTTTATAGTGCTGGGCGATATGACCTCAAATCAATATCACGATTAATTGAATGTTTTACCTCGATTACGATTAATGAACGATTATTTTGTTTTTGTTTTTTTGTTTGTTTTTTGTCGTCCTAGTTCAGTGATAAGGTTTGTACTGTAAATATGTTCTGCATATCTTAATGTAAATCGTCTGAACAGCCAGATCAGAATTCACGCGTCAAACCAACTCGACATTCGTCATAATTTCGCGCTGCTGAGACTCAAAAACATTTGGGGTGATGTTTCTGTAAAAAATCATTAGAGACTCATCCAGAACCCTCCATGATTGAAGAGATTTAGAGAGAAATATCCGAACGCGGCCGCAGGAGAACGAGGCTGCAGCGTCAAAGAACAGTTAAAAGTCTGAAAGCAGAGTTTAAAGAATCCGAGGACGCGAACCAAAGAAGTGACCGCGCCCTTTTTACGGCTCCAACACATTCTGGGTGATGAGCCCAGCTGTCAGTCAGTGAAGCTTCATGATGGCTCCTGTGATGCTGGTGAAGATGAAGCTGATCCTCCGGGAGCGACTGGCGTTCGTTGGCGGTCGTGATTGTTGACCTCTGGATGAGCCGTGAAGCAGCGTGACGCTCTGTTCTTTTGTGCATGGGGGTCAGTTTAGGAGCTGATCTGTTCAGACTGATGATCACATACAGATCACATTTAAAAGATAATCTGAACAGACAAACAAAAATAAAAACGGATTTGGTGAGAAAATCAGATTTGGGCCACTTTTACCTGCTGTGTGAACGAAGCCTTAGCTTGACTTGAACGTAGCCTTAGACTGGACGTAGCGGAGTGGTAGTAAGTTTTTAAGGAGACGAAAGAATTAGCAGAATTAAATAAAAAAATAAATAAATAAAATCGAAATAACCCACATGGGCAAGATTACGTCGTTCAGAGGTTCTGAATGTCGGTTTCGATTACTTTTCGATTAATCGCCCAGCCCTATTTGTTTATAGGACAAATAAAGTTTATCATTAAGTATCAAAAGCGAACAGCTGCAGCTGCTTCAGAGAAAAACCAAGAGCTGCTTTAAGGCAAGAAGAGTCTAAAAGAGGAGACAGTTTGGATTTGAGTGACACTTTTTATCCACTGTAGAAATTCATGTGTTATTTCATAGTTTTTAGTATTAACTGTTATTTTAAAATGTGGAAAATATATATAAAACAAAACATATACATAAAACCTTTTCTTGACAAGGTGGTCCAAACTTTTAACTGAATAGAATTTTTTTTTTGTATTAAAAATTAAAAGTAAGTCATCTGGCAGCCTTAAAGTTTTAATTTTATAAATTACATTAACAGAACAACACAAAGAGAGTCTAACATCATATCTACTTATTATATCAATAAATAATCATAATTCTAAAGCAGCCAGGTGAAAAAGGCTATTTAAAACACCAATTCTTGTATTAAATAATAAATCAATAACTAAAACTAAGCAAATAAACCCAAAACACTTGTCGCAGCCTAGCGGCTAGCGCCGAGTACCAGGTGCGGGTGAGTGTGAGCAGAGGGAGCTGAGGATCATGGGAAGCAGGAACAAACCTTTCTGCGATTCGTGTTTATCGGTTTTGCCCTGGTAATCAAATCCTACTGCGCTCTCGTCCACACGGTCAGCCTGAACGCCGTAGCGGCCACCGAACCCGGTGGCGTAGTCTAGGGGCAGCACACAGCAGCCAAGCGGGGGGGGGCGCGGGGAGGGGCGGATGGAGGGATGGAGGGGTGGTTTTGTGGAGAAAAAGGCAACAGAAATCACGTAGAGCAGAAAACAGCAGCAAGCGTGTACCAGTGAAGGCTAGCAGAGGCTAAACACCAGCTGACCACAGTCCAGAGGACCCACCGAGCCGCAGAGCTCAGCTTTTACACTAACTTGAGGAATAATCTGGCGAAAAACTTCATTTACAGAGTCCCCCCACCCCACACCCCCCCCCACCACCCCCACACCCCCTCCCCAAATCAGTCAGGACATGTTTGGTGTCTGAAGTAGCTTCTTTAGTTTAAGGACTGGAGCTACGAGGCTAATGTAGCTAACAAGTAATGGAAGCTTATACCCCACCAACTAGCCTGCCTGTCTAAACCATATGCTCTTTTTTGTAATTGGGAGTCTTTCAAAATTATATATATATATATATATATATATATATATATATATATATACATATCATATACACACATACACACACACACACACACACACACACACACACATCACTGCTATAGGAACAAAACCTTGTATCTCCAAAATGGTAACTTTACAGGAGAAGAAAAAAACACACTTCACTTTTAATGTAAGTCAATGGAACCAGAACTTTTTCCAAGTAATTTTGGGTCGTTTCTTTTGGTCCATTCATCACGAAATTTACACACAATGTAAAGGACAACAGGCATTTTCAAATCACGTGAAAAACTGAAAAACGACAAAAATGGAGGTTTTGTTTTGACAGCAGATACACACACACACACACACACACACACACAGACACACACACAGTAACTTAGCTGTGGATAATGAATACAAATATATAATCCTCCTGTTCCTATCCATGCTTTTCTAATGAAAATACACGTGACAATAGCGATAATAATAATAATAATAATAATAATAATAATTTGCTTTAAAACCTACAATAAAATAAATGGATATACACAAATTGCAAACTCACACAAAAGGACCCAACACAAAAATGAAAGCTAAATACAAAAATGTTGATAACAGTGAGTCAGAAACCACATAATCAAGACTATAAGAGAGACTCAACTCCTCCACACAGTTTGAGGCGAGTGTGACGATTTAGGAGCTATGCTGATTGGTGAGCTTCTGGTACTTGTTAGCTACATTAGCCTCATTACTCGTTACTGAGCCCTTTTTCAGCCAGATATCAAGCCTTGATATAAGCACTAAACTCTGCAGCTCTGTGATCCTCGCCGTCCTGCGTCCGGCTGTAAAGCTGCTGCTTCTAAAACTAGCTCTCTCTGTTCATATGCATCAGCAAATCAAATTACAGGAAGCACACATCGTATGATGCATACTGACAAAGGGATAACAATGTAACTGGACATCACCTGGTCATAAATACATTAAGAAATAAAGCCACAATGAAAAATAATAAATAAGTAAACAAACTAAATGAACAACACTGGCTGTGACTGAGGCTCATCATGAATCACTCCTTTGTATTCAGTAGTCTTATCTGCTGAGACCTGCTGAGCAAACACGACTATGGCCAGGTGAGCATGCAGCAGTCCTGCAACGGAAAAGCTGAGTGGCCTAAAAGCAACTTCAAACGCTAAATCTACAAATCTGTAGTGGTCACTTTACCCAAAGTCCTGATTACAATATCTGAATTAGTCCATTTATTTGTTCAAAGTCCTGGGAGAGTGTTACTGCTGTCCACAATGCGGTTGTGGACAGAGGAGTCGTTAAACATTGTTTTGTTCTCTCATTATTTTTTGACATACTCTCTCATTATTCTGAGATCCTACGTTATTAACTGAAGATATTCTCATTAATTTCAAGTGTTTCTCATTATTTTGAGAAACTCAATTATATTCATATATCTATATTTATATTTCCATCACAAAAGCATAAAGAACATCAAAATAATGAGAATATTTCTGAAATGACAAGAGCCTGTCTCAAAATAATGAAAAAGCATCTCAAAACAATGAGATAGTATTGCAAAATAATGACTTAGTTTTGCGAAATGATAAGATACTAAATGAATTAGTTTCATGAAATTAAGAGATAGCATCTCAAAATAATGAGTTCGTTTCACAAAACTGAGATAGTATCTCAAAATAATGACTGTTTCATGAAATTATGAGATAGTATCTCAAAATTATGACTTCATTTCATGAAATTGAGATAGTATCTCAAAATAATGACTTAGTTCTGCAAAATTATGACAGTATCTCAAAACAATGACAGTTTCTCGAAAATAAGACAGTATCTCAAAGTAATGACTTAGTTTCGCGAAATTATGATAGTATCACAATGAAGTAATTTCATGAAATCATGAGATACTATCTCAAAATAATCACTTTGTTTCATTAAATTATGAGATAGTATCTCAACTCAATGACAGTTTCTCGAAATTGAGACAGTATCTCAAAGTAATGACAGTTTTGCGAAATTATGAGACAGTATCTCAAAACAACTTAGTTTGCGAAATTGAGATACTGTCTCAAAATATCGACTTAGTTTTGCAAAATTATGAGACAGTATCTCAAAGTAGTGACTCAGTTTCGCAAAGGTACGAGATAGTATCTTAAAATAATAACTTTCACAAAATCATAAGAAAGTATCTCAAAATAATGACTTGGTTTCATGAAATTATGAGACGGTATCTCATAATAATGACTTAGTTTCACGAAATTATGAGACGGTATCTCATAATAATGACTTAGTTTCACAATATAATGGCAGAGCAATGAATAATTAGGCGCTGAAATGGGCTTCCATAACTATGAGTCTGAGAAACCCTGTTTGCAGGACAGAGCAGAGGGCCTGTCTGTATTTACACTGACCTCCTGTCAGTCATTTTATAGGACACTCCCCTACACCACATAACTCCACCCCCATCTCCATCTGCATGGCTCAGAAAACATTAACGAATCCCTCATAATGTGTCCTAAACTATCTGGTGAAGGCGGGCAGGGGCGTGGCTTTCCTTTGCAGCAGCTTCTAAGTGTATTTAGTTTAGATATCCAGCAGGTGTGTCCATCAGAGAGGGAGGACAGTGTGTGAGACAGCAGGGCAGTGAGCTCTCACACCGAAACACAGCTTCACCAAGCTACACAGAGAAGAGAGCGAAGGTTCACCTTTCTGCGAAGCATGTTTCTCTGTCTTCCCCACGTACTCGAACCCTACGGCAGACTGGAGACACACAAACAACAGGTTACTTCACCTGGACTCACCTGTGGAGCAGCAACGGCATGAAGAGCGGACTGTATGAACAGCTGAAGAGCTGAAATGGACGCAGAAGCTGTTCTGTGCAGGTGACGAGATGAAACAAACACTAACAGACTCTCACTAACATGTCAACAACATATGAGGGTGAGGGTTAGGAATAGGGTTGAGGTTATGATTAGGGTTAGGATTAGGGCCAGGGTGAGGGTTAGGATTAGGTTTTGGATTGAGGTTAAGGTGAGGGTTAATGGGCCTAATCCTTTAGACTGAAATCCTTTTGCTCTGAGTGACTCTATACCTTAATTATGTTTATTTTATTAACACTAACGACCGAACGGTCCATTTTGTCACTAACAATCATACCTCTACCCAAACTTTACCAAACGTTTCAGTACTGACTGTTTCGGTGACAATTTGTCATTTCGAGCTCAAAAACACAGCCAGTTCATGACCAGCAAACACAGCTTTGAACAGCTGTTCACACAGAAAATCACAATATTTTTCATTAAAACACTAAAAACACTGAGTGATGGAGGGAGACGAGGGGCCATCCTGCCCACCCAGAGAGAGCGAGGACAACTGTGCTCTCTTGGACTCCCGGAGATGGACGGCTGTAGCATCACCAGGGATCGAACTTGCGATCTCCTGATGACAGGGCCAACGCTTAGACGGTTGCCCCACTAGAGAGCCCAAAATTGATGCATTTACGAGGCTATAAATGCATATTTTCTCAATATCCAGCACCAGGATTACTGAAACGACATCCATCTCATTAAGTGAGCATCATAATCCGATTTCTGCAGTAATCTTGACGAAATGAAGGATTTTAATAATCTCCATCTTGTAGATGATTTATGTTCATATTTTCAGTTAAAGTTTTGAGTTTATCGGCTGGTCGTATAGCAGAAATCTGATTACTGTCTGACTCATGCAGACCTGGAGTTTCCCCTTTATCTAATTACTCAAGAGCATGGAAACGTGTAGATTGGTTCACTGACAGAATCTGATTTTCTGCAGTTATCAGATTATGAAATGCATGTAAACACACTCAGTGTTTAAAACTGAAACGATGAAAAGCTGTACCTGGTCCACACGGTCAGTCTGAACTCCAAACTTCCCCCCAAAGCCTTTAGAGGTGTCAGTCTGAGAGCAGTGCTTAGAGAGTTTACTCTGGTACTCATGACCTACAGCAGACTAGAGAGAGAGAGAGAGAGAGAGAGAGAGAGAGAGAGAGAGAGAGAGAGAGAAAGAGAAAGAGAGAGAGTTGCAATTTTGAGTTAAGCCAAAACGTGTATAACAGTTGCAGAAGTACAATAAATCAGAAAACAGGTGGAGAAAACACATCTACACCAATCGCTTCATTAAGTCCACCTCCTTGTTTCTACGCTCATTGTCCATTTTATCAGCTCCACTTACTATATAGGTGCACTTTGTAGTTCTACAGTTACAGACTGTAGTCCATCTGTTTCTCTGATACTTTGTTAGCCCCCTTTTACCCTGTTCTTCAGTGGTCAGGACCCCCATGGACCCTCACAGAGCAGGTACTATTTGGGTGGTGGATCATTCTCAGCACTGCAGCAACACTGACATGGTGGTGGTGTGTTAGTGTGTGTTGTGCTGGTACGAGTGGATCAGACACAGCAGTGCTGCTGGAGTTTTTAAACACTGTGTCCACTCACTGTCCACTCTATTAGACACTCCTACCTTGTCAGTCCACCTTGTAGATGTAAAGTCAGAGACGATAGCTCATCTGCTGCTGCACAGTTTGTGTTGGTCATCCTCTAGTCCTTCATCAGTGCTCACAGGACGCTGTTGCCTGGTTATTTTTGGTTGGTGGACTATTCTCAGTCCAGCAGCGACACTGAGGTGTTTAAAAACTCCAGCAGCACTGCTGTGTCTGATCCACTCAGACCAGCGCAACACACACTAACACACCACCACCACGTCAGTGTTACTGCAGTACTGAGAATGACCCACCACCCAAATAGTACCTGCTCTGTGAGGGTCCATGGGGGTCCTGACCACTGAAGAACAGGGTAAAAGGGGGCTAACAAAGTATGCAGAGAAACAGATCAGAGCAGGTACTATTTGGGTGGTGGATCATTCTCAGCACTGCAGTAACACTGACGTGGTGGTGGTGAGTTAGTGTGTGTTGTGCTGGTACGAGTGGATCAGACAGACAGATAAATAGACAGACAGATAGATAGATAGGTAAGACAGACAGTTATTGATCCCCAAGGGGAACCAAGACACATAACTGCACATAAATGTACAAATATTATGCAGAAATAAAAAATTAGACCTAAGTGAGACTTAAAGTATGAGAGAGCAGGAATAGAAGTATATCTGCATATTTACAGAGCATATAGGACAGATATGTTGTATTTCATGAGAGCATGTGTTGCACTAAGTGCTATGAGGTGGTTATAACACAATGAGTATGAACATAACTATGAATATCAGCAGTGTTTACAGCCTGAAGAGCACAGTGAGAGTCAGTACTGTAGTGGTTATGATACACTGCACAGTGTGTATTAACAGGAGAGGTGATATAGTGATGTGACACAGTTTTGGGACATAAATCAGCACAAATGCTAGAAGTGGAGCTCGGGGCGGAAAATGTAAAAATAAGGCAATAAAATAAGATACCGGCCCTTTAAAGTGGGGAAATCATACAGATATACAGTTAAGAGAACATTAAAAGCGCCGAACGCTCTTCTCCAGCCTTATTCTCCGCGCTCTCGGCCTCGGACGTGGAGTGGACAGTGAAACCGAGTGCTGATATCAGTCACGCTGACCGGGACGCTACAAAACTGCTGAAAGTATGTAAGTCTGTGTTCGGGTCAGGCTCACTGGAGCAGCACGTTCACGCCGAATAGTGAAAAGGTCCTCGGTCACGGCCTGTAGACACATCAGCCCCGCTGAGACCTCATTTCTTCCCTCGTTCTCCATTTCTGTGGTAATTAAACAGAGCCACTGAGCCAGAACCCTGCTGAGGTAACAGCTCCACACAGAGAGAACCGCAGCAGCGGAGCTTCGGCCACAACACTGGCGCTCTGTTCTGTCCATTTAGCCACTTTTGTTAAAGAGCCTGTATATAAAAAAATCTGATTTTTCTCTCACTTCTTTTTTAAATAAGGTAATATATGAAAATGATTATGGTTCATGTATGCCCTCCCCAGTCCAGACAGGAAAACTAAGCTGAGAAACAGCCTGTTTGGAATTCACCGTAACTCTGATGTCACAAGAACCATCTCCGCCTACAGCAGTTTAGCCCCACCCAGCTCGGAATGGCAGCCAATCAGAACACAGCTAATTTCGCATACACAATTGTACTGGGACACCCCTTAAATCATTCAATTCAGGGGTTTCATTTAGTCTCATCACCACAGGTGTATAAAATCAAGCACATAGCCATGCAGTCAGCCTTTACACACTCTACAGGGCTCATTGAGCTCCAGTGTGGTGCTGTAATAAGATGCCACCACTGTAACAAGTCAGTTTGCGAAATTTCTTCCCTCCTAGATTTTCCACGATCAACTGTGAGAGGTATTATTGAAAAGTGGAAGCGTTTAGGAACCACAGCAACTCAGCCATGAAGCGTCAGACCACGTAAATCAGGTTCTGCTTCTTTGTCATGTCGCCGCTCTGCTCAGCGACCGTGGGAAAAGCTTATAAAACTTTATGAAACATGAAAACATGTTGCTGAAACTCTGCCTGTCTTCTTACAGCTCTGTAAAAAGTCTCACTGTCTTCCATTTTACAAATATTAAGACTTACAGGTGATTAAATAGTGAACATTTGAATTGATGGGGTCTTAATTACAACATAAACATTAATTAAATTCATTCATCCATCGTTGTTATTTAATAATTTAGCACTGACCTTTATACTTAATCAGTTGATGCTTTTTTATATATGAAAAAAGATGATTCCTCTTTAAACAAGAAATAAGTCAGAATAAATATATAAATATTAAAAATAAATGCCATAAAAATGTCATATATCTGTCTATATCTGACCTTTCTGATACAACACCGAAAAGGGTTCTTCTGCTGCGACAATGTATGACTATATAACACATTCTCCGTCAATCTGAAGAACCATTTCAGCACGCAGAGCGCGCAGTGGTTCTATTTATAACTCACAGCTTTTTACAGAACCACTGACTTTAAAAATAAACGCTATTAAATGTCAGACGGAACTAAATTTAACTTTCTAGTTTTGTGTTCCTTTAAAAATCGCTGCTTCTTTTCATGATTTGCCAGATGGAACCTTATAATTCCAAGCAGGAAGTGAGTTCTTAGGATTAGAAGGTTCTACCTGCATTTGACCCGTTACAACAAACTCATTTACAAATCTGACAGGATTTTAGGTAACACTTTACTGTAGGGTGCTGTTCATAATGCTACATGACGCTTATATAAGCTTGTCATGACAACTGACATAACCCTACATAAATGTTTATAAACGCCAATAGACGTCATCTGTCATAAACACTACTTTAGCTAACTTTGATCAAAACTGGCAAATGTAACCTTTATAATGAATGACGCCTATTGGAATAAGTATATATATACACTTATGTAGGGTTATGTCAGTTGATATTACAAGCTTATGTAGTTGTCATGCAGCCTTATGGAAAGTGCCCTACAGTAAAGTGTTACTGGATTTTAATATTGCACATTTCGAATAAATTTAGGGTGTCTGTCATTTTCATGTATGTTCCACTTATCATTTCTGCTGTTTGTAATGCAAAATCTTTGAAGCTCAATATGTCAAAACTGCTCAGAACCCAGATAGAACCTCATAATTCCAGGGGGACGGCTAATGTATCCGTGTGTGTCTGTTCGTGCTCCTGCCGTATGTAATGACCCGCCGGTGGAGCTCAGTATCGATCTGCTGTTCCTGCAGATGGTCTAAAGTCTGGACCGCTTTATCTCAGGTATCGATTACAGAGATCCGGTCCGGTCAGCCCGAGGGTAAATAAACACGCCGCACATTCTGTGTAAGCAGTAATACAACCCCGTTTCCAAAAAAAGTTGGGATGCTGTGCAGAATGTAAATAAAAATAGTATGCAAATGATGTGCAGTAAAGGAAATACTACAAAGAAACAAATCAAAATGTTGAAACTGGGAAATTTTATTGTTTTTTGAAAAATATTTGCCCATTTTGAATTTGACGCCAACAACACGTTCCAAAAAAGTTGGGACGGGGGCCTGTTTACCACTGTGCTTCATCACCTCTTCTTTAACAGCACTCTGTAAGTGTTTGGGAACTGAGGAGACACTGCTGTAGTTTAGAAAGTGAAATGTTTTCCTGTTCTTGTTTGATAACGTGCCAAATTTCATAATGCACCAAATGTTATCAGGGGTGACAGATCTGGACTGTTTCAGTTTAGCTCACAGACTCTTAATATGGAGCAATGTTGCTGTAATACATGCAGAATGTGGTTTGGCTTGTCTTGCTGAAATAATCAAGGCCTTCCCTGAAAAAGACGTCGTCTGGATGGCAGCATATGTTGCCAAAACATGTATAAATCATTCAGTATTAATGGTGCCTTCACAGATGTGCAGGTCACCCATGCCATGTGCACTAATGCCCCCTACACCATCATGAATACTGGCTTTAGAACTGTGCACTGATAACAAGCTGAGTGGTCTTTAGCCTGGAGGACACAGTGTCCATGATTTCCAAAAAGAATTTCAAATGTTGATTCGTCGGACCACAGGACACTTTTCCACTTCACCTCTGTCCATTTTAAATGAGCTCAGGCCCAGAGAAGGTGGCAGCGTTTCTGGATCCTGTTTATATATGGTTTCTTCTTTGCGTTTTAGAGTTTTAATTTTTTAATTAAGTGGATGCAGTGATGAACTGTTTTCACAGACAGTGGTTTTCAGAAGAGTTTCTGAGCCCATGCAGTGATTTCCACTACAGAATCATGTCTGTTTTCAATGCAGTGCTGCCTGAGGGCCCAAAGATCACAGCCAGCTAATACTGGTTTTTGGTCTTGTCCCTTACATACAGAGATTTCTCCAGATTCTCTGAGTCTTTTAATGATATTCTGTACCGTAGATGATGAAAAGCAGAAGTTCTTTGTTATTTTATGTTGAGAAACGTTATTCTTGAATTGTTGCACTATTTGATCGTGCAGTCTTTCACAGAGTGGTGAACCCTCCTCATCTTTACTTCTGAAAGATGCTCTTTTATGCTCATTAAATTCAAAATGAGCATAATGTTTCAAAAAACAATACAATTTCTCAGTTTCAACATTTGATATGTTGTCTTTGTACTATCTTCAATGAAATACAGGGTTTAAATGATTTGCACATCATTGCATTTTGTTTTTATTTACATTTTGCACAGCGTCCCGACTTTTCTGGAAATGGGGTTGTATTACTGAGCTGTAGTGCACACTGAGTTACACCAGAGCTAAAAGAGGAAGAGATTTCTGAAAAGAGGAAACGGATGGGGTGAAAGTGGGAGTCCAAAATAGGATTCTTCGCTCCAAAAAGGACACTAAAATAGAACTTCCGCAGCGATGAGTGAGACTAAAACCGCAGAGTTTATCAGGAGGAAGTCAGAGCGGGAGATGCAGCAGGAGTAGTATCGCTCAGCTTCAGTGCGTTTTCACAATGAATACTACACAGATTATTTCAGCAAGAGCATTAGAGCACGCTTAAAAACGACGGTTCAAGGGTTCTTTAGTAAACGCGTTTATTTAGAGCCATGAGTTCTATATAAAAGCACTGCATGATGGAGAATATCATGTATTTGGTTCTGTGTGTGACCTATTTGAAAATATTCAATATAGCACTGAAAACAGTTCTTGTGACAATGTCTAGCTTGTAATAATATAAGAACCCTTTTTGGTGCTATATAGAACCGCCCTGAAAACGGTTCTTCTACCGTGACCATGTCAAGCTTGTAATAATAGAACCCTTTTCGGTGCTATATAGAAGCACCCTGAAAACGGTTCTTCTACCGCGACCATGTCAAGCTTGTAATAATAGAACCCTTTTCGGTGCTATATAGAACCACCCTGAAAACGGTTCTTCTACCGCGACCATGTCAAGCTTGTAATAATAGAACCCTTTTCGGTGCTATATAGAACCACCCTGAAAACGGTTCTTCTACCGCGACCATGTCAAGCTTGTAATAATAGAACCCTTTTTGGTGCTATATAGAACCACCCTGAAAACGGTTCCTCTACATCAACAACGTCAAGCTTGTGATGATAGAAGAACCCTTTTCTGGTGTGATACAGAACCCCATTGAAAGCAGTTCTTTTACTGTGCCAATGCCAAGCTTGTAAAAACAGAAGAACCTTTCTGGTGCTATATAGAACCTTATGAAACACATTCTCAATCAGTCTGAAGAACAAGAAGATTTCACCACCTCAATAATCACCTTTTTTATTTGGGCCAAATAACACAGACATAAAAGCCCTCATAACGCAGCTGTGATGGAGGAGAGTGGAATATTTAGTGGAATATTTAGTGGAATATTTAGTGGAATATTTAGTGGAATATTTCAGGCTAAACAAGCTTAACTGCTCCCCGTTATCAAGGTCAGACCTTCAAACATCAGTTTTTATCAACTGCATAATTTTTCTGTGAATGTTGCAGAAAATAAATCAGAGATATTAAGGGGCGTGGCTTCTGGGCCCTGGCAAACTTCTCAACACGGCAGAACCTGGATAAGTGGATTCTGCAAGAAACTGCTCAGCGATGTAGATATCCCATAATCAAATCTGAGTCTTTTTAATGTAGAGTATTTTTCTTAAGATATGCACACACCGGTCAGGCATAACATTCTGACCACCTCCTTGTTTCTACACTCATTGTCCATTTTATCAGCTCCACTTACTATATAGGTGCACTTTGTAGTTCTACAGTTACAGACTGTAGTCCATCTGTTTCTCTGATACTTTGTTAGCCCCCTTTTACCCTGTTCTTCAGTGGTCAGGACCCCCATGGACCCTCACAGAGCAGGTACTATTTGGGTGGTGGATCATTCTCAGCACTGCAGTAACGCTGACGTGGTGGTGGTGTGTTAGTGTGTGTTGTGCTGGTCTGAGTGGATCAGACACCGCAGTGCTGCTGGAGTTTTTAAACACCTCAGTGTCACTGCTGGACTGAGAATAGTCCACCAACCAAAAATATCCAGCCAGCAGCGTCCTGTGGGCAGCATCCTGCGACCACTGATGAAGGACTAGAGGATGACCAACACAAACTGTGCAGCAGCAGATGAGCTATCGTCTCTGACTTGGTAGGAGTGTCTGATAGAGTGGACAGTAAGTGGACACAGTGTTTAAATCATGCACATGGTTCTCTGAGGAGCTTCATGGTTTTATACAATCATTTTCAGGACTAAAGAACCATCTTTTCTATGAATGTATGGTTCTATATTGATTTTTTTTTTCGTAAAATGGATCTATATAGCACCAAAAAGGGTTCTTCTGTAGTTACGATACCAAGAAACCTTTCTGGTGACATACAGAACCCTTTTCAAAAAGGTTCTATATAGAATATATAGATCTACAGCACATTCCCTATCAATCTGAAGAACACTTTCATGATGCAAAGAACCCTTTAATCATGCAAAAGGTTTTTTGAGTGTTCACGGATCTACATAAAACGTTTTTTCTTTTTTAAGACTGTATGGTTCTGTATAGAAATCCTTTGAAAATGGTTCTATGTAGGAGCAAAAAGTGTTCTTCTATTGGTACAACGTCAAGCTTTCAACAACAGAAGAACCCTTTTTTGGTGCTATATAGAACCATATACAACAGAACCTCCTGTATTTTGCACCTTGATCATAACCAACCAATAATTTCGGTTACTGGAATCGTCAGCGCCTATAAATCAGTATCTGTGACACTTTTTGTATTGATACTCAAACCTGTCTGCAGTGTTGGCTGAGGACCCCACAGTGACTCACCTTGTCCATGCGGTCCTGCTGCAGTCCGAATTTGCCCCCGTAGCCGTGTGAGGCTTTAGGCATGGTGGCCAGCTCCTTCTGCTTCAGCTCGCTGTGCTCACACGACACCTTCTCACGCAGCTGGTGGATACTGCACAACCAGAGTACAGAGGTGTTAGTCCCCAAAATATATTATATATTTAAAATATGCAAATTAAAGTAATAGTTTGGCAAAAAACTTTAGTGTGTCTGAAGTTTGCTTCTTTAGTTTTACACTGAAGCTATGAGGCTAACAAGTAATGGAAGATGATTAATAGACTTCTGTTTCTGACACCGTATTAAAAATGAACTAAAGCACGTTGAAGCTGCTACTGTGTTTAGCTATGCTTTAGTGCATATTTATAGATAACAGTGAGTCAAAGGCCCAGTCCATTTCACCCCTCGCCCCTACCACTCAGCCCTACCCCTCTGTTTTGTGTGTTCATGTCTAGGGGTAGGGTGTCCTGATTCTTGTTGAGATAGAGGGGGAGGGTGAAGTGTTGGGACTACATGACCCTCCAAACGGAGGTTTTTCAGAGACTCCAATCAGAGAGTTATGAGGAAACAGCAAGATGGAGAACAAGAGACCAAAGAAACCCACAAATGTGAGAATTTTCTCCATTAAATTCAATTACGATAATCATTGTTTCATCTTAGTTTAATGTCGTTTCAGTGTATTATGGTCCTTTTCTTCATAACAAGCATAAAAATCACTAATAGCATGCTAATGTCTCGGTAGCTAGCTAACTTTCCCGTTCCACCTTAAATAGTCCAGCAGTTCTGATACCTGAAGGGCCAGAATGTAACTGCTGCACCATTTAAGGTGGAACGGAGAAATTAGAACGAAAACCTGGTGAATATCTGACTTCAGCTTCGTATCACTGAAGAATTAGGGTGGGTGATAATAAATAATTGCCCCCTCTTTGAAGATCATATGATGCCCTAAATGTAACTAAAGCCCAGCAGTGAGGAGCTGAACTTTACCCTCCTCTGCTGTCACTGCAGACTGGCAGGGTCTCCTACAGAGCAGCGCTGGTAGCTGATAATGAAGTGATGCTCTTTTTATTTGAGGGTCCCATTTCAGAGGGAGGATTTCAACCACTACCCTGTAACTCAGCTCCAAGGGGCGACACTCGAATGAATATATATACACACATACATATATATTAGGGGTGGGAATCTCTAGGCACCTCACGATTTGATTCGATTATGATTCAGAGGCTGTGATGCGATTATAAAACGATTATCGATGCATCTTTTTTTTTTCTATACAGCGTTTCTATTCTCTCACTGTCTGAGGACTTGGTACTTTTAAAACAAAGTATTTGTAATGATCCATAATGAATTTACTTCCAATATCTTTTATTAATAAATCAAATGGATGTGATGTGGCAAGTGAACTACTGGGAGATTCACTCGAAAGAGGCCCCGGATATTCTGTTGTAACTCCCATTAGGATGAAGCAGTCTGAACCAAAAAAACACACTACATACTTTGACATGTAATCTACTGCATTACATGCGATGCTGGAAGTGACCTAGCGAGAGTTATTACAGAATATTCGGGGCCTCTTTCGAGTGAATCTCCCTGTAGAAGGCGCATTCACTGCTCTTGTTCAGAGCACGAGAAGCTGCTGCCACTCATCTGTGATAAAATGCACAGTTACAGAAATAAGATCCAGTGGTGATGGATGACAACGCAGTGCGTTACAGCTATTCTACCCGTTTAATTCAGTGATTTTATAACTTCGGTTTTGGTCTCGTTGTAGAGACGGGAGGCAGGGGTCGCAGGACATGTGCAACACAGCGCGAAACCCTGTTTCGCAACGTGCAGACCGCTTCTCTTTCAAATTTTCCCGTTCCACCTTAAATGATGCCGCATTTACAATCGGCGCCTCAGTCAGACTTTAAGGTCGAACGGGAAAATCAAACGAGAAGCTGCAGAAGAAGCGACTTCAGCCTCGGAAAACAGGCGAACGCTGAGAGACATTTGAGGAAACTACTGAACTAAAGCAGAGCGAAGTAAATCTGCGCTCTCGTTTATATTGTTTAGTCTATATAAGTACATTATCACACACTGACATACTGGACATTAAATGTTGTGGCTCCCAAGCTCAAAATGGCTCTTCTTAACATTTGTGTTGTGACTCCTGACCTAACCTGGCTTTAATGCAGAGGGAGCCGGTCGGATTTCTCACTCATCCAGCTGCGTTTGTGTCCGCAGACTGTCCGGGCGCTGCACTTACCCACTTCCAACTTCCGCCTTTTGCGTTCCGTCAACATTACGTTATAAATTAAATATTTAGAAAATCAATTTCCGACATTTGTGAATCGATTCAGAATCGTTCACGTCCACATCGCGATACATCTAAGAATCGATTTTTTCCCACAGCCCTAATATATACATACATACATATATGTATACATATATATATATATATATATATATATATATATATATATATATATATATATATATATATATATATATACACACACACACACATACATACATATCACAAGACTACATATGACTTTCACAATGCATGATATGAATCATGGCAAAAAGCTCCAGCAGAGCCACATTTTGAAAAACACTATCAAATATACTGATTTTATTCAGCGTTTTACACCCTGTGCTGCACTAATTTTAATTAAAATTAAAATTCCAAAAATGGTTTTTATCTAGCCAATGTGACAAATCTTCCATAATTAATCTGTGTCTGGATATTGTGTTTGAAATTAGGCAGCTATGATTTTATTTACTGATTGTCCCATGACCCCCACGATACGCTCTAACAAAGCATATTGACATAACGTCATTTATCACAGTAGGAATGAAGTGTTTGTGCTGAAAGGAGCTCGTTGGCCGTCACTTTAACAGACACAGTGATCTGATGATGGTAAGAAATGTAAGTCCAGCTCACTTGATGTGCTCCTGATGACCGGAACCTTCTACGGTCTTGGCTCCCCATCGCTGCTCCTTCTCAGTCACATCGTTCTACACAGAGACGGAGAAACAGGTGAGAAACAAAAGAACAAAGATCTTTACGAGGCTCCAGAGGAGAGGAGGCCTGCTGAGTACGGCATCACATACATAACAATGACAGCCTTATTAATCAATCAAATGATTAACTGATTAGATAGATAAACAGACAGACAGACAAGATACACAGACAGACAGACTGATTTATAGACCAATAAATACACAGACAGACAGACAGACAGACAGACAGACAGACAGACAAGATACATATGCAGACAAACAGACAGATAGACAGACATACAGACAGATACATAGACAGATAGATGGATAGACAGAGATACACAGACAGACAGACAGACTGATTTATAGACCAATAAATACACAGACAGACAGACAGACAAGATACACAGACAGACAAACAGACAGATAGACAGACATACAGATAGATACATAGACAGATAGATGGATAGACAGAGATACACAGACAGACAGACAGACTGATTTATAGACCAATAAATACACAGACAGACAGACAAGATACACAGACAGACAAACAGACAGATAGACAGACATACAGATAGATACACAGACAGATAGATGGATGGATAGACAGAGATACACAGAGAGACAGACAGACAGACAGACAAGATACACAGATAGACAGATAGATAGATAGACAGACAAGATACAAAGACACACAGACAGACAGATAGATAGATAGACATAGAGACATACAGATAGATACATAGACAGATAGACAGACAGATAGACAGACATACAGATAGAAACAGACAAACAGACAGACAGACAGACAGACAGACAGACAGACCCATGGATAGAGAGACAATGATAGATTGACAGATGGACAGACAGGTAAGATACATTGACAGATAGAGAGACAGCCAGAAAGGCAGACACATGGATAGAGAGACAGAGAGGTAGACAAAGGGACAGTGATAAACAGACAGACAGACAGATAGCTAGATAGATAAACAGACAGACAGATAGATAGATAGATAGATAGATAGATAGATAAACAGACAGACAGATAGCTAGCTAGAAAGACAGATAGATAGATAGACAGACAGACAGACAGACAGACAGACAGACAGATAGATAGATAGATAGAAAGACAGACAGATGAAGAGAGATAGACAGAGATGGACAGACAGAAACATTACCTGTAAAGGAAACTGCAGATACAGAGACTCTTATAGGAGATTTAAATAACACTGAGTTTATAAATGAGAGTAAATATTTACATGATGACATCACAGTGGGTCAGTCACTAATAGATTTTTAAAGAACTGTAGTGAATCATTTACACATGTATGTAAACATCAAACACATCGTCCAAAAACAAATTTTACATCTTTAACAAAACAAACAAACAAACAAACAAACAAACAGCTCAATGGAAAGGAAGAGAAGAGGAATGCAGGTTAAAGAGACGAGCGTCCACCTCAAAGTCAGGGTCAGTCTCCCAGTCATCAACTCCATCATCAACCGTGACGGAGACCGAGCGGCCAGCTGCTGCTTTCCACATCTAGAAGAATCAGAATCAGAACCAGAATCGTTTTATTAGACAAATATGTTTTCATAGAGAAATCATCTGTTCAGTCACACAATCAGACAAAGATTACAATATAAATATAATAAACACCAGAGATCTCTGACCTTAACGATTACTGAAGATTCTCTGGAAGAATGACCGTCACATCTCAGACTTCACCGCCGTTCAACTGGATCTGATTCTTTTACTGCGATTCAGAATTATCTTTAATTTATATGATATATATTTTATATATTTTATATTATTACTTATAAAGCAGTGGAATTCAGACAATAAAAACACTCTCCATGGATTTTTATGGTTGAAAATAGCCTAAGAATTTAATGTTGGCTAAAAATAATAATACTGTAATATTAATACTGTTAAAATAATAATAATAATAATAATAATAATAATAATAATAAGGCAACAGTATTATTATTACATTATTGTTTTATTTTTATTTTTTATTATTTTATTGTTACATTATTATTCAGATTATTATTATTCATATTATCATTATACATTTTTAAATGATCAGTTTCATTTTATTTACAAAATGCTTTAGTCAGGAAAACATTGGACAGACAAAATAATCAGCATATTTACAAACAGAAGATGAGTAATAATACTCAAAATTACATTGTTCTATTATTATTATTATTATTATTATTATTATTATAGTAATGATGAGTTTTTTTTATCCAAAATAAAATTCACAAACTATTTTTAACCAAATAATCTGAATGACCCACCAGGAGGCCTCCAAAGATCCAAATCTATATTGAAGTACCATGTAAATATTTATATTAATGTGTCCAGTGTTTAACAAAATAATTATATTATATCAAAAGAATCAGCTCCAATCAAATCATGGTGAAATCTGAGATTTGATGATGCATTCCTCCAAAAAGATCAACAAAGATGGACAAAATGCTTTAGTCAGGAATAGAAGTAAAACAGTGGAGAGACAAAATATCAGCACATTCACAAACAGAAGAAGACGAGTAATAATACTCAATATTATACACACCGGTCAGGCATAACATTCTGACCACCTCCTTGTTTCTACACTCATTGTCCATTTTATCAGCTCCACTTACTATATAGGTGCACTTTGTAGTTCTACAGTTACAGACTGTAGTCCATCTGTTTCTCTGATACTTTGTTAGCCCCCTTTTACCCTGTTCTTCAGTGGTCAGGACCCCCATGGACCCTCACGGAGCAGGTACTATTTGGGTGGTGGGTCATTCTCAGCACTGCAGTAACACTGACGTGGTGGTGGTGTGATAGTGTGTGTTGTGCTGGTCTGAGTGGATCAGACACAGCAGTGCTGCTGGAGGTTTTAAACACTGGGTCCACTCACTGTCCACTCTATTAGACACTCCTACCTTGTCAGTCCACCTTGTAGATGTAAAGTCAGAGACGATAGCTCATCTGCTGCTGCAGATGGTCATCCTCTAGTCTTTCATCAGTGGTCACAGGACGCTGCCCACAGGACGCTGCCCACAGGACGCTGCCCACAGGACGCTGCCCACAGGACGCTGCCCACAGGACGCTGTTGGCTGGATATTTTTGGTTGGTGGACTGTTCTCAGTCCAGCAGCGACACTGAGGTGTTTAAAAACTCCAGCAGCACTGCTGTGTCTGATCCACTCAGACCAGCACAACACACACTAACACACCACCACCACGTCAGTGTCACTGCAGTGCTGAGAATGATCCACCACCCAAATAGTACCTGCTCTGTGAGGGTCCACGGGGGTCCTGACCAGAAGAACAGGGTAAAAGGGGGCTAACAAAGTATCAGAGAAACAGATGGACTACAGTCTGTAACTGTAGAACTACAAAGTGCACCTATATAGTAAGTGGAGCTGATAAAATGGACAATGAGCACAGAAACAAGGAGGTGGTCAGAATGTTATGCCTGACCGGTGTAATTAATATTATTATTTTGGATTATAATCAACATTTTCATTCCAAATTCAATACAGTTGAGTCACCAACAGAATTCTGTGCGGTTTGATGTCAAAAGTAAACGAACACTAAATAAGAAAATGAATATTAACTAAGTAGATGAATATTAAATGTCTGAATTTGAATAACCACACCCCTCTGCAGCTGATGTGGCGTTCAGCTCTCGTTCTCCTCCTGCGTAAAGGGAGGATGGGGGCGAGTGGGTAAATAAAAGCTGGCAGTCTGACTCAGCAGACTCACTCAGCTCTTACACATCTGTACCTCATCATCAGGGTGACATCAGCACTGCTCAGCCCTCAAACTAAAGCCCCGCACATCTCAGCACCTTCCTGCCCTTACAGGCCTAAATCCACCTCCTGAAGAGCTCTGGAGTTATAATTATTCATAAACACTCCCTCAACCAATCTAACTGAGTCTGCAGACTGATTTTACTTTTCTATTGGACAAAAGTTTATGAATAGGTACTAATGAGCACTTTTGCTCTGTTAAAGTGAACACAGGGCACCTTTGAAACACATGTAAAGGGGAATTCCACCCATTTTTGAAATATTTCTGCATAATTAATTGGTTAAGATGTAAACAGAGGGGTTCAGGGTGGTTTGGTGTGAAACGCTCCGTTCTAGAGAAACTTACAGAGTCAGAACTGACAGTGGTGGTGATAGGAACCAGACGTCCACCTCTAAAAGCTCCCTCACAGAAAGTTCCTACATGAAATGGTTATGAATTCACTGCCTGATGACTGAGACACTGTTTTATGATAGTTTAGAGAACTTAAACTCCATTCATGGTGGAGGGATACATGCAGGGCGCTGTGAGGCAAAATAGTCCCCAAAGAAAACTTATTATTTCAGATTTTCACTATTTTCCATCATCAACATTCCATATAAGCTCACAAGACTCGTGTAGGTTCACTGGTGGTTCTGGATAGTAAATGTTGTAGTCATGGCGACCCTTGGTTCCTATCACCACCACTGTAAACAAAATCAGAACCATTCCACACCAAACCACCCTGAACGGCTTTGTTCACGGATCTAGGGAGAAAAATTTGGGTGGAATTCCCCTTTGAGGCACACAACTGGACCTAGATATGAAAACACAGTGTGGCAGAAGTTCAGACTGCCCCACCACACCCAGCAGGAGGCCTCCATGTTTACTGTTTGATTCTGTTTACATCTACTCAGAGTGATTATTCCTCTCTTTGGATATATAATATTTAATATTAACACCTTCCTTTAATTATTTTAATCCTTTTTTTGATCTATAACTGTTACTTGTGGGCTCGAGCCGCATTCCTTTGTATCAAAGGTGCAACACAAGCGCATATTTCCTATTATTACGACTGTAAGAGTGATTATTAGTCTCATTATTGTTATTATCTCCATAAATGTGCACATCAAAGTTAGTAGTCACAGCATTAAAGCCCGGCCTGTCTGCGCCACATCAGCCCACAGGGAGCCGCGCGGAACGGGGCATTTATGCGGCATTTGCGCTCAAACGGAGCTCCAGTTAAAGAAACGAGGCTGATTAAGCTTTTCGAGGCGGGTTGAGCTCAAATATAAAACGCAGCGCTGTGAAAACGAGCTGTACTCCGCTCCGCGGCTGCCCGCGCGTTCCGCGACCTGCGCTGGGATCCAGAACCTTCCTCGCGCCCAGCGGGATGAGGCTCGTTCCTCTCGCGCTTCTCCGCCGTTTGTACTCACGCTTTTCTCCGGTTTCCCTCTGGAAGCTTCGCTTCTTGGGTTATAAAGCCAGTTTTCGCTGAAACCTGTTCGGGCTGAAATGGAGGGATGACTATTCCTCCTCTCGCTCCCACTCTTCCTGCTCTCCCACTTCCTGCGTCTGGAGCTGCAGCGCCCCCTGCGGTGGAACAGCGGCGCTGCGGCGCTTTAATACAGGAACTCCGGTCGGTTTTTCTGCATTTTATTCCCTTTTAGTCGCTTTGATTACTAAATGTGTTTCCCCCAAAACCCTGTTTATCACCGAGCCTGGTCACGCCCTGTGTACATAAAAATAATGCGTGGCCACGACTTAGTAAATCATGGCAATGAGATCCTAATGTGTGGCCACAACTTTCTAATGAGTGGCCACAACTTAAGGCATGGGACCGAGGTCCACAACTTAATTATCTGATTCCCCCTACGGAGCTGCTGGTTATGTCCTGTATAAATAAAAATAATGTGTGGCCACAACTTAGTAAGGTGTGGGAATGAGATTCTAATGCGTGGCCATGGGATGTAAGACATGGGATGTTGGATGATGACTTTTTTGAAAAGGGTTCCATCACTGTTACAAGCCAAAGAACGGTTTTTGGAACAGAACCCGAAGTCTAGCTTCACTCTTGGAAAAGATGGTTCTTCAAGGGTAAAGAAAATGGTTCTATATAGACTGGTTGCACGATTAAAGGGTTCTTCGCATCATGAAATGGTTCTTCAGATTGACTGAGAATTTGCTGTAAATGGTTCTATACAGAACCTTTTTGAGTTCTATGTAGCACCAAAAAAGGGGTTCTTTTATTGATACAATACCATTACCAATGGTGCAACACTGGTGTATACTAATGTGTATATTGTGTATATATTTAGGGTCTAATATATGTATATATGTATATATATGTATATATTATAGTATTATAGTGTTTCAGTCCTGCTTTTTCACACATACATCAGTCTTAAAGGCACAGTAACAAAAAGAACATTTATCTTGACATTTCACCTCGAAGACGTTGATTAAACATACAGGAATAAACAGAAGGCAGAAGTGCCTTTTATTCTACTTTGTTTCTATTTAGTTTCCACATACCGACTGTATGAAATGAGGAATGAAGAACGTGTTTATCTCAGTGTTTGAGATGTAAACAGAGTGATTCAGAGTGGTTTGGTGTGAAATGGTTCAGATGTCTTTATAGTGGTGGTGATAGGAATCAGGGGTCGCCATGACTACAACACAGATATAGACATTTTATTTACTATCCAGAACCACCAGTGAACCTACACGAGTCTTCTGAGTTTATATGGAATGTTGATGATGGAAAATAGTGGAAAATCTGCAATAAAACAGTGTCTCAGTCATCAGGCAGTGAATTCATAACCATTTCATGTAGGAACTTTCTGTGAGGGAGCTTTTAGAGGTGGACGTCTGGTTCCCATCACCACCACTGTGAACAATTCTTTCTCTAGAACGGCGCGTTTCACACCAAACCACTCTGAACGACTCTGTTTACATCTTAACCGTTTAATTATGTAGGAATTTTGAAAAATGGGTGAAACTCCCCTTTAACTCCTGCTGAACACAGCAAAACTGGTCCATTTCGAGCAGGTTTTAAAAGCAGTCTGGTGGTTCACAGCTTGTTCATTTGGGATTAAACTAATCTATTTTAAGACAACAGATTGGGTGAGTTAGAGCTCATTTGAGGCTGATCACCTGTAATACACTTATTTTACTGAAGTGTTATTATTTAATAGCAGTATCCCAAATTATTTGTTTACATCACTGAATTATGCAGAAATTTTTGAAAAACAGGTGGTATTCTGATTTTGTTTTAAAGGGCTATATCCTATATTTTTCCAGTATTTTACTTTTCTCATGGTTTTACATACCAAAAACAATTTCATGTCTACATTTTAAAACCTCTCTGTCACTTAGAATTAAGATTAATTTTTTTGTTACTGTGCCTTTAAGACATATGTAAATGAGCTCTGTTCTGATTGGCTGCCTCCTTCAGAAAGCAGTCCAGGCTGAAACACTCCTTATAACTTCAGTGAGTGGGCGGGGCTTTACACATATAAAAATATGAGTATATATATGCAAATTAGTTGTTTTTTTGTGACATCACAAAAACAGCTAATTTAAACCTGGCTGTTTGTGCAGCTCGGTATCCATATATGGACTCGGGAGCGAATAGTACTTTCAAACTTTAACGGTGTTTACATACTGCATCAAATTATTTCATTTCAAAAGGGGAGAAACTCAGTTTTCCTCTATATGGGCCCTTTAATGACAGAAATGAGCACAAACACAAAAAAATCACACACAGAACGATGTTTTTAGCACAAAGACTTAGTCTTTTTATTGGCAGTGGAAAATAAGTTTCAGTATTTTTTTATTGAAAGGAAGCAATAAATAATACTGTGATAAAAAATAGCTCATAAGTACTCAGACTGTACAGAACTTCTGTTACAAGATCAGGAGATTTTTAACGGAGAGACAGAAAACAACGCAGAGAGAGAGAAAACCAGGACATGATGGGTGCATAACAGACTACAAATCACCAAAAAAAGAATAAATGGGGAAAAAAAAGGAAAAAAGTGGGTTTTCTTTCACGTTTGGAGGATTCTGTCACAATTTCTCCAAGTCACAATACAGTCCAGCCTTTGAAATGACTGAAGACATAAAAATGGCATTTCTATTCAAAACAAAGAGGCTGAAATCGCACACGGAAATGTGTAGAATAAATAAAAACCAAAGGGAGGAAGGAGAGGAGGAGATATAAGGCTCGATTAGTCGAAGGGTTTTTAGTTTTACGGGTAAAAATCGCGCCACTTTCGGACGCTGCAGTTTGAGCTTAGGCCACAGTGGGGTTGGTCCAGCGGAGAAGAAACACACACACACGTTCTTTTCCACGCGTCGCAGGAGAAAAGGAATGGAAAGTTTCAGCATTTCGAAGGAACGCCAGCCTCCGCGTTTTCTTTTTTTTGCTGAGAAGATGCATCCGAAAGTAGCCCTCGTCGTCGCTACGCTTATGGCTTATAGAAGAGTTCTCGTTTTGGTATCAGAGGAGAGAAAGAAAAGGGGGGGGGAAAGGATCCATCCATCAGAACGTTATACAGTCCTCTAAAATCTGCACCAAACCTGATATTCAAATAACACAAGCCGCAGCCATCAATCACAGAAATGCTTATTAAGAACCAAAAAAGGGTGCCTGGTGACAAATTAAGTTAAAATCACACTCAAGCTCAGGTTTTACGATCGAAAAGAAATGACCCGACGTAGATATGAACAATTACAAGATGAGGATTATTATAAAAAGATTAGATAATGTCCGTAGATATAAATGTACAAACCTCAGACTCGTAATAATACATTCAGTTACACCTGATAGAGAGTTAAAACATGATAAGGACACGAGAAAAGATGAAAAGGAGGGAGAAACAAATGATATACATAAACAGAACTAAATAAATGAAATGTCCCATTGGTTTACATAAATAGAATAATCAATAAATCTAAAATATGTCCTCTATCCGCAAATCCGCCCGTCTCAGAGTCCTTGCTGTCCGTTCAGCTCCCGGCCTGAAGGGGGCGCCTCGCCTTCAGCGGCATTACCTATAGAGATAATGAGCATAAACTAAGAAGAGGGGAGGAGAGAGAGAGAGAGAGAGAGAGAGAGAGAGAGAGAGAGAGAGAGAGAGAGAGAGGAAGCAAATGGATGGAAAGACAGAAAATAGATGGCACAGAGGAAAATGAAGGTGGGAAATGAACAGAGAAAAGCAAGAGGAGAGACACTTTACATTAGCGCTGTGAATGCTGAAGCACGTTTATCAGCATTAAACGTTTGCATTTAGTGTTACTGTAGTACAGTTAGTGATGATCACACAATCTGATCCATAAACAAACTCCTACAGAAGCTTAAAGGAGCAAAACAAACCCCCCAAAACACCCGAACAGGAGATATTAGTCCATTAACAACCCCAATGAACACTCACATTCACTACTAGAGGAGATATTAGTCCATAAACAAAGTCAATAAACACTCCTATATGCTAGAGCGGGAGATATCAGTCAACAACCTCAATAAACACTCATATACACTAGAATAGGAGATATTACTCCATAAACAAAGTAAATAAACGCTCCTATATGCTAGAACGGAAGATATTAGTCATAAACGACCTCAATAAACACTACAACACACTACTAGAGGAGATATTAGTCCATAAAGTAAGTCAATAAATGTTCCTGTATGCTAGAACGGAAGATATTAGTCCATAAATGACCTTGATAAACGCTCCTATACACTGGAATAGGAGATATTAGTCCATAGACGACTTCAATAAATGCTCCTATATGCTAGAACAGGAGATATCAGTCCATGAACAACTCAATATACACTCCTATACACTAAAACAGGAGATTAGTCCATAAACGACCTCAATAAAGGCTCCTATGCACTAGAATAGGAGATATTAGTCCATAAACAACATCAATAAAGGCTCTTGTACACTAGGAGATATTAGTCCATAAACCACCTCAATAAACGATCCTATATACTAGAATAGGAGATATTAGTCCATAAATAACCTCAATAAACACTCCTATACAGTAAGAGATATTAAGTCAATAAACAACCTCAACACTCCTATACATTAGAATAGGAGATATTAGTCGATACAAAAAATAATCAATGAACATTACTGTACTTTAGGAGATATAAATCTAATTAATAAACAAAAGGTGGCGAATAAAACTAATCTACATACAAAACAATGCAGCAGTAATTCATCAGCAGCCAGACTAACCGTCCATTTTTCAACATACGCATGTCTTTCGCTGTACATAAAAGGGTCTGCAGCGGCAAATTAAGGTTGGCTAGTTAGACCGACATCTAATTTCACAAGAGAAAAACTGTATTTCTGTCAAAAGAAACGGCAAACAGCGACTTTCGGAACAGCGCGGCGTCTCGGCCGATACGACCGGGTCCAGGACCCTCATCGACGGTCACTAAGAGGCAGTGAGTGAAGATGTAACCGTGCTATGATGCTGATAATATTAAAGCAGATCATACAGAAAAACTCAAACGAGGCCTCTGCTGCTCGGGGACGTGGCGGCCTAGTTTGAAAGAGGATCTCCCAGTAGACGTCAGCGTTAGCCGTGCTGTCAGTGAGACTCACCGTGGCGCTGGGTTAGCAGGAGTAGGTCCTGACCGTAGCCGAGTCCAGCCTCTGCACTCCACTCACACCCCCTACAGCAGCCAGCACATGCAAAAGCAGCCGTTAGCGCAGCCAGACGGGTTAGAACACACAAACACACAGAGAACCTCACTCATCTGCGGCTCCTCGTCACAGAAAACAAAAACACAGATATATTGCAAACACATGCAGAGACATTCGACAGCAGTACGACTGTTTTCTGTGAAGAGAAACACGAGGAAAACAAACCTGTTCAACATCATCGCTGTGAATCGCACACAAGAACAGGGCTGCAACCAACGCCTGGCAAACGCTGCAGGATAATCGGCCCATTCTGAGGCTGATTTGTTTCTCTGGACAATCGCAAAAGGTCTCCTGATATCAGGGCGATCTTAAACGATGATCTTCCCAGATTATCCTGTGGTGTCGGGCATCTATAATCCCATCTCTACTCCCCTGATCTACACTATAGAACCATGAACACTCAAAGAGGAAACTATAAGAGGTTCTATTTAGCTCCAAAAAGTGTAATAGAGCGCTTTTTAAATGAAACAGTAGAAGCCATATCGCCCCCTACACTTCCTGTAGTGTATTACAGTCTGTCAGAGTGACTGTGTGGATCATATGAACATTATAGAGCTTTTTAAATGAAACAGTAGAAGCCATATCGCCCCCTACACTTCCTGTAGTGTAATACAGTCTGTCAGAGTGACTGTGTGGATCATATGAACATTATAGAGCTTTTTAAATGAAACAGTAGAAGCCATATCGCCCCCTACACTTCCTGTGGTGTATTACAGTCTGTCAGAGTGACTGTGTGGATCATATGAACATTATAGAGCTTTTTAAATGAAACAGTAGAAGCCATATCGCCCCCTACACTTCCTGTAGTGTATTACAGTCCGTCAGAGTGACTGAGTGGATCATTTGACCATATTGTCATTGTCAACTAACAGTTGCAGCCCTGTACAGGTATAAAACACCAAGACAATCCAGGATTTGTTGGACTGGAGAACGCCGGGTCACTGGACTCCAGGTTTAAATAAAGGCCTCATCTTAATCTGCTGCATGTGTAGTATGTTGATTAAAAATGATAAAACTCAAAACAACAGTTTTACCGGTCAGATACTCTCCACTGGCTTCTGTTATAAGTAAGTCTTTTGTTAACAAGTTTTCTGTTCCTTTCTATGTATAGTAAATCTGGGCAATACGACAATCTTTATTAATATCTATTATTTATTCTTATTTATTGTCATTATTTTGATAAATTACATCAAAGCACGCCACTATAAGCTTTGCTTACCATATCATGAATATCAAATGTGTGTGAAATATTGAATATAAATCACTATATTCATAGCTTTGATCAGATTTTTTAAATATGGCAATGTTTTGTCAATTTATCAACGTCAAAAATATATTGTGACACGTCATGTAAAACTTAAAAACTGCTAGAAGCTTCATGATACATTTTTTTCATATCGCCCACATCTAATGTATAGGGTAAAAAATCTAAATTAAAGTCCAGCACAGATGCAGCAGACAGAGATCAGCAAGAGAAGTGCAGGAGTTTATCCTTTACCTCTCCTCATGTCTGTACATACCGTCCAGCTGGTGTTTCTTTGGCTGCAGGGCCGGAGAGGAAGAGTTGGTCACTCTGAAGTTGGCGGGCAGCGTGTCGGCCGAGCCCACGCCGAGACCCCTCACGTCTTTGGGCCGAAACTTCTTCCTCCAGGACGGGGCGCGCCTGAAATTCTTATCATCGTCCTGGAGGAGAAAGAGAGGAGACTTCAGGAAAAAGAGAGAGAGAGAGAGAGAGAGACAGAGAGAAAGAGAGAGAGAGAGACAGAGAGTGAGCGAGAGAAAGACAGAGAAAGAGAGAACGCGTGAGAGAGCAAGAGCAGACAGAGAGACAGTGAAAGAGAACGCGAGAGAGAGAGCCAGACAGAAAAAGAGAGCGAAACAGAGAGACAGTGAAAGAGAGAACGCAAGACAGAGAGTGCAGAAAGAGAGAGTGCAAGACAGAGACAGAGACAGAGAGGGCAAGACAGAGACAGAGACAGAGAGGGCAAGACAGAGAGAAAGAGAGAGAGACAGAGAAAGAGAGAGAGACAGAAAGAGTGCGCAGACACAGAATGTGCGAGAGAAAAATAGAGAGACAGAAAGAGCAAGACAGAGAGCAAGTGCGAGAATGAGCGACACAGCAAGTGAGAGAGCGAGGCAGAGACAAAGGGAGAGAGCAACAGACAGACAGGTTAGAAAGAGAGGTAGAGACAGAGAAAGCTACAGAGCAAGAGACAGAGATACAGAGAGAGAGAGCGAGAGACAGAGAGAGAGAGAGACAGAGAGAGAGAGCGAGAGACAGAGAGAGAGAGAGACAGAGAGAGAGAGAGAGAGGGAGGGAGGAGAGAGGGAGAGGGAGGAGGGAGGAGAGGGAGGAGGGAGGAGGGAGAGAGAGAGAGAGAGAGAGAGAGAGGGAGAGGAGAGAGAGAGAGAGAGAGAGAGAGAGAGAGAGAGGGGAGGGAGGAGGAGGGAGGGAGGGAGGGAGGGAGAGAGAGAAGGAGCGAGGGAGGGAGGGAGAGAGAGAGAGGGAGGGAGGGAGGGAGAGAGAGAAGGAGCGAGGGAGGGAGAGAGAGAGAGAGAGAGACGAGAGAGAGAGAGAGAGAGAGAGAGAGAGAGAGAGACAGAGACACAGAGAGAGAGAGACACAGAGAGAGAGAGAGAGAGAGCTGACCTCTTCTAGTTTTCTCTCTGTTCCATTGGCCAGCAGGTTGTTGTATTCTCTCTCCAGAACTGCCCTCGCCTGTGGGAGCAGGACAGACAGGAATAAAGCAGAAAAATTAAACGACACCAAAGAAGAAACACCGAAGCACAACATGGATTAACATTCTGGCATCACTTTTAGACAATATTTTCATTATTTTATATACAATATCTTATAAACTGTAGACTTTGAAACACCATAAACAAGATAAATACGGTATTTCTACCTACAGTAATACAGTAATAGTGCTGTTACAGTCTGACAGAATGACTGCGTGGATCAAATGAACATTGTAGAGGCTTTTTTTTTACCCAGTAGTCTGTAATGCAAAACTGAAGATGTTGCCAATATTTGATACAATACTCAGGGATGCTTTGCTTTACTTTTTATTTATTTTGCTGAACTGCTGTAACAAAAGCAAAAGACGACTCAAGATTTTTTGTCACCGTAAACATCACACAATTTTAGCCCTTTCGTGTTCTAATGCTTGAAGGTGAATTCCACCAGTTTTTCAAAATTTCTCCACTAATCAACGGCTGAGATGTAATCAGAGCGGTTCAGAGCGGTTTGGTGTGAAACGCTCCGTTCTAGAGAAACTTACCGAGTCAGAACTGTTCACAGTGGTGGTGATAGGAACCAGACGTCCACCTCTAAAAGCTCCCTCACAGAAAGTTCCTACATGAAATGGTTATGAATTCACTGCCTGATGGCTGAGACACTGTTTTATTGCAGACCATCTTCAGTCCATATAAAACTCATACACGTGTAGGTTCACTGGTGGTGTTGGATAGTAAATCAAATGTATTTATGTAATATTTGTGTTGTAGTCATTGCGACCCCTGGTTCCTACACTCTGACAACTGTCACTGGGTGCAGTTCCCCTCTCAGTACCTTTAGTCAGGGAACATAACTGAACCATAATCCACTGAAATGATATGTTCTAAGCTGTACTGACTCCACACACCCCGTCTCGCCTCCAGGCTTTTATTTTACTGTTCTGTTTTAAAACATTCGGTTATGAAAAGGTAAAAATACGAACTTTTCACCTGGAAAAACTTATTTAAGGCTCACAATCAGACCTTAAAACCACTGTTGGAGCTTTGAGGGAACATTTACACTGTTTGTACCTTGATAAATGAAAAATGTACCTTTATTTCTAACAGGATCACCACCACTGTAAGAGTCTCTACAATGAACCATGTCACACCAAACCACTCTAAATGACTCCGTTTACATCTCAACCACTGAATTATGCATAAATATAGAAAAACTGGTGGAATTCCCCTTTAAGTGACCCCTCCTGTACGGTATGTGTTTTCAGAGGTTACCTGTGTGCTCTGCGTGGGAATCTGCAGCAGCAGAGCGAGGGTGTTGTGGTCGAACGTCTCGTCCAGAGCCATCAGCGCTCCGTGCACGCCGCTCTCCAGCAGGTTATTAGCGTACTCCTTCAGCCCGATCAGCTGCACCCACTTTATCACCCGCTCGTTACTCCACACCAGAACATCTGCTAAAACAACGTCCAGTCAGAGTTTAGTGCTTAACTGGGCTGCATGTAACTGTTTTTGCTTCATCTACTAATTTGTTGATCATGGCTTTGATTAAAAAATAGAGTTTGTTTAGATAGTTTTCTGTTTAAGAAAACTCTTCCTTAAAAAATACATATTTTTAAAGTAAAATATCGCTGTTGTCTCAACAAAACCTCGTATCTCCAAAACGGTAACTTTACAGGAGAAGGAAAAAACCTACTTTACTTTTAATGTAAGTCAATGGAACCAGACGTTTTTCCAAGTCATTTTGGGCCGTTTCTTTTAGTCCATTCATCATGAAATTTACAAACAACGTAAAGAGCAAAAGGTATTTTCAAATTATGTCAAAAACTGAAAAAACGTCAAAAATGGAGATACAAGGTTTTCTTTCGACAGCAGCAACAACAATAATCTTCAATGATCACCTTTGTCTTCATACAAATTCAACTAAACCTGGTTGGCAACTCTGAGATGGATGTTTGAGTAAAAGAATAATTAAAATAAATGAATGAATAAAACATTTAAATGACCATTACAATACTACGCTTTTTATTCAGTGTTTAACATGATGCACTACTCTACATCCAGTTAAACAGGACTAATTATGCTCTCTTCAAATGAAACTTGCAGTTGGTCAGTGTTCTTTAAGGAGCTCATCCTACAATTTTCTTGTACTTTATTTTGTACTTTAATGTGTTTTATGTACCACACAAACAGTCATAATTAATTTCTACACGCTCATTGTCCATTTTATCAGCTCCACTTACTATATAGGTGCACTTTGTAGTTCTACAGTTACAGACTGTAGTCCATCTGTTTCTCTGATACTTTGTTAGCCCCCTTTTACCCTGTTCTTCAGTGGTCAGGACCCCCATGGACCCTCACAGAGCAGGTACTATTTGGGTGGTGGGTCATTCTCAGCACTACAGTAACACTGACGTGGTGGTGGTGTGTTAGTGTGTGTTGTGCTGGTCTGAGTGGATCAGACAGCAGTGCTGCTGGAGTTTTTAACCACCTCAGTGTCACTGCTGGACTGAGAATAGTCCACCAACCAAAAATATCCAGCCGACAGCGTCCTGTGACCACTGATGAAGGACTAGAGGATGACCAACACAACTGTGCAGCAGCAGATGAGCTATCGTCTCTGACTTTACATCTACAAGGTGGACTGACAAGGTAGGAGTGTCTAATAGAGTGGACAGTGAGTGGACACAGTGTTTAAAAACTCCAGCAGCACTGCTGTGTCTGATCCACTCAGACCAGCACAACACACACTAACACACCACCACCACGTCAGTGTTACTGCAGTGCTGAGAATGATCCACCAACCAAATAGTACCTGCTCTGTGAGGGTCCATGGGGGTCCTGACCACTGAAGAACAGGGTAAAAGGGGGCTAACAAAGTATCAGAGAAACAGATGGACTACAGTCTGTAACTGTAGAACTACAAAGTGCACCTATATAGTAAGTGGAGCTGATAAAATGGACAATGAGCGTAGAAACAAGGAGGTGCTCATAATGTTATGCCTGATTGGTGTATCTTCTACATATTAGAAATATATACTATATATACGCATAAATATATTGTCAAGTCACCGTTTTCCCTAATGCGCCTCTGAGGGACGCAGAGCTGCGCCGAGGAGACAAGAGCGCTTTTAAAACTGAATGCTGCTGCTTTTCATAATGTTATGCCTGATCAGTGTATGTAAATACGTCTAATCTGATTTGCTGCTCTGTATTGCACCTCATTCAGAAAGCAGGCCGGGCTGAAATACTCCTTATAAATTCAGTGTGAGTGGGCGGGGCTAAACTGCTGTAGACCGAATAGGTGGATATGTGGTTAAACAATCAATATTCATGCTATAACCTTATGTACAAAATAAGCAGGTATAATTTTACTGATTACTGTTTTTGTCTATTTTATCTATTCCATGTTCCAGCTTTTGTGTGGTAACTCGCAGACTGGTGTGTGTTGGACCGACCTTGGACCTCCACCTGGGACTCCTCTCGTCTTCTCTCCAGCTCCTTCCTGTCGTAGTTCAGCCGCCTCAGACACATCACACCGCACTGGAAACTGTTTCTGTTGGAGACAGTGATGAGCTTTTTGATATTGTCCTATTTTCATGGAGGTTTCACTGTTTTTTAAAACCTTTTTACTCCATACTTAATATTCAGTGTTTAAAATTAACTTATTATTCTACTGCGATACACAGCATCTACTACGAATTACTCAGCATCTACTACGAATTACTCAGTATCTACTATGAGTTATTCCGAATTATTATTATCTCCTATGAAATACTGAGTATATACTATTACTCAGTATCTACTATGAATCACACGATGTCTATTACTCACTCAGTATGTACTATGAATTATTCAGTATCCACTATAATTTACTGAGTATCTACTATACATTACTCAGCATCCACTATGAATTACTCAGCATCCACTATGAATTATTCAGTATCCACTATGAATTACTCAGTATCCACTATGAATTATTCAGCATCTACTATGAATTATTCAGTATCCACTACGAATTACTCAGTATCCACTATGAATTATTCAGTATCCACTATGAATTACTCAGCATCCACTATGAATTATTCAGTATCCACTATGAATTATTCAGTATCCACTACGAATTACTCAGTATCCACTATGAATTATTCAGTATCCACTACGAATTACTCAGTATCCACTATGAATTATTCAGTATCCACTATGAATTACTCAGCATCCACTATGAATTATTCAGTATCCACTATGAATTACTCAATATCCACTATGAATTACTCAGCATCCACTACGAATTACTCAGTATCCACTATGAATTACTCAGCATCCACTATGAATTACCTAATATCCACTATGAATTACCTAATATCCACTATGAATTACTCAGCATCCACTATGAATTACTCAGCATCCACTATGAATTACTCAGCATCCACTATGAATTACCTAATATCCACTATGAATTACCTAATATCCACTATGAATTACTCAGCATCCACTATGAATTATTCAGTATCCACTATGAATTACTCAATATCCACTATGAATTACTCAGCATCCACTACGAATTACTCAGCATCCACTACGAATTACTCAGCATCCACTACGAATTACTCAGCATCCACTATGAATTACCCAATATCCACTATGAATTACTCAGTATCCACTATGAATTACTCAGTATCCACTATGAATTACTCAGTATCCACTATGAATTACTCAGTATCTACTATGAATTACTCAGTATCCACTATGAATTACTCAATATCCACTATGAATTACTCAGTATCCACTATGAATTACTCAGTATCCACTATGAATTACTCAGCATCCACTACGAATTACTCAATATCCACTATGAATTACTCAGTATCTACTATGAATTACTCAGTATCCACTATGAATTACTCAGTATCCACTATGAATTACTCAGTATCTACTATGAATTACTCAGCATCTACTATGAATTACCCAATATCCACTATGAATTATTCAGTATCCACTATGAATTACTCAGTATCCACTATGAATTACCCAATATCCACTATGAATTGCTCAGTATCTACTAAGAATTACTCAGTATCCACTATGAATTACTGTGTCTACAATGAATTATTATAACCAGCATGAATTACTCAGTATCCACTATAAATTACTGTGTCTACTATGAATTGCTCAGTGTCCACTATGATTTTTTTCAGTGTCTACTATGAAATACTCAGTATCCCCTATGAATTATTTTGTCCAGTATGAATTACTCAGTATCTATTATGAATTACTCAGTATGTACTACAAATTATTCCGTAACAAACACAAATTATTCAGTATCTACTATAAATTACTCAGTCATTACCATAAATGACTTTGTATCCTCTATCAAATCCTACCTGTGGAAGCTGTCCACCATCTTCAACTGGCCACGGAGGTCCTTCTTGGTCAGGTGGTCCAGCATGCGGGCGTCCACCAGAGACTCCATGAAGTAGCTGCGGTACTGAGGCAGCCCCAGACTGGGCAGCCAGTCATTACCGATCCACTCGTGGTTCATATCTCCGTACGCCAGAGTCTACACAATCAAACACACACGCTCAGTCAGCACCGCGACAGACTCGCAGCATTAAAGCGACAGTTCTGCAAAAAAATCATTTACCCATCATTTATCGATTTCCCTTTACCTCAAATCAGTCGATCAGGCGAAACACGTTTACTGTCTGAAGCTTTCATATTTAGTTTTAGCGCTGGAGCTACGAGGCAAATGTGGCTAACAAGTAATGGAAGCTAATGTCCATGTTTACATATAACAGTGAGTCAGAATGATCAAGTCTATTAGAGTTACTGATCAACTCCACATGCTGAGAGGAGAGTATGTGATGATTTAGGCCTGATGCTGATTGGTGGGATAAAAGCTTCCATCACTTATTAGCTACATTAGCCTCATAGCGCCAAGGCTAACACTAAAGAAGCTACTTCAGACCCCAAACAAAAACAAAACAGGCCTTTTAGAAAACTAAAAAAAGTAGTTGTTTCGGCTGTACTGGGAGGAGTTTCGGCTGTACTGGGAGAGGTTTCGGCTGTATTGGGAGGAGTTTCGGCTGTACTGGGAGGAGTTTCGGCTGTACTGGGAGAGGTTTCGGCTGTACTGGGAGGAGTTTCGGCTGTACTGGGAGAGGTTTCGGTTGTACTGGGAGGAGTTTCGGCTGTACTGGGAGAGGTTTCGATTGTACTGGGAGGAGTTTCGGCTGTACTGGGAGAGGTTTCGATTGTACTGGGAGAGGTTTGTACCAAATGCAGATATTTTTGTGAGCGCAGAACAGAGCAGTATATCGTTTCTCAGCCAATCAGTTAAGCTAACTAGCAAGCAACGTAGCTAATTAGCCAAATTAGACACTTTACAATGACATAAAATGACAAAAGACAATTAAATCATTAATTGCAGGTCTCATGGTGGTTCCATGTCTGAAGCAGCTGGAAAATGAACAAGTTCCCATTTGGTTCAGGTCTTATTTCTGAATGTGCAGCAGAAAAACACTCTAGGATTTTAAGAGTGCAAGCTAATGTACTTAGTGTGTAGAGTAGAGTGTGCAGCTGCTCTACACGTCTGGAAGCTTCCGGCAGCTGACCGCAAAGCGATTCTACAACCTCTGCACTTCCAAAACACTGCCGGCACCAACAGATTTGCATCAGATTTGCAAAGATTATTTTTAGCTGTGATTTGCAAAATGAAAAGAGAAGATTCCCAATCACTGAGTAAATACCAAATACAGCTAAAACAGGAAATTAAATTAAAATCTGATGATCGACTCCTCTGAACCATGATCAGCGCTAATAATACAGAGGGCGTTCATTTCTGATCATGCTACAATTCTATTATGATTCTTCAGGCAATAATTCAACGCATAATTTAATTTCACATTTCAAAACAATGTGATTGTTATTTTGGCAGATTCAGATCAGCTTTAAAGGGCCCATATCCTACACTTTTCCACTTATACAGTAAATCCCTGTTTACACCGGTCACTTCAGGTGTCTAGTATCTGCTGGTAAGTTAAGATTTTAGCCACTTGCTAGTGAAATGCATCTCTTAATCAGACTGGAATCTGATTGCTGTGTGGGACGGAATATGCAAATCCGCTCGTTACGCGGCAACTAATTACCAACTGTTTATCCGTTCAGCCTCTTCGTCTGCAGTGTTTTGTAGTCGTGTCTGTCCACGTTGGTATTAAGCATCTAGTTTCGTCTCCAATCATGAGCCCCCCCATGATCATCTCCCTCACAGACGTGGATCATGTGTCCAGTGACGCGCTGCATTGGGAGGAGTTTCAGTTGTACTGGGAGGAGTTTCGGTTGTGCTGGGTGGAGCTTTGGTTGTACTGTCAGGGGTTCTGGTTGTACTGGGAGGAGCTTCGGCTGTACAGGGAGGAGCTTTGGTTGTACTGGGAGGGGTTTCGGTTGTACTGGGAAGAGATACCGTTGTACTGGGAGGAGCTTTGGGGGTACTGGGAAGAGTTTCGGGTGTACTGGGAGGGGTTTTGGTTGTACTGGGAGGAGTTTTGGTTGTTGAATGCGTCTTGGAGAGACGTTTGTGTTTACGCTGTTATAACGTGGCTCAAATGCGTCTCAGTTCACCTCCTGAAGTGGTCTGATTGATCAGATCTGTATCTGTTTAAATGCATCCTGGCTGCATTTACACTCGCATTTTTATGTGGTTTGGCCTCCAGATATAATCCTGATACTCAAGACGCATGAAGTGACCCGGTGTAAACGGAGTCTTTGTCTGGGTGTATGAATTAAAAAACAGTAACAATTCATTTATACTTGACCATTTTCAACCTCCCCTCATCCCTTATGCTGCGTTCGCGTTGGGGAAAAAAAGTCACTCTGTGCTTCAGAGCAGTTCACAGCCACGCAAGAGGTAAGACATGCAAACACTGGCATGGTGAAAACTTAACTGGCAAAAAGTTTTGGACACTGTTTATTTCTAAATAATCAGTTTTCTATGATAAGGGCCCTTTAAAACTACAATGCACATATTTACACAGTAGTTGATATTTTTAAATTTAGGAAAAAAAGCCTGAGAGTTTTATTTTGGCCAAAATATTAAAATATTAAACCATATTTTATAGTATACTGCATACTGATTCATACATTCCAAATTTAATGTAGCTGAATCACCATCTTCAGACTGACGCAACACAACGCCAGCATATCGTCACTGTTGGAACTTTTTTTCCCCGATAGGAATCAAATATTTTTCCAATCAAAGTAGAGCTGGGCGATATGGCCAAAAACATTATCACGATAAACATAATTCATATCGTTCGATATTGATACATATCACGATAAATGTCAAATCATGATTTCTTTCATGTTTGAAGGCTGATTTTGCTCCTGGGTGGTTAACTGTGGTTTTAAACTATCACTTATGGTCCGATCATAACAAACACTCGGCAAACAGTGGAACATTTCACTAATCTGTCTTGGGACAGTGGGAGAAAGTTTCTGAGCTGTTTTTATCAGCTGGAAAAGCACAGCTGCAATTTTTGTAATAATCATGATTTAAGAAAGAAAACAGATTATTTTAGCTGTCTGGTGTCGAGCGCTCGGCTACCCCGCTACAAACGCTAAACAAGTGGCCAACAACAGAGCTAAACTCTTTAGTTTCTCAACAACGTCAGCTCGGTTCGGTAGGTCACTGCGGTCACTCCCACCACATCCATGTCAGAGCAGATCACAGTATTCAGACACCAGCTAGACGACTGGGTTTCTCTATGCTATCGCAGTAGTTTAAGGGGTGAACCGCAGTATATCTGACGCTCGCTGTGTAAGAGCATTATCTGCAGTGTGAATCTCTCACACCAGTCATAGAGTCCTCCTTTTAGGCATGTTTAAACTGAAAGCAGTGATTTTGTGTCTTGTTTGATCTACAGTATCATCAATGTCACGTGTTGTGCCGGAGCGCTGCTTCAATTAGCCAGCAGCTAAAAACAGCTAGCCTGGAGAGACAGCGCTCTCCCGCTCTCCAACGCCTCACAGCTTCCTCAGTTTACTTTTGAACATTAACCCACTTCTTTCTTTCACTTTCGTTGCTCGAGAATGCACTAATACTAAAATATGACGGTTTGGCGCTGTAACACGGCGCTGCAGACGTGATTTAACACCGCTGAAGTTGTTAGGATGCACGGAAAGAGGTGAGTTCGCTGTAGGACAGTACAGTTACGTCACTTATCTCATCACTCGGTCACAGGAGAACAGATCGCCGGTCGCTCCGCTCAAACAGGGAATGTATAACTCCGCGTTTCAGCCGTTGCTAAAGTATATTTGGTGACCCTTTTTTTTACTCGTGGCCCCCTCCCTCTCTAATCAAGTCGAAAAACTCGGAAGTGCGCCCTCTCCTGGCGACAGCAGATTAGTGTCGCTTTCCTTGCTGTAGAAAACGCCACCAGGGCTTTCACTAAAACGTGGAAGTGTGAGAATGGTGTATTATATCGAACATTTATCGAACCTTTCTTATCGCTCTATCGAGGAAAAGTTATATCACGATACTTATCGTTATCGTTTTATCGCCCAGCCCTAAATCAAAGTTAATAAAAGTTTACTCCTTATCCTGTTTAGTTCCCATTTTGGAGATGTGAGGTTGTCACGCCAGCAGCGATATACTGATGCTTTGGAAACTACTACTATATTGAAAAAAAAAACATATTGATCATATAAAAATACAAACAAAGTAACCCATATATCATCACTGATAAGCAGTATTTTGAGTTCAGATGAGAGAGAGAGAGAGAGAGAGAGAGAGAGAGAGAGAGAGAGAGACTCAAACCTGGGCCCAGCTGCCCTCGTCATCCTCCTGGTGTTAGCACGGTTAGCGTTAGCGTGAGGGAGAGTCAGAGAGTGTGGTTAGTGAGGCAGTAAAGCAGTGTTAACAGCAGACAAGTGTTTATACAAGTGAGTTACAGTCGTGTGCAGAAGTTTTGGCACCCCGGTCAAATTTCATGTTGTTTTTCTGAGTGTAAATAAGTGAACACATCCTCTAGAGGACAGACTTTCGTACATTTTAGTGCACAATTACTGTTTATTTGATGAATTTAACAAAATTAATGAGAAAATGTGCACTGAAATGTGCACAAGAGTGTCTCTGTAAAGGATGCGTTCACTTATTTATACTCAGTAAATCAACAACAGCAAGGGAACTGACCGGGGCGCCAAAACTTTTCCATACGACTACGTAAGGCTACGTTCACATTACCAGGCTGAAGTGGCACAAATCTGATTTTTTGCCCTGATGTGACTCAGATCTGATGTTTTCAGAGCTGTGTGGACGCAAATCTGATCTTTTCAAATCCGACCTGAGTCACTTTCATATGTGGTCCTAGATCGGATACGTATCCGATTCGTGGCCATGTGACCTTAATGTGACGCTCAGATCGGAATTCATGTGCTTTTTTTCCACTGCGCTGCGTCGTCATTCAGCGTTACCATGGCAGCAGCGCCGAACAGAAGTTAAAGCCTGTAAACGGTGGAAAAGCAGCTCATCTCACCTTTTTCTCCTTCGTCTCGCTCTAATAATGAAGCTGAGAGCTGATCAGAGTTAATGATCTTCTCAGCGAAGCTCGTTCTGCTCGTTAGTTTGTGCTGATGATGAACGTGATTCATTCACGTGACGTTACTGAGTAGGATGAGCTCATGAGGGTCATTTCAGAACGCCGGTTCGTCACATTAATGACAGATCTGAATCACCCAAACGAGTGTGAACCATCGTGTCAGAGAAATCGGACCTGAGCAAAAAATTGGATTTGAGCAACGAGGCCTGTAATGTGAACGAGGCTGAAGTGAGTATTTACTAAAACAGTCATGCATTTATACAAACACTACAAAAACAAAAGCACACATACAGTCTACATACACACACACATATACACAGTACTGTGCAGCACTGTTTGTCTCAGGCAGACAAAAAGTGTTTAAATGTGTTTATCAGATGAACAAAGACTTTTGCACAGTACTATATATATGAAACTTAATAAATAAAAATACATACATATATAAATACATACGGACGGACATTAGGGCCTCACTGATATGGAAATGTTGACAGATTTAAGGAGCTACAAATTCTGATAACCAATATAATTTTAGACTTCACTCAGTTTTCTGCAGTTACACATTAATCATCATTCCTGTAGCCGGTTTATCCAATTTGTCTAATTTTCTCACTGTAGTTTCTGGGCAGACTTCAACAGTTTTAGGGCTTTTTCTCAAATAATTCAGTTCTCAGTTACAAAAAGTCAAATAAACAGCAGAATTTCTGTCTTGAACAACAAGTAATGTAATGTAGTGCGTGGTGCGTAGAAAAATTCTCAGATTTTGTTGTTGGGGTCTAAAAATCAACTCTTTCTTCAACTCTGTTTTTTTTTGTTTCATATCGTATGTGTTTAGGTTCAGTTCAGCCTATATTACAGTATTAAAGCTGTTTACAACAGAAACATGAAGCATTTGATTATGAAACCATTAAATTTAGCAAAAATTATAATACTTAATGAGAAATTTACAAATGAGTCATTCTACAGAAACGTCCATTATTGTGTCCCTAGTGTTTATAGATATATTACACTTAAAAAGCATGTTAGGGTTAGAATTTATTTATATTTTAAAATAAAACAATAAGTTATTTTAACAATTACACCTTCTTGAGCCTCAATTTAGCAATATTGGTTTTTAAATCAATCATATAGAATTCAAACACCACAGAAGAGCTCGTCCTCACAGTCATGTGTGAAGACTGAGGATATATTTTGAGGTAAAAAAAACATGTTTTTCTGCAATTTTAACGACAATAATCTATACATGACTATGGAATATATGATTTAATGACAAAGAAAATAAAAGCCAAATAAATATTATAAAATATAATGAAAGTCCCCAGGAGTCGTGTCACTGGTGTTACTGCATAACAAAAAATCTCTTATTTTGAAATAAAAGTCACACTGATGACATCACTCGACTTCCTTTTACCTGTGTTCTGAGGATCTATGAAGAAAAGCTCATGGTGAGTCCACTGTGTCTTTCAGTTATCAGAGATTTTCTCATTTAGCTCATGATTTCATATGAAGCTTTTAGCTGAAGTCACTGGTGTGACCGACTTTATTCTGAGGTCATTGTGAAAAAATAGAACTCAAATGGATTAAATTCCATATTTTGGTGGATATTCCATGATTGACAACATGTGGTTTGATGTTCTGTAGCAGCCATTCTGTAAAATGCATTTTTCATAAAAATGTCTCTGGTGTTCCTTTATTATGTGGAACACCAATGAGGATCAGTAACACCAGTGACTCCTATGGACAGATAGAAAAGTGGACGTTTCTGTAGAATGACCAAAATACACAAATATCAGTGTTTTATTGATGGCATGTTTACTGATGGCAAAACATTTGTGTAATCTTAAAGTTGCACTATGTAAGATTTGGGAATCTGGAGACCTCTCTGGTGGAAACTGTAACTGCATGCAATGTGGTGTGAGTTGTGCTTTGGACCCCATCAAATCTGATGATTGAAAAAGATTTCAAATAGATTTCCATGAGTGAATTATCTACTATTGTCATATCTTTATCAATATAATGTAGTGTAACAAATATATTAATGTATAATATAACAAAATAAAAATGTCTAATATTAAGTGTGTTATATACTATAACTTCGATTTTAACAAAAAAAAAAGGAAAAACCTATACAGTGCTGCTTTAACCCATATGATATATCAGCCAGGCCCCACACACAAACACAAACAAACACCAAATTTTAGGAGAGTGGATCTGGAGAGGATCTAGGTGAAGCTGGCACCGTGCCAGGTGATCATGTGACTAACCGTGGGCGGCGTGGCTGCCAGGCTCTCCATCTCCTCATGGGTAACCCACACATTCCCCGTGGACTAAATCACACAGAGCCAAATCAGCAGAGCCGCGGGAAGAAACGAGCGCAATTCCATCAGTGAGGAAACGTGAAACGAGTGCAGGGAGGGAGGAGAGAGAGGGACGGGTAAAAGAAGAGAGATCAATAAAGCAGAAAGAATCTGCCATTCAGCATCAGATTTCCAGTGAATTAACCTGACATGTGCTGAGAACAGTGTGAGTGATTCAGTGTTAGTCAGAGTGAGGAAGAGGAGGAACATGCTCTGATCAGAGAGAGGAAGACTGGGCACCACGGCAACGCTGTGCTGTGGTTCCTGATCCGGAAAAACACAACAGCACATAAAGACTGACAAATGTTTGAAATGTGGCTACATCCACCAATTTCTCAACATAACTAAGCTGCTGCCATTCAGAGTGGTTTGGTGTGAAATGGGTCAGGTGTCTTTACAGTGGTGGTGATAGGAACCAGGTGTCACCATGACTACAACACAAATATAGACATTTTATTTACTATCCAGAACCACCAGTGAACCTACACGAGTCTTCTGAGTTTATATGGAATGTTGATGATGGAAAATAGTGGAAAATCTGAAATAATAAGTTTTCTCTGGGGACTATTTTGCCTCACAGTGCCCTGCATGTATCCCTCCACCATGAATGGAGTTGAAGTTCTCTAAACTATCATAAAACAGTGTCTCAGTCATCAGGCAGTGAATTCATAACCATTTCATGTAGTAACTTTCTGTGAGGAGCTTTTAGAGGTGGACGTCTGGTTCCTATCACCACCACTGTAAACAGTTCTGACTCTAAGTTTTTTGATAAAAAATCTACTTATAATCTCTAAACTTCTAGAATTTCTGCATCTACAGAATATCAAAAAACAGTGTCTGTGGGCTGAGCTATGATGGTTTTCCATTCTATGGCTCATTACTATGCACAAATATATTATTAGTGTGCGACAGTCGTACTTATGTTCTCTTCTCACTAATTTTCTCTGGAAAATGAAAGATAAAGCTGAACACTATCACTAGTTTATTTATTACTATTTATTATCATCTGATCAGATTCACTCTAAGCTGAAGGTGCTTCATTAAAACAGACTTTGGCCCAGTCCCATTTCTTAATTTTACCCCTACCCCTTGTTTTCGAGGGTCACTGTAACCCCTTGGAACTGAGTTAGTGGTTGAACTCTTCCCTCTGAAATGGGACCCTCAAATAAAAAGAGCATCACTTCATTAACAGCTACCAGCGCTGCTCTGTAGGCGACCCTGCCAGTCTGCAGTGACAGCAGAGGAGGGTAAAGTTCAGCTCCTCACTGCTGGGCTTTAGTTACATTTAGGGAATCATATGACTTCAAAGAGGGGGGCAATTATTTATTACCCCCCCCCGCAAATTCTTCAGTGATATGAAGCTGAAGTCAGGTATTCACCGGCGTCTTGTTTGAATTTTCCGGTTCCACCTTAAATGGTGGATCCCTGAGGCATCACAATGTAACTGCTGCGGCATTTAAGGTGGAGCCAGAAATTTATATTGAGGGTCATGTAGCCCCAGCACTTCGCCCTACCCCTCTATCTCAACAAGAATTGGGACACCCCACCCCTAGACGTTAACACGCAAAACAGAGGGGTAGGGGAGAGGGGTGAAATGGGATTGGGCCTTAGTCTTGCTTACTGGAACACAGCCCACTATTAACAGCTTCCTAACCATTCCTAACTATTGTCCTCATAAAGTTGATAAGACAAAGGTCAGTTTGAGCTCTGCAGGCAGAAGGCAGCAGTGTGTGTGTGTGTGTGTGTGTGTGTGTGTGTGTGTGCATCCTACCGTTCTAGAGGTGGGTGGAGCTGAAGGGCTGGTCAGAGACATGATCTCCTGTATGGCGAGGCGCAGTTTGAGGCGGTGGAGCGGGTTACTGATGCCGATTTCTCTCTGGATTTCCGTGTCCGACAGCGCGGACATGATGGCGCCGCTCTTCACGTTGGCACGGCAGGCTGCCACGTACCACGCTGGCATACCGACCCACAGCTGGGAGAGGAGAAAAAAAAAAAATCGACAGCATAATTTTAACTTCTTTCCCCCCTTTAAACATTTTAACAACTATAGCTTTTACAATACAGGTTAAGACTGAGGTGTTTATTCTCACTCTGCTCAACAATCTGATGGAAATCCCCGTTTACATGCTCACTACAAGTAAACCGATCCAAAATTACGTGCATGTGTAAAGAACCACTTAGTCGCTGAGTGTAGACGTTACCATGACAACAAGCATCACGTGAGTCCAGTCGGAGTGAGATGAGCAGCAGTGAGCAGCGCTTGTGTTTTTAATTGCTTTAAAATGGTGTCAGACTCAGGAAAACGTCCTTCACATGTCCTTATTAAAGAAGGCCGAGAGGAAGACGTCGTGTTCTGAGACACATAAGCTGGACGTCCGTCCCACCGCCGTCTTTTAAAGATCAGAGCATAAACTTCGTCTCCTCTGCAGACCAGTTTCTGCTCCGCCATGTTGAACGGTATAAACTTTCACTATGACGTGACGAACATGATCAGAACGGACTTAAACTTTCCGATAGGGAATGTAATCAGATACAGGCGTTTACACGGATATTATTCTTCTATTTAACAGATTATTTACAGGATTACCCACCTCGATCAATCATAGAAACTGTCTTCTGAATGGCCTCAATCTGACTAGTCTATTCCCACTGAGATATTGACATGGACATGTTCTATTCCGATTGAGCTATTAGTCGGATTATTAACGGATTATTAGGCTGCATGTAAACATGGCTTATTTCCTTTATTTCTAAAACGGAAAATTATACCAACATAATTAGGAAGTGTCAGAGGAAACAACCAATCACCAGTGGATGGAATTAATTTTGTCGGAAAAAAAAATCTTTCAGGAAGTTCTAGCTAATTGACTGCGAATGTGCGCTGTAACCAGGTTCCGGTTAGTTGTTAGGAATGGAAAACAGCGGCAGCAGCTCTGTGTCAGGACTCTTTACTGAAAGAGTCGCTGTGAAACAAATACAAGCTCAGATATATGATAATGGAATGTCTTTTACAGCCTCAAATGTCTGTGCTTAATCTAGAACGACCAGAAAAGATTCATCTCCATGAGAGTTTGCTAAGCGCTAACGTTCTAATAGATATTCCACAGGGGTGCTAACAGAACTTTTCTTGGTTTGATATTTCCGGTCCGAAGTGACTGAAGTAAGTTTAAGCATGTCTGTAATTGTACCTCCAGCCAGGAAACCACAGTCGGTCCGTCCCACTGGGCGAAGGGCAGCCCCTGTCTGCGGGCCTCCTCCAGCAACTCATGCCTTTAGAAACACAGAGAGGAACACATAGGATCATATGTACCTCAACACCCCCCCCACACCCAAACCCCCACACCAGGGCATCAAACACCAAACCCACCACACAGTAAAGTCCCCCCAACACAGTAAAGCCCCCCACAGAAAGAAATGCTGGATATACAGAATGCCAAACGCATTCAGTCATGCTGAGAAGAAAAGTGATGCAGATATCAGTCGTTTATTTACTGTATTCTGTTTTTTAACAGGCACTGAGGACAGAGTCAAGGTCCAGGAGAGGAAGACTGAACATGCACCACGTTAGCACTTCTCTCATACACACACACACACACACACACACTCAGATAGACGTGCTGATGAAAAAGGGATAAAGAGATAAAACAGACAGAATGGAGGAGAGTTGCAGTCGGTCCACACGTCCAGACAAGCTGTGGACAGTTCAGACTCATTCAACCAATCAGACTCAACAACAAGTCCAAACACATTCAGCAGGACTGAAACTAAAGCAAAACTAATTTGTTTTTCAATGCGCTATTTGCATGTAATAATAATAATAATAATAACAATAATATTTTTTTTATTATTATTTTACATAAAAATTACAATAACACACACACACATATATATGGTTCTGTGCAAAGGTTTTAGGAACCAGACAAAGTGTTTTAAACAACTTATCTGAGCAGAAAGTGTGTTTTTAATGAGCAAACACACCCTAACATTCGGGTCATTCTACAGAAACGTCCACTTTTCTGTCTGTCCATAGGTGTCACTGATGTAATTGATCCTCATTGGTGTTCCACATAATAAAGAAACACCAGAGACATTTTAATGAAAAATACATTTTACAGAATGGCTGCTACAGAGCATCAAACCACATCTAGTCAATCGTGGAATATCCACTAAAATATGAAATTTAATCCATTTGTATTCTATTTTTTCATAGTTACCTCAGAATAAAGTCGGTCACACCAGTGACTTCAGCTAAAAGCTTCATATGAAATCATGAGCTAAATGAGAAAATCTCTGATAACTGAAAGACTCAGTGGACTCACCATGAGCTTTTCTTCATAGATCCTCAGAAAACAGGTAAAAGGAAGTCAAGTGATGTCATCAGTGTGACTTTTATTTCAAAATAAGAGATTTTTGTTATGCAGTAACACCAGTGACACGACTCCTGGGGACTCTCATTATATATTTTATAATATTTATTTGGCATTTGTTTTCTTTATGTCATTTAATTTATATATTCCATAGTCATGTATAGATTATTGTAGTTAAAATTGCAGAAAAACATGTTTTTTACCTCAAAATATGGCCTCAGGCTTCACACATGACTGTGAGGACGAGCTCTTCTGTGGTGTTTGAATTCTATATGATTGATTTAAAAACCAATATTGCTAAATTGAGGCTCAAGAAGGTGTAACTGTTACAATAACTTGTTTTGCTTTAAAATATAAATAAATTGTAACCCTAACATGTTTTTCAGGTGCGATACATCTGTAAACGCTAAGGACACAACAATGGACGTTTCCATAGATTGACCCATTAGCAAATAACACAAATAAACATTAATGCAGTAAAAAGTAACAAGAACTCAGTATTTTTAGAAAGAGATGTTGTGAGCTAGTTTGAAGAACCTCTTAAATAACTGTAAAACCATCATTCTAGCAGTTGCTAAACGTTAAACGGCGCTGCTAACTAACTAACTAGAGAGGAGCTGGTTAGCATTAGCTTAGCTAGCATGCTAACAGCTCTGCTCACCACAAAACTCGATTCTGACTGACAGAAGCTTCACTGGTGCACATTTAGATGATAATGACTCAAATCTGAGGCAGTGAACTCGAGAGGCTGGTGCTGGAGGGACAGGAAGACAAAATTAAGTTCCTCCCAGCTAGGCTAATGCTAACCGGCTCCTCTAGCCTAGTTAGCTAGTTAGAGTCGAGTGGGTGCTGGTAAATGTAAAATCACACTTACTGTATTAATATTATTCACATTTATTCTAAAATTAGTGCTTTTCTGAGTGAATAAACACTCACTGACTACATAAACACCTTTTAATTCTCATTTTCTCAGGTGCCTAGAACTTCTCCTGTGTGTGTGTACTTGTCTTGCTGTCTCTCTGAGGACTGAACGTACACACAATAATAGGACAATGTGAAGTTTGGCACAAGTGAGTACCTTTTTGGCTGTTTTCACCCCAAATTACTCTGTTTCGAAAAACCAAACACGCAAAAAGTCTTATGGTTCCTGAGGTTAAGGTTAGGGGTACAATAGGGTTACTTGGCTATAGTATACACAGAAGTCTAGGGAAGTCCTCACAAGTATAGTAAAACGTGTGTGTGTGTGTGTGTGGCCTTAAATATGTAAAATAACAGCTAAAAATAAAAACTAAGTGAATTCGCATTATGGAAACAAAGCGGTCAGATCGCTTACGGGATGTGCAGGATAACTTGACTCATATTGGGGCAGTCGTGGGCTGGAGGACCGGAAGGTCGCCTATTCGATCCCCTGAACCGACAGTATGTGACTGAAGTGCCCTTAGCAAGACACCTAACCCCCAACTGCTCCCCGGGTGCTGTGGATAGGGCTGCCCACCGCTCCGGGCAAGTGTGCTCACCACCCCCCTAGTGTGTGTGTCAATAGTGTGTATGTGGTGTTTCAGTGCACAGATGGGTTAAATGACAGAAATACGGAGTGACATGCCGAACACGTGCCAGAAAGTGGCACATATCACAGTCCGGTTCTTCACTGATAAATATCTCAGCACTATATTCTAGCACTATGTTAAGTTTGTAGCTATGTGGCAAAATTAATGTCCATTCAAAATATTTTAACTGAGACCAGCAGATGGCGCAGTTCTGCACTTTCCCTTTCCACAGAAAACGCTGCACCTCCACTACAAACAGAATATCTTTGCTGTCCAAAGAAAAATATAATTTGTATTTCCAAAATAGTCATTTTTATTCCACAGGGTATATTCCGGTTTTTCCATCTGAATTTACGTGCTCAAATCGTAAGTCAAATTATTCAGTAACTGCATGAAATAAATGAAAATTTTTATTTTATTCATTTTTTTTTTTAAGTTCCCCTCAAACTAACAGAAAATGTGTTTTATGATCATAAACATATTGCCATATGCTTACAATTTACTGCTGAAAGCCAAAAATCTTAGACACTTTGTATTTTTTACAGTGCAGATCTGAAGAGATACCAAATGAGATCCAGTTTGTAGCTCAGATTTGTGGGAAAATGGGTCGACTTTCAGTAGGAAAAAAATTGTTTTAAAACTATTCATCTATTTGACTGGAAAGAAGACAGTTACAGCTCTCATACGACCCCCACCTTTAGAATGTAGCTTATGAAATATGAAAGTTATGAAGAATATGACTAAGTGTGTTTTGGAACCACCGGTGGTTCCACAGAGTTAAAGAGGTTAATGTAGTGGTTTTATTACCAGTGATTATGGACATTTTTGTGTCCTATTGGACCATTCATCATGAAATTCTCACCCAATTTAAGTGACTTAAATTAATATTACATTAACTCACTAGTTATATTGTGGTAACAGACATTTTCAGACCTTGGATTCAAGGAGTTATTTATTTACTTATTTATTTATTTATTTGAATTCAGTGTGAGCTCTGCAGATTTTCTTCCCTCTTGACCTCAATAAGACCACAGAGCACTACTCATTTATTTAATTGAAGTTTTTAACCCTTTAAAATCCCATACTAGGGTTTATTATTCAGTAACTACAGCGACTTCATTGCAGACTGCCTGAGCTATTCTTAGGTTATAGAAGCATGTAATAAAACTTTGGGCCCACTGGTGGCCATGTAAAGAGTTAAGGCACAGCTGGCGCGTTCAAATTGTGGAAAATAAAAACAAAAAAAAGGTCCATTAATGATCAATAGTCATTAAATCAGCAGTAAGTAAGAAAGACAATGAGTGCTGACAGTGCAGTACCACCTGTAACCACTAGATGGTGGTGTTCCTCCTTGTGAGATGATGTTTTCTCCATCCACAGTGATTCACATCAATGAGCACTTTTCAGAGTTTAATCTCAGACGAAAGCAGGACTCCCTCAGAGTTTCACAGGCATGTTCGGGGGGGTGTTTGGGGTTAGTAAGAGTGCAGGCAGTGAAAGGCAGGCATGAGAGCAGTGCAGGAAGTCCTCCATGCCAGAAACGCTCCGAGACGGAGCTCGATGGCGAGAAAAGAGATGAAGTGAAAGCAAAATGAAGCCACTTACCCTGTTTTCGGACTACAAATGACATGAACGAATGGATGAAATAAAAAAAAAGGGAGGGAGAAAACAAAACAAACAAAATCAGCCAACTAAAGAGTGATCTGAAGCCAAATCTAAACTGGTGAGCCACACTATGCAGAACTACACACAGACGGTAAGGGCATCGCTGTGTGCTGCCACCTTTACAACATCAGTGAAGCTCTACATGAAGGAGAAATCTCACTAATCTAAAACAGATACGAACATAATTCTTAAAAGTAATGAATGATGAAGACAAAAAAGCGACCAAGCCAAGTTTCTGTAATCGTCTGTGCTGGATAACTTGCTGTTTGCTTGCTTTTACACTTACAGGGGAATTCCACCAACTTTTCAAAATTTCTGCGTAATTAAATGGTTAAGACATAAACAGAGTCGTTCACAGCGGTTTGGTGTGAAACGCTCCGTTCTAGAGAAACTTACCGAGTCAGATTTGTTCACAGTGGTGGTGATAGGAACCAGACGTCCACCTCTAAAAGCTCCCTCACAGAAAGTTACTACATGTTGCCTGATGTCCGAGACATTGTTTTTTAATACTTCTGAGAGAAGGTTTTGGCCTGAAATGTGTTTTTAGAGCCATTCAAAGCCATTCATGGTGGAGGGGTACACAGAGGGCATTACCTGGCAAAATAATCCCAAAAGATTTTTTTTTCCCTTTTTCAGATTTATCACTATTTTCCATCATCAACATTCCATATAAGCTCAGAAGACTCGTGTAGGTTCACTGGTGGTTCTGGATAGTAAATAAAATGTCTATATTTGTGTTGTAGTCATGGCGACCCCTGGTTCCTATCACCACCACTGTAAAGAGATCAGAACTGTGTTAAAGTCCTAATAAACAGCCAGAGATTCAACTCTGTCACCTCATTACAAGTGAAACTGTTGTTTTCAATATAAATAAATGTAGCACTATTATTAAAAGTGACAGAGACAAACGTGTGTTATGTGCTTTTTACACAGTAAAAGTAAATTGGATCTCACCTGGTCAGTGTAAACAGAATCCAGCCAAAGTTTATTCAGACCCAAAGCACCTGTTAATGTAAGGTGTAAACAGGCTCATTGTGCCCCTTCCTATAAGACTAGATGTAAAGTCTGCGCTAGTGGTTGACGAAAAGACGTGAAAAGAGCCTAATGACCGATTTTTACTCTCACTTTTCAATAAGCAGGACAAAACAGTGGAATACACTGATCAGGCATAACATTCTGACCACCTCCTTGTTTCTATGCTCATTGTCCATTTTCCACTGTCCGTTTTTAAACACCTCAGTGTCGCTGCTGGACTGAGAATAGTCCACCAACCAAAAATATCCAGCCAACAGTGTCCTGTGGGCAGCGTCCTGTGACCACTGATGAAGGACTACAGGATGACCAACACAAACTGTGCAGCAGCAGATGAGCTATCGTCTCTGACTTTACATCTACAAGGTGGACTGACATGGTAGGAGTGTCTAATAGAGTGGACAGTGAGTGGACACAGTGTTTAAAAACTCCAGCAGCACTGCTGTGTCTGATCCACTCGTACCAGCACAACACACACTAACACACCACCACCACGTCAGTGTTACTGCAGTGCTGAGAATGATCCACCACCCAAATAGTACCTGCTCTGTGAGGGTCCATGGGGGTCCTGACCACTGAAGAACAGGGTAAAAGGGGGCTAACAAAGTATCAGAGAAACAGATGGACTACAGTCTGTAACTGTAGAACTACAAAGTGCATCTATATAGTAAGTGGAGCTGATAAAATGGACAACGAGCGCAGAAACAAGGAGGTGGTCAGAATGTTATGCCTGACCGGTGTATGATAATTGAATGAGTTTTCCAAGCTGGCAAGCATCAACAGACATTACTCTTCAGCTCAGGTCCTGGCTTGGTCTCTTTTCCCCACTAAAACACTAAGCCTGGTGATGAATGTGCTGAAATGGATGGTGCAAGGCGGCTTTTAACGAGTATGCAGTGAAACACTAATGCAGACGGAGTGAGCGAGCGCCACTCAGCGGGTGAGAAAGGAGCCACAAACCTCGTGTGTCTAAAGTTGAACAGTCATTTATCAAATACATAAACTCCACAGTCTATATGACTGACACTGACATACTGTCTACACAAAAGAGTTTCCTCCACAGAAATCCAGCCTAAAACCACTTAAATCCAGGATAAACATTCATGCATTTGATTAGACGCTCAGACCAAGCTCCATATTCAACCTTATTCCTTTTATGTATCTTATTTATTTACCTTCTAATGCTACTTCATGGTTTGATCTTTGTCTACGTGAAGCCCTTCAAATAAACCTGCCGTGCTTATAAAAGCACAGCTGAGGTTTTCGCTCCGGGAGACGTGGTTTTAAAGGCTTCCGTTGCGACATCTACAGTGAATCTCTGCAGAGCAGTGAGAGAGACAGTGGTGAACCTACTTCTTCTGCAGCTTCCTGTTCTTCTCACCAGGTCCTCCGAGCTTGCTGAGCACCAATGCATCCTGGGAACCGTCTCCCTCTGGAGTGCCTGCTGTGGGAACATTACGGAAAATCTCAAAACGTGGATTTTTGTACACTCTACATAGTTTATTTATCGTAAATGTTACATATATATTCTGTTTGTTTTAGGCTTAAAAAAATCCTTAAAAATTTGACATTTTTTAAAAACTACAACCCCAATTCCAAAACAGTCGGGACGCAGAGTAAAATGTAAATAAATAATCATTTTAATTTTGAATAATGGTTGTTCTATTTCATCTGACGAGTCGTTTCTGTGGTTTGAGTATTCCTTTCTCTCCACTGCACTACCAGAAACAAATGTACTAAACTGTCTTATCAGTGGGGTGGTTCCCTCAAGGCTCCATCTCAGTACCTTTAGTCAGGGAACATAACTGAACCATAATCCACTGAAATGATATGTTCTAAGCTGTACTGACTCCACACACCCCGTCTCGCCTCCAGGCTTTTATTTTACTGTTCTGTTTAAAACATTCGGTTATGAAAAGGTACAAATACGAACTTTTCACCTGGAAACACTTATTTAAGGTTCACAATCAGACCTTAAAACCACTGTTGGAGCTTTGAGGGAACATTTACACTGTTTGTACCTTGATGAATGGAAAATGTACCAGCACAGAACCTTTATTTCTAACAGTGTAGAATATAGTAACAATATAGTGTTTAATAATAATTTGTCACAATGCTGCTGTAAGATACTCAGCTAGCAGCAACGCCAGCTTTCTGCCTTCAATCTGTACCATCCAACAAAAAAACAGCCCCCTCAAAAGAGTCGCAGTTGTTTTTCATGATGGTTTGAAGTCCCTAACCCTTCAAGACGCATCATCAGAAGGTTTTTCTAGACTTTAAACAGGAAAATCTCACTCTAGAGACACTGTGGCACTGACGAAAGATGCAAATAAGCAACTTCACAACAGATGTAATAATCGCTAATTGTTTTATTTTGGCCAAAATGCCCCGTTAAGAGAGGAACAAAATCCCTGTAATCGTTTAGTTTATTGTTTATCATAGAGTCGTTCTTGGTCTGAAGAGCAGAGGCCGGATTCACGAAAGCCTTCTTAAGAAAAAACTTGAAAAGGTTCTCAAGACAAACACTAAGAAGTTTATAAGAATGTTCTTAAACGCAATTCTCAAAAAATATTAAATTCTCAAATATTCTCTTAAGAGTTAATTAAACAGTTTTTTTTTCAAAGATTTTCTTGAGAAAATATTTTTGAAAAACATTTTTAGTAAAATCTTCATTGTTTTCTTAGGTCGGCTATGTTTGCATTTTACCGCATACCGTAAACGACGCAAGATACATTTTGAATTTGCATTAATTGTTATTTCCGTTATTTAATTTAATCCACTCAGAGGAGCAAAATGGAGGAAAAACCATCAAACCAAGTGTTAAAAAAAATTTGCAAACAAAATCCAGAGCTGATGGTGGAAGAAACAGCCAACAGGAAAATAATCCTCCTGAGAAAATATGATAATTCTGAGGTGACAGACGAGGATGAGGAGCAGCAGAGGAAGCATCTGAGATAAATTCAGACGGTCACCTTGTCAACTCTTACTGCCTGAGAGTGAGTGAGTCTGTCGTAAGGTTAAGAAAAACAATTAAGAACCTAATATTTTCAAGAATAACACTTCTTAGAATTATTCTTAAGAAAACAATTAAGAAAATAAGATCATTCTTAAGAAGTTTTTTGAAGAATAACAATTTTTTGTAACGGTTTTCTTGAAAATGAAGTTAAGAAAAAACACATCTAAGAAGATTTTCTTTCTTAAGATACTTTCGTGAATCCGGACCCAGGTTTTAAAATCATGTTTTCTTTTCCAAACTACAGTTAAAAGCTCATATTGAAGCTCTTTTGAACCCAGAGGTGGTTTAAACAACTGAAAGGTTTGAGAGCTGATGAGTGACATCACAACAAGGAGATTAAGTGGGCGTGGCTTTTGGCGTTATTGATAAAGTAGCACTGCCACAAAATTGATATTTACACGTGTGATTCTGTTTGTTTTCTTCTAAATAAACCCTCTTTGCCTTTCATATAAGCAATTACTGCAAAACCATCCAAAAACCATTTAAAACACTTTGAAAAGCTGGATGTTGATTATGAAACGTTCATCATTTCGTTTATTCAATGCACTTAAACCATCAACAATCCCAGTGAGCGCCAGCGCAATCAGAAATGCTCTTGTGGATAATTCTAAAAGTGCATTAGGAGCTTCAGCTTCAGCTGATTTAACATTCGATGGTAAATCTATTCTTGTCCGATGCAGCTCAAGATCAATTACGCTGCAGTAGATCAGAGACTCAGACAAAGCGAGTCGGCCTGAGCTTCAGCAAATCCTACGTTTACTCAATCAAACGCCAGACGTTAATTGAATTAATGAGAGTTTAAAGTGGATTAAAGGCTGACTGAGTGGGGTTTGTACCTTGGCCGGGCGAGTCTTTGCCCGAAGGGTTCGGCCGTCCCTTCTCTTTCTTCCCAAAAAGGCGGCCGATGGAAGACTTGATGCTTTTCTTTTTCGCAGCCTTGTTGAGGGAGTCCTGGCTGCTGTTACTGCTGCTGGGGTTACTGCCCTGACCGTCCTGCAGTCCAGCAATACTGCAGAAACACAGAGAGGATGAGACGAGAGAACGTCAGCATGGATTTTATATGTGTGTGTGTAGTGTATATATATATATATATATATATATTACTTTCTTTGAATTTGATCAACATTTGGATGTCGAATTTTATTTTGACATTCCTTTACAGTCATATACAAAAGTTTGGGCACCTCAGGTCAAATTCCATGTTTGTGTTCATCTAAATGAAAATAAGTCAACACGTCTGCGCATTTTAATGCACAATTACTGTTTATTTACTGCTTGTAAGATTTTGGAAGAACTAAAACACAAAATGTGGCCTGTGCAAAAGTTATGGCACATTATGTTTTATGTCTTCCCCCAATATGCTAAACGCAAAGAAAAAAGTGCAGAAAAATGGCATATTTAACAGTGTTCTCTGTAGAGGCTGCAGTGATGTCACTATGCAGATCAGTCGTAATAAACGTGCTGCAGTGTCTCTAGAGTAAGATCTTCCAATTGAAGGATGAGGAGAACCCCCTTCAGATGATGTATCGTGAAGTAGAGGGACTTTAAGCTATCATGAAAAATTACTATTTTCACTTTGAAAATCAAAAAACCATGAAAACTGATTTACAGTACGTGTATAGATGACTACACTCATAAACCCTGCTTTAGAACGTCACAGCTACTGTAAAATCTAGACAGCTTGCATATCGTTGCTGTCAGGACAAAACCTCGTATCTCCATTTTTAGCATTTTTCATTTTCTGACAAACCTGAAACGGGCAGTCGTCCTTTACGTTGTGTCAAAATTTCATGAGGAAGGGACCAACAGAAATGCTCCAACATTACTTGGAAAAAATATTTCTACATTTACTTCCATTAAAAGTTACGAAATGTTGTTCTTTCTCCTGTAAAGTTGTCGTTTTGGAGATACGAGGTTTTGTTCCGACAGCAGTGATATAAGGGTGTCACGATATGTCAATCTTCTATTTTTTTATTTTTTTAAATAAATGCAAGGTTTTAACGATACATGCTAAAAGTAGAGTATAACTACATACAACATTTCTTGCTGTAAAATACAGGAGAAAAATATATAAAGAAATATATAAAAAATTCTACAATATACAATATAAATTATAAATTATTTATAATATAATAAAATATATTTATATTTAAAATGTATATAATTTATATTATATATAATGTCAAATATAAGTTATATGTAATATAAATTACACAATAAATAAAAATTTAATAAATAAATAAAAATTGATTACATATCAAAAATGACACAAAATGACAATATGCATCATATCATGAAATCTGCCTACAGTACGCACCCCTATAGAGTGAGCTCTCTCTATATGTTAGACGTTATTTCACTCTTCTACTCTCCAGAATAGAATCCTCAGAACACACAGTACAGACCCACAGAAGACCTTCATAACGTGGCTAAACTGAAAGTGTATGTAATGACGTTTCACCTCCGGATGTCTCGGATGTCTTCGTGACTGGCGGCGTGTCCCTTACTGAGCCGCATGGAGCGAGGGGTCGACGGGGGGGACGTCTCACACTTGATTGTGGCCTTGTCGTCTTGCACAGGCTGAACACAAATAAAATCCATTAACTAAGTGAGCATTAAATGACATAAAATCCTAAATATCTACAATTTATTTTTCCTCAACTGCACTTTAGATATTTTTGTGGTTTTGGGTATTAAAAACAGCCGTAATTCATTTCTACACCAGCATTTTCCAGCATCTCTTTATCCTGTAGAATTAAACAGGCTGTTTTTGTTACCTTTAAGACTGATATGTCAATGAGCTCTGTTTTGATTGGCTATCCTGTATTGTACCTCCAGGCTGAAACACATCTTATAACTTCAGCATGAGTGGGCGGGGCTAAGCTGCAGTTTCCGTATACGGACTATATTTGAAATGGTAATGTTTACATAACATCTCAGTCTTATTTCAAACAGAAGTGAGGAAAACTAATTTCTCCACTATGTGGGCCCTTTAAAGGGGACTCAGCTGCACTGATCCACACAAAGCTGGAGAAATAAAATCAGCACTTTTGTTTATTAGAACTAAGGAGAACCACATTAAGAGCACTAAAGTAATAAAGACAAAGTGTTTCAGAGAAAATCGTTTGTGGTCGTAAGCAAATCTCACATTTCCAAGCTTTACAAAGCAGCCAATTAGACCAGCCTCACAAAAACTTCAAAAGAAGCTCAGAACCAAAATTACCCTCTTTGAAATTTACACTGAAGGTAGATTAAACACAACTGACTGCAGGCAAAAATTAAAGTAACATGTCAACAAACACTGAGCTGAAACGTGAAGCCAGTTAGCTTCATTTCAGCTCAGATCAACATACAGAGCGCAGTTACTTCACTATTACAGTCCTTCATTAGGGAGTTACAGCGAAGAGCTCGTCAGGGTGTTAACTACACCGTAACTCAGACGTTTTGGGGACTGATGGCTTATTAAAATGTTTAATATGAATAAGCTTATTTGCTGGTAAGCAGGTCCAGAAACAATTACTCATAAATATGTGACCAAAGGAAAAAACGCACACATCCACATTATATAACCATTTTGTTGTTTTATATACAATAACATGCAGCTAACCACTCAAAAAGACGCTACTTTTAGATGTTTTATTCAAAGACAGGAACTGTGTGAACAGAATTATTGTTGCTAGTCGTCAAGTTATTAAAAGAATAAAAATATTATCTATTTACATTAATTATTTGTATCTGGAGATATGATCTCCACTTTTGAAATATGACAAATTGTGGATATGCATTTCATTAGAACTTAATTCTTACTGTTAGTTATTTTAGACATTTCAGTCATTTTTTTCATTTATTTTAAAGTCTCCTAATAATGATGTGAAACCGTAAGAAACGCCAAATCAACAAAGCATGATATTTAACTGTTTGTGTTTATGTACACTGATCAGACATAACATTCTGACCACCTCCTTGTTTCTATGCTCATTGTCCATTTTATCAGCTCCACTTACTATATAGGTGCACTTTGTAGTTCTACAGTTACAGACTGTAGTCCATCTGTTTCTCTGATACTTTGTTAGCCCCCTTTTACCCTGTTCTTCAGTGGTCAGGAACCCCATGGACCCTCACAGAGCAGGTACTATTTGGGTGGTGGATCATTCTCAGCACTGCAGTAACACTGACGTGGTGGTGGTGTGTTAGTGTGTGTTGTGCTGGTACAAGTGGATCAGACACAGCAGTGCTGCTGGAGTTTTTAAACACCTCAGTGTCACTGCTGGACTGAGAATAGTCCACCAACCAAACATATCCAGCCAACAGCGTCCTGAGACCACTGATGAAGGACTAGAAGATGACCAACACAAACTGTGCAGCAGCAGATGAGCTATCGTCTCTGACTTTACATCTACAAGGTGGACTGACATGGTAGGAGTGTCTAATGGAGTGGACAGAGAGTGGACACAGTGTTTAAAAACTCCAGCAGCACTGCTGTGTCTGATCCACTGCAGAGAAACAGATGGACTACAGTCTGTAACTGTAGAACTACAAAGTGCACCTATATAGTAAGTGGAGCTGATAAAATGGACGATGAGCGTAGAAACAAGGAGGTGGTCCGAATGTTATGCCTGACTGGTGTGTATGTCGCTGCTGTCGAAACAAAACCTCGTATCTCCATTGTTGCTGTTTTTCAGTTTGTGACATTGTTTGAAAATACCCATTATGCTATACATTTTATGTAAATTTCATGATGAATAAACCAGCTGAAATGTCCCAAAATTACTTGGAAAAAAGTCTAGCTCCACTGACTCACACTAAAAGTAGAGGTTTTAATCCGACAACAGCAATTTATATGTATATTATTTCAAGCTGACAAAGAAAAACAATCATCTGTATTAAAAGCATTTTGAAAAGCGTGTCTGCGAAACAGAACTGAAGGGTCACTGCAGCTCTTTCTACTCCATTTTCTACAAAACTCCAACATTAATAACATGAACAGAAGCGGCGAGGCTGACAGAGAAAGGCAGGCCGGAGCCGAGCACAGTTCCCCCAGATTACCTTCCTACGATGCTTCCGCAAATCGCTAGGCTGTCGGAAGCATGCGAAGCAAATGAGGGGAGAAAAAAGAGGAAGAGTTAGTGGCACAGCAAACGAGAAAAAGCAGAGAACTCACACCACACACTGAGAAGAGGAAGCACACAGTATACACAGCGCACACACACACACACACACACACACACACACACACACACACACACACACACACACAGACTTAAAGGAAAACTCCACCTGATCGGCATTATACACCATCCAATCCTGCCGAAAACCCAGTTTCCCAATTGGACTCAATATTGATACCTGACCATTGCTGTTATCGGAAGAACAATGTTATTTTTCAATTTTTGACATAATTTAAAAATATCTGTTGTCCTTTACATTGTGTGTAAATTTCATGATGAATGGACCGAAAGAAACGACCCAAAATGACTTGGAAAAAATTCTGGTTCCATTGACTTACATTAAAAGTAAAGTAGGTTTTTTCCTTTTCCTGTAAAGTTACCATTTTGGAGATACGAGGATTTCTTCCGACAACAGTGATCACCACAACTATTGCTACTGTTACTACTAACTAAAAAATGATAATTATAATAAAAGCAGTAGAGCGTTAAGTTTGCAAAAAGTGTCCCATTTTTAAATGAGGAATTTAAACTACATTTTTCCACCACTGCACATTAAAATATGCCGAAAATGTGACTCAACTATTACTACTAAAGAAGAAAAAGTAATAATTATTAGTCGTAGTAGAAGTAGAAACACAGTGCTTAATAATTATAAATAACAAATAAATACATAATGATAGCCATTATTATTATAACAAATGTTTGTGCTCATATAAATCAAGTAAACTTATCTGTACAATTATATAGGACTCTTATTGTGAAAGCTAATGAAGTCAATGCAAGTGAAGTGTTAAACTGTCAGCAAATTGGTTTGATTAATTTATTCATTTCTTAATTCTGCTGCGCTGTATCTCCCCTGAATGAATCCACAACGGCAGATTTAAGTAACTATCGCTCTAAACTAGAATAACAGCTGAGTTAGCTATTATAGTGCTCAGGGTGCAGCGTTCATGCTTTGGTTTGTGTTTGAATGGCTCTGTTTCTGCTTTTATCATCGTAATCATCAGTCTGAGCTGATTTTAGAGCTTATGTTGGGTAAACAGACACAGAGCCTGGTGGGTGAAGCAGATCTACCTGTCAGAAATGGAAAAATGTGGCTGCAGAAAAAATGGAAAGCAGTTTTGTGATAGTTTAACACTGGTCTGCAGTAACAGACTGTAGATAGACCGTTACAGGTGCAGCTTACGGAGACCAGCTGGAGTTTTCCTTTAAAATGTTATTCTCTCATTATGAGCTCTTTCTCACACTCTCACTGTCGCACACAAACAGGAAGAGAGAGATTAGGCCAGTGAGTCACGCTGAGCAGAGAGTGAGGGCTGAAAAAGAGCCGAAAACACTTCAAACAGCGAGAGATTCTCCATGAAGGCCACGTCCTCTCACTCTGAGGCTGTTCGTAAACGAGAATCTGAACGAAACGACCTAAAAAAGTGTGTTCAATTTAAAACAAACATCAGGTTTGATGTAAAACGCACAAAGCCGCGAGTTTGTTTTCCTTTCCTCCTCATTTCGGCTGGCATTTCCAGAGTAAACACTCGTTCGGAGCGGCACATTTTTCATGAGGCCTGATCGCTCATTTCCTCTTTAATCCCCCAAAATCTCCTGCAGAAAGACAGGATGAGAGATGGCGGCACTTGGCAGAGCAAAACAAACGGACCTCTCCAGGCTCCGCCCACAAACGAGTGATGAAAACCCTGATCAAAACCCTGTTCAATTAGGACGGTGCCCGGCGACGGTTACCATGGTAACAGCCCCTAGAAACAGCAACAACTCCACTAATTTATTTAAATTAAAAATTTAATTCATTATAAATCTATTTTACTTCATTTCAGATATCATGCCTGCACTAAAAGCCGCCTTTATGTCCAGAAGTGCATTGTTAATTAGGTAATAAGTCACAGAACAAACCACCATCAGAAACCCTGTATGTTCAGCCCACAGACACTCTAATTAGATTATTAGATTAGATTATTAAATTAGATTAAGTGGCCCTTATTAGTCCCACAATGGGGAAATTTCACCTCCACATTTTGGCCCATCCGTGCAGTGAAACACCACATAAACACAGGTGAAGTCACACACTAGGGGGCAGCGAGCACACTTGCCCGGAGCGGTGGGCAGCCCTATCCACGGCACCCAGGGAGCAGTTGGGGGTTAGGTGTCTTGCCCAAGGGCACCTCAGTCATGTACTGTCGGCTCAGGGGATCGAACCTGGTCGCAAGGCTGGTTCCTTAACCTCCAGCCCATGACTGCCCCCACGAACGCAGGGGTGTCCAAACTTTTTTCAAAGAGGGCCAGATTCTACTGTTATATTGACATATTATTCACCAATGATTCAAAATATTAAGTTTTCAAAACATCAGCGCAGAGAATCTGAGCTCTCTGTGAGCTGCAGTGTTTCGTATCACTGTATAAACGATGGACGAGGCTTTTATTGTTGGATGGCTCATTCAGAACAGTTTGGATCAATAATCGCTTATAATAAATAATTCAATTGTTTAAGAGTAACAACACAATGCCTGAAGTATTAATCATATTCCTATTAATGTGTTTACTTATTGAAAAATATAAGAAGAACTGCAACGTACTGGCTGGCGGGCCACTTATAATACACTGTAAAACAGAAGCTGGGGGGGCCAATTATAATCTGTCCGTGGGCCACATTTGGCCCGGGGGCCGGACTTTGGACAAGCCTGCTCTAATTTCTGTGTCATTTTAATGCAATTTTATTTAAAAAATTAAAAGCACTAAGTAAATCTTACAAAAAGTAAATGGACAAATCTATAAAGATATTAAAATTTACAATTCAAATGACATCATAGGTTAGTAGGTTAGGGTCTCTAAAAAAAACAAGGTATGATATGACTCATCTAAATACTTTGGAATTGTAATTTACTAAACTGTACAAAATTGCATAAAATTAGCATAGGATGTAAAGGAAAACAATATTATGTAGTGACCCTAAACAAACACTGCAGCAGTATTGTGATATAAACTGAGTCTGTTCTACAGTTTCTCATTAGGCTGAATGAATAACCGACTCTAAATGTAGGTATTGTGATATAAACTGAGTCTGTTCTACAGTTTCTCATTAGGCTGAATGAATAACCGACTCTAAATGTAGGTATTGTGATATAAACTGAGTCTGTTCTACAGTTTCTCATTAGGCTGAATGAATAACCGACTCTAAATGTAGGTATTGTGATATAAACTGAGTCTGTTCTACAGTTTCTCATTAGGCTGAATGAATAACCGACTCTAAATGTAGGTATTGTGATATAAACTGAGTCTGTTCTACAGTTTCTCATTAGGCTGAATGAATAACCGACTCTAAATGTAGGTATTGTGATATAAACTGAGTCTGTTCTACAGTTTCTCATTAGGCTGAATGAATAACCGACTCTAAATGTAGGTATTGTGATATAAACTGAGTCTGTTCTACAGTTTCTCATTAGGCTGAACTGGATTTTTACCAGAGTTCTGTAAAGCTCGTCCAAATCACGTCGTTATATGAATGTAAATAATTAAACTGGCACCATCATTAGAAATATTTGATTTTATTTCCCACTTTGAGCACTGATGAGCCGGTTCGAGTCAGTTTGACAGATTTTTGTCAAGCTCAGATAATTTTCAGACTCATAATTGACGTGGCTCAGGTCGAACTGGACTTGGACCAATTTTTTCAGGCTCTGGTTGGGTTCACACCTAAAACTTTGTGCTGTGGGGTCGTACTCTGATGGAAAGCTGGCCTGTATTCAAGTTTAGATCAAAATTCCAGGCCAGATTAAAGCGCTATACAAAGGCATATACTAAGCTTTACTCTGATGCTACATATCGTACAGACGGATGAAGAGAAGAAGTCTGAGCACAACCTCAGAGTGAGAGCGACTGAGAGGCGAGGACGGTACCTGCACTATGAGCGGCGCACAGCTAAACAGAGGGGTGGGGTAGGGCTGGTAAGCTACAGTCTGAGAGAGGGAGTGCTGGATGACATATGGATCATAGCAGTATTGCTGGGACACAGACACATCAGTCTATTACTATAAACACAAGACTACAACAGCTACACATACAAATGAACATAAACATGGATTAGTAACGCAACAACACACAACAATATGACGAACACTCAGTATTCAGTTCGCTTACATGTAGAGCTGGGCGATACAATAATATCAGAATTTTCAACATCAACAATGGGAGCTGGATTATTTTCCTTAATCCAGTATAAAAGCTTAAACTTTTGAGCAGTCGCTGCTTTTGTACAGCAGGTGGCGCTTTGTGTCTTTTACTCTCTAGACGAGGAGAGAAGTCTACCTGTTCACTCACAACAGCTAGACAGTTAGTGGAGTCAGAAAATATATTTTCAAATATATTATTTTATATATTTTATTGTTGAGAACTTTTATACAGAAATATTTTATATCTATATTATTTTATTATATTTTTTACCAGGTTTAGTTAAGCATGTATGCTATGTATGCATCAGAATAGCACTTTATCCTGACAGCAAGCGAGCAACAAAAAAAACTATATCCCATTATAATCAAACTAGTTTTTTCCCCACACGTGGAAGTTTTAAGATGGCTAGGAATAAAAAAACAAACAAACAATAGTTAATAGAACTAGTTAATAGAGTTAATAGAGCTAAGTTTGCCATATCATTAGCTCACAACAGAAAGTTGGTTAATCAAATAATCAATGTCATATGCTCCTGGTCACTAATATCGGATTTTAATTGTCGTATTTATTATAAACATTTTTTTTAATATTTAATTTACACAGCAATAAAACATGCACCTAAAATATCCTCATAAAATGGGTTTACACGCTGACGATAAACAGTGTAGCTCAGATATTCTGAAGTCTCAAGCTACTTTCTGACAGGTCCATGCTTTGTTTACGTTTTCACTTGACCTGTAAACCTCCCGAAGGCTTTGTGACGCGATGCAATAATGCATCTGAATGGTCACTCGCTGCTGTAAACCTATTATTACAGGTAAAATTCTGATTGTGAAGCTGATTGTAACTTTGGGGGATTTAGGATTTAGGCTACGTTCCCATTACCATGCTGAAGTGGCACAAATACGATTTTTTTGCCTTAACGTGAAACTGAGCTGACACATCTGGGCCTTTTTCACCTTCGTCTTGCTCTAAAATGAGCTGCTGAGAACTCTTCAGAGCTTAATTAACTCCTCAGCGAAGTCTTGCTCTGCTGGTTAGTTTGCTGTTCATGACGCAGGTGACTCGTCTAGTGAATAAGATGTTTTGCATGCAGGTCATTTCAGGACACTGGTTCATTCATACTGATGACAGATTTGAGTCACTTAAGCCTTGGGTTCACTACAGGACTTAACAGATTATAAAAGACTGGGCGTCTCACTATCCGACAGTTTCCTGGCCGACTGAGATATTTGGGTTCACACACTAAATGATTAGGGATCACAAACTACTCAACTTTTATGCTGCTCCTCAACCGAACTGAACTCACTGAACTCAGACAAACTCCCAAGAACTCGTGATCTCCTGTTACTAGGAGACGCAAATAAACAAACATAGAACGGCTGCTGCTGCTGTTTTCTCTGCTGTTTGCACTGACGCAGTAAGGAAGCAGCAGGTAAACGTGTTTAAGTGAGGATCATGGATTTAAAAATGTGATCAGTTTAGTATTTTTAGAGTTTTAAATGTACATAAACTCGATTGTGCCTCAAACTCGGCTCATCATAAAGCTTCGCTCCACACGTGAGAGACTTTTCACCATTTTTCTTTGTTTACTTGCTGTATGCGGCCTCAATTTTCATTGGTTGTTGCAGGAATCTGTTCAGATTGAGTTGATGACCAGTTTACACTACATTACAGGGTGAGGAAAAATGAAGACATGTCTGATAAACTCTGACAGCTATGAAACAATAGAGAGGCCAAAAATCTGAGTCTGCGCCCCTCAAACATGATTTGACTCTCTCTCCAACTGTCGACTCCCACTGACCCAAACATCTGCAGACTAGAGGTGACCAGCTCAGACTGAGAATCAGGGCTAAAATCGGGGTTGAAGCTGTGCAGTAAGCAAAAATCGGATTTGAGCAATGAGGACTGTGATGTGAACGCAGCCGTGGAGGCCTCTCTGGTGGAAACGTGCTTTAAACTGAACATTAAAAAAAAAAAACGCATCTATAAAAAACAATAATCATCAAATACGGGAGGAAAAATACATTGCGCTAAGATTTCTTCAGTATCGCCCAACCCTACACGTTCAGAGAAACACCAAGAATGAAGTAGGAAGGTCAAACGTGCAAATGGTCTCACCAAGGTCATCACCCCCATGCGGTCCACCTCTCTGTTGGGGCTGCGGGGTGCTCTGCGGGGGGTGGAGTGACCTGAGCCCGGCGGAGACGAACCAGAGTGCAAGGATCCGTGGAAAGAGGGCGGGATGGAGCCCAAGGAGTGGAAACGGTCGCCGAGACTCTCGCCGCTGCCCACCCTCGACTCGATCTCCTCGGCCCTCATAGCCGTGCTCTCCTTCTCCTCCTGGATCATCCTGAACACAGAGTGTGTGTTTAAAGGGTTCTTTGCGTTGTGAAAGGGTTGTTCAGATTGATGGAGAATATGCTGAAGACGGTTCTATACAGAATCTGTTTGAAAAGGGTTCTATATAGCACCAGAAGCGTTCTTCTACTGTTATGATGTCAAGCCTGTAACAACAGAATTACATCTCTGCCATATCGCCCACCCCTAAAATTCACCCATTCCAGAACTGATGCATAGATGCATTTTCACTCCCCATCAATGAGCAGCCAAACTAAGGACTTCATGGTCTTCTAGAGCACTTTAACATCAATAAACAGTGTTTCTGACAAAATGTTTATGCTGTCCTGCTCAATCCAGTATTAGGCCAGAAACATACTCATCGCAAGTATGCGAACGCAAATGACTGTGCTGGGCTAACGCGTTGCAAACGCTCGGTCCTTCTGTACAAACTCACCGTGTGCTCTTATCTTACTGCGGCAGTTAAAACACTCAGGACTGAAGGGGGCGACAGAGGACAGATCAGAGAGGATCTACTGTCATTTCAACAGCTAAACATGAACAGTAGAAGATGCTTCACTTGTTCTGCTGGAATGGAAAGATGATAATGTATCATATTTTTTATGATTATGTGAGCCGTCTTTGCGTGAGACTTAACTACTTGTCCGCTGTGGCAGTTGAGACAACAAGCTGGCAGTACAAGACCACTTGGACAGGCTTGGCTGTCGTTATAGCGCCCCCTGCTGTAACGCCCAGAATGCAGCTCGTGCTTGCGTTGTGTTATGAAATGCATAGTGACGTTTGAACACAACTACACGTGAAACCCCGCCCACGTAGCTCAAAGCATCTGCGCTCATGTCCTGGCATAAAGTATGTTTCAGGCCTTTGTACCAGAGACTTACATTTTTGTAAGGTGGCGCTGTGTGTCTTCTCTCTAGACGAGGGAGAAGTCTAGCCGTTCACTCACAACAGCAAGAACACAGTCAGCCTGTGAGCTGTACCTGATCTCATTGTTGATGGCGTCCAGCTGCTCCTGCAGCATCAGCGCGAGCGTTTGTGCATCTGCCTGTCCAGCAGGGGACAGCAGGTCCACCGAGCTGAAGATCGTCTCTCGATCGTCCTCCATATCAGACATGTCCACGTCGCTCTCGAACGCGTACGCGACTTTAGCGAGAACGTTGGCCTGCTGGACGCGCTCCCACTCCTGCTCGTTCAGAGTCTGCACCTACAGAGCGAGACAGAGGGAAAGGAAAGGGCTTTAATGATAGACGGCTAAGAAGACGACAGCAAACTGTGAATATGGGACTTATTAAATGTACAGTTCCGCGGAAAATCAAATGCTACTGGACTAGCTATGCTAATGTACTTCAGTCCATGTTTATAGATAACAGTGAGTGTCAGAAACCACAGAATTAAGTGTAATACTGAACCACTCAAGTTTGGGATGATTCAGGCATGCAGTTAGCACCATGCTGATTGGTGAATATTCCAATAAAGTCATGCAATCGCACTGCCACCATTTTTGGTGGCCAACTCTGGCAGCGCAGTGGCTAAACCCATAAACCGATAACTGATCCAGAAAAGGCCGTAACACACATTTTTGCTTTAAAACTCAATTTATCATATTAATCAATATTTCTGACTGCACTACCTTAATTTTATTTGATTTGTTGCTGTAGTGATAACAAAAGAAAGGCGTTGTGTTACTTCTGGTGCGTCTCAAACCGCACACTAGCTCACTAAATAGTGTGTAAAACAGTGTTGGGCCACCAGAAGTGCACTAATTAATAATTGCCCCCCTCTTTGAAGGCATATGATGCCCTAAATGTAACTAAAGCCCAGCAGTGAGGAGCTGAACTTTACCCTCCTCTGCTGTCACTGCAGACTGGCAGGGTCGCCTACAGAGCAGCGCTGGTAGCTGTTAATGAAGTGATGCTCTTTTTATTTGAGGGTCCCATTTCAGAGGGAAGAGTTCAACCACTACCCTGTAACTCAGCTCCAAGGGGCGACACTCGAAAACAAGGGGTAGGGGTTAAAATAAGAAACGGCACTGGGCCTCATTCTCAGAATCGAAATCTGTATCATCACACCTCTACTTCCTGAATCTACAAATACATCAACAAGGCCATGCTTTGATAACCACAAGCTATGAGACAAACTTTACAATCGACTGCAAGGTTAGATGAACCAGCATCTGCAACACTCCACTTACATGCCTCTGAAGTCCACAGCGGAAGCAGAAAGACAGAAATTGAAAAAAAAACAGAGAGAAATCTGTGAAATGTGTTTTAAATTCATCCAAAGAGCAGCATTAAGCACATAACTCAGTTTATATCACAATACCTACATTATTAGAGCTATTCACATAAGAATAATGAAATTGCCATGCTAACCATGCTAATGTTAGCCTAATCCATCCCATCTGTGAGCTTTCACACACATACAAAATAAACATCAGCTGACAAGAATAACTGACTCTAAATGTAGGTATTGTGATATAAACTGAGTCTGTTCTACAGTTTCTCATTAGGCTGAATGAATAACCGACTCTAAATGTAGGTATTGTGATATAAACTGAGTCTGTTCTACAGTTTCTCATTAGGCTGAATGAATAACCGACTCTAAATGTAGGTATTGTGATATAAACTGAGTCTGTTCTACAGTTTCTCATTAGGCTGAATGAATAACTGACTCTAAATGTAGGTATTGTGATATAAACTGAGTCTGCTCTACAGTTTCTCATTAGGTTGAATGAATAACCGACTCTAAATGTAGGTATTGTGATATAAACCGAGTCTGTTCTACAGTTTCTTATTAGGCTGAATGAATAACCGGCTCTAAATGTAGGTATTGTGATATAAACTGAGTCTGTTCTACAGTTTCTCATTAGGCTGAATGAATAACTGACTCTAAATGTAGGTATTGTGATATAAACTGAGTCTGTTTTACAGTTTCTCATTAGGCTGAATGAATAACCGGCTCTAAATGTAGGTATTGTGATATAAACTGAGTCTGTTCTACAGTTTCTCATTAGGCTGAATGAATAACTGACTCTAAATGTAGGTATTGTGATATAAACTGAGTCTGCTCTACAGTTTCTCATTAGGCTGAATGAATAACCGACTCTAAATGTAGGTATTGTGATATAAACTGAGTCTGTTCTACAGTTTCTCATTAGGCTGAATGAATAACTGACTCTAAATGTAGGTATTGTGATATAAACTGAGTTTAGGTTGAATCATGTAACTCAGTCAGTTTTGTTCACCTTGGAGGGTTCGTCTCGCAGAGCAGCAGCCCGACCCTTCTGGGGCCGTCTGAGCACCAGGGCGCTGCTGTAATGGTCAGAATGGCTGTCCATCATGGAGGACGCAGATACTGGGTACCTGAAGTCTGGAGTGCTGCCCATGTGAGACCGCCTGCAAACAGGACAAGCAATCAGTGGAAGGAAAACAAACAGCACAGAACATTTACTAAAATTAGAGTTTAAAGAGCTTAGCGTGGGAAAATAATCAAGAATCTTTTTAAGGCTGTCAAATCAGCATCATTAATTATGAAAACATGATTACACAGATTTTAATTGTTGTTGTGTCATTTACTTAAAAAGAAAAGTGTACGTGTAATAAAAGATGTGCAAAACAGTTTTTACAGTTTCATTTAAAAAGCTTCTATAATGTTCATATGATCCACACAGTCACTCTGACAGACTGTAATACACTACAGGAAGTGTAGGGGGCGATATGGCTTCTACTGTTTCATTTAAAAAGCCTCTATAATGTTCATATGATCCACACAGTCACTCTGACAGACTGTAATACACTACAGGAAGTGTAGGGGGCGATATGGCTTCTACAGTTTCATTTAAAAAGCTCTATAACGTTCATATGATCCACACAGTCACTCTGACAGACTGTAATACACTACAGGAAGTGTAGGGGGCGATATGGCTTCTACAGTTTCATTTAAAAAGCCTCTATAATGTTCATATGATCCACACAGTCATTCTGACAGACTGTAATACACTACAGGAAGTGTAGGGGGCGATATGGCTTCTACTGTTTCATTTAAAAGGCTCTATAATGTTCATATGATCCACACAGTCATTCTGACAGACTGTAATACACTACAGGAAGTGTAGGGGGCGATATGGCTTCTACTGTTTCATTTAAAAAGCCTCTATAATGTTCATATGATCCACACAGTCATTCTGACAGACTGTAATACACTACAGGAAGTGTAGGGGGCGATATGGCTTCTATTCATAGAACTGGATTACGTCATTAAGAAGACCACGTCACCATGACGCTGTAACTCTCACTGTGCTCTGATAGATGTATAACCTGCACATCTCCAGAGTTCAGGACATTTCAGTGTGTAATATTTTATAAAAACTAATTAAAGTGGCACCAAAACTGCCAAAACTCATACACAGATATAAAGCTGAAGCTTCTCATTTGAATTTTCCGTTCCACCTTAAATGGTGCTGCAGTTACACTGAGGCGCCTTAAACGTAGAAAGAATTGTGAAGGTTGGCGAAAACAAAGCCATCAGCTTACCTTAATAAATGCATCAATGAACCTCAATAAATGTATTAATTTACCTCAATAAAAGCTCCTTAATCAACAAACCCCTCAGACTTGGAGATGTTTAACGAGCAGCTCAGCAGAGCAGCTGCTGAATGCATCTCACTGGCTGATCTAACGCCGCGTCCCAAACCACCCACTTCTGTACTTCACCTACTACACTAGTAAGTGCACTTCTAATGGGATATGTGCTTTTTTACACACTATTTAGTGAGTTAGTACACGATTTGGGACGGGGCGCCAGTAACGCAGCGGGAAATCTCAGCCGTTTAGATTTCAGCTTTAATTTTTTATCACTACAACAACAAATCAAACAAAATCAAGTCAGTACACTGGAATACATCAGTTAAAATGCGTTAAAAATAAGATTTAAAAAGCATTTTAAAAACTTGTTTTACTGCCTTTACTGGATCCATTATGGCTTTCTCTCATTACAAAGCGCCACAGCACTGCTGGGTGAACTTGATGTTGCTGTTTCTATTTAAAAGTTTGGTTCTCTAATGACGATGTCTGAGAATCTCACCCCTGATGCAGGATGGAGTTACTCCTGCTGCGGTCCTGCTCGCTCTCCGATCGCATCGTCTCTATCTGGATCAGCAGCTGCTCCTGAACACATCAAATTCAACACAGAGCTGAAGACCTGGACGGCAAACAACTCCTGAAAGCAAGTTTATTTCTCAATAAAGGCTCTGCACTACTGAGCCCCTCCGACGAAAGACCACACATCAACCTTTCCACCTCGTTGTTTTGTATTATCAGTCATTTCATTTTATTTTTTTCCAGTCTTTTGCATTAAAAAGCCAAAGTATGCTTTATTTATTTATTTGCTTTATTATATTTCAACCACAGGGCATGAAACAATTTCACAGATGATGTTATACGTACTGTGTTCCGTTGCAAGGGCTCAATTACTGACAAACACATAACTCCACTTACTTTGTCGTGGTGAGCCTCCTCGATCAGTTTCTTTGTGTGATCCAGCTCACGGATGAGGGCGTTCTAAATATAACAGCACATAAAAACGTGAGGAATGTGTGAGTAAAACGCAATTAAAGCTTTAAAGTTAAAGATTAAGTTTAACCGATCTTTAAAACAATCATGAAACAGTTAATAAATGCTTTTAGTGTGCCGGTTCTCACAGCATAAGCCAACAAATGTGGTGGACTGTTTTGTTTCAAATGCCACAAGATTGCGGGAAAGGCTGATTATGCAAGCTTGAACACCGTCAGCAGCAGCTTTGCTTATCAACAACAATAGCAGCCTCAATTCAATACACAGAACCAACCAGCTCTAAGCTAATATTTGTGACTGAATGGGGACATAAAGTATTACAAAATAGATGGTTCACATTCTAATGTCTGATTCAAAGCTATAAAATACCCAATTTACAGACACATGAATGCTCACAACAGCTGAATTATGTTTTAACGCAACAAGATATTAAAAAACTTTGTTGATTAAATGATCTTTGACTGTCTTTGCCTGGAGAAACTTACACAAAACTACATTTTACTTCAGTTGCATAACATAAAGCATCCTGCAACTCAGCTGAAACTCAGCTGCAATGATTGCAAGCATCTCTAGTTCAGTGCCATGAAGCAGCCGATCAAAACACTGATAACACACCACGCGATCAAGCCGCACATCATTCCAAGTGACTGATTTCAGCTCAGTGGACAAGAAAATAAAACAGAAGATGGTTCACTGGATGGTCAAAAGGCAGATCCTCCTAAAACCTTAGTAGATTTTCATTTGGTCAGTTTCCTGAACCGTGACAACAAACCTGCATGTGTTTCTAATGTTTCTGTACACAACTAGTTTAACTAGCCTGCTTGAACACAGACTATTCCTCTTCATCAGCCTGCTGTTCTTATGATCTACGTGGCTAGACTTTCTCTTTTTATTCACTCTCAGCACTGCATACTTTTTCACAGAGCTCAGATTCCTCTGGGAATCAAAGGATGAAAATAATTACAGAAAAGCTGCGCTCTGCAATAAACTCACAGCACTTTAACTACAAGACGAACACAATCATAACGACTACTTACACACAGAGAACGGATTAAAACTCAAATATGCACTACATGGCGGAAAGTACACCAACCAGGCATAACATTATGTCCTTGTTTCTACGCTCATTGTCCATTTTATCAGCTCCACTTACTATATAGGTGCACTTTGTAGCTCTACAGTTACAGACTGTAGTCCATCTGTTTCTCTGATACTTTGTTAGCCCCCTTTTACCCTGTTCTTCAGTGGTCAGCACCCCGAGTGGATCAGACACAGCAGTGCTGCTGGAGTTACTCTCCTCAGTGTCACTGCTGGACTGAGAATAGTCCACCAACCAAAAATAGCCAGCCAACAGCGTCCTGTGGGCAGCGTCCTGTGACCACTGATGAAGGACTAGAGCACAACACAAACTGTGCAGCAGCAGATGAGCTATCGTCTCTGACTTTACATCTACAAGGTGGACCGACAAGGTAGGAGTGTCTAATAGAGTGGACAGTGAGTGGACACAGTGTTTAAAAACTCCAGCAGCACTGCTGTGTCTGATCCACTCAGACGAGCGCAACACACACTAACACACCACCACCACGTCAGTGTTACTGCAGTGCTGAGAATGATCCACCACCCAACTAGTACCTGCTCTGTGAGGGTCCATGGGGGTCCTGACCACTGAAGAACAGGGTAAAAGGGGGCTAACAAGATGCTTATCTTGGCTGCTCATTACTTTGCGGGATTTCTCTTCATGCATGTTTCGTCCCGCTCACGCCTGCAGTGGGCTGGTTTCCCATCTGCTCCCACACACAGACCTCTGTGCAGACCTCTACTTTGTGTAACTAAAGTTGCACGGAAACTCAGTTGCATGCAACTCACATGCAACTAGTTGCATGCAGGTTTTTCCGCGCAAAGCCAGTCTAACACTTCCTGATTTACGCTTTCCGGTATGTTGGAATCTCTGTAAGGCTCTGGACGGTTTGTCATTGTTCAGGTGAGTCGCTTGGCCTTTTCTAAAAACTCTTCTAATTAATAATATAATCAGCGACGGCCCTAAAACGCAGTGTGATTGCTGCGGACTGGAGCTCCAGCAGTACCTTGTCCTCCAGGGCCGCCATCCTCTCCTTCAGGTGGAGCTGTAGCCTCTCGTTGGACTCCGACAGAAGTTTGTCCACCGTCTCAGACAGACGCTTGTTGTGCTCCTCATTCATCTTCTCCCGCTGACGGGCCTTCAAACATCAGACACACCATGTATAAGAACACATTCCTTATCACAGACCACTCAACCCCACTCACTGCTACTATTCAGTCACTCATTACTCAGGACAACAGTGGTTCTTTAAGGGTTCTTCAGTAAAGGTAATGGTTTTACGAAGAACCATGACAACTCAAAGAATCATTCATAGTTTGCGAATGGTTCTCTGTAGGGTTAAATGGTTCTTCTCGATAAAGGACCTGTTGTACACAGTTCATTAAAAAATAAAGGTTCTATATAGCACAAAAAAGGTTCCACTATTGTTACAAGTCACAGAACCCTTTTTGCTACGAATGCACCATTAAATGGTTCTAGGAAAAAAACTTAAATTGGTATTTAATTGGTATTATTATGTGCAGGTTCTTCAAATTTTGAAAAGGTTCTTCAGACTCACACATACACAAACGGTTCTTTAAAGAAACACTCCAATGAGTCAAAGGAGTTTAATATATCAGTTGTTCGTTTAATTTAGAAGATCAACTGAAAATTATTCTGTGAAATTATTCTTTTTTCTATTTTAAAGTTTTTCTTTTAAGTTATTTCTTACGACCGATATTTATTTATCTTTTGACCAAAACAGCAAAACTTTATCCTGCACAAATAAAAATTAAAAACATAAGTCAATGGCTGTCAGTGTCAAAAAATAAACAAACAAAATAAATAAATTAATTAATTAAAATTAAATAAATAAATAAATAAACTTTTAATTTATCTGTAAATCTTACTGTGTTAATGTAAATCTGGTCACTTCAATCAGAAAATGTTATTATTCATGTTACAATTTAAACACAATTAAGTAATTCAGGTTATTTTTAAGTTCAAGACGTTCAACATTAAAAAAAAGCTCCCTGAGAAAACGTCCATCCGGAGAACATAAATAAAAGCGCCATGCAACAAGAAGCAGTGCGCAGGCAGCAGCACCAAAAAAATAAATAAATAATAATTTAAAACAAAAATTATTTATAAGTTTACATGTAAATTTTACAGTGTTACTGAAAATTTGCTCACTTAAATTGGAAAATGTTACTATTAATGTTACAATTTAAACACAACTAAATAATTGAGGTTCACTTTGAATTATTCAGGTACCATTGTTTGACACCCCCCCAAGTTGGAAGCCAGTCTGTGTCATGTTTCCCTTTTGGGCTCTAAATGTCACTTTAAAACTGCGTACTAGTCTGTAATTTTGAGAGTGAAGAACATACAGACCCTCAGAGTTTAAAGGGTTAAAGGGGACGTGTGGGAAAGCAAGCAGACTCTAAATTTGTGTCTAACAAACATGAGGATGTCTGTCAGAGCTTCTGACCCCAGCGCTGTCTGACTGACAGGTGGGTTGAACTTCCTCACCCTGAGCAGCTCCTGGTTCTTCTCCTCCAGCTGAGCTTCCATCTGCCGCAGGCGCTCCTCCACATTGCCGTGTCTCTCCTCAGCCTGGAGGCACAGAAGCAGCGTAATCAGACTTAAATCACCCCCAAAAAACAAAGCATGCTTCAGTGACAGAAAAATCCGATTTACTCAGTTTCTCCTCCAGTTTCCCCAAAATGTGGTCGATCAGCCAAGACAGGTTTAACGCCTGAGGTTTGCTTCTTTACTTTTAGCTCTATTTCATTCATTCATATTCATTTATCCAGGCAACTGAGGTTTATTTAAAGGGGAATTCCAATTTTTTTCAAAATCCCAGCATAATTAACTGGTTAAGATGTAAACAGAGTGGTTCAGAGTGGTTTGGTGTGAAACGCTCTGTTCTAGAGAAACTTAGAGTCAGAACTGTTTACAGTGGTGGTGATAGGAACCAGACGTCCACCTCTAAAAGCTCCCTCCCAGAAAGTTCCTACATGAAATGGTTATGAATTCACTGCCTGATGACTGAGACACTGTTTTATGATAGTTCTGAGAAGATTTTGGCCTCAAACTCCATTCATGGTGGAGGGATACATAATATGCAGGGCGCTGTGAGGCAAAATAGTCCCCAAAGAAAACTGATTATTTCAGATTTTCCACTATTTTCCATCATCAACATTCCATATAAACTCAGAAGACTCGTGTAGGTTCACTGGTGGTTCTGGATAGTAAATAAAATGTCTATATCTGTGTTGTAGTCATGGTGACCCCTGGTTCCTATCACCACCACTGTAAAGACACCTGACCCATTTCACACCAAACCACTCTGTGTTATTTTTGTTCAAACTTTAGCCAAGAAAAAGTACTGCAAATGCACTAGACTAGTGTTTCATGTGTTCAGAGTATTCAGGTTTAAAGGATGGCAAATAAAAACAGGCCTTAAATAAGAAAAGCATCGGCCACAGGTCAATACTTCTGTACAGAAACCGAGATCAGTCATAAAATGTTACGATTGGTGAACCTCTAATTGCTGCTACTACTGTTTTTAACCATGTTAAGCACTTTTGTCTTGGCTGGTGAACTACATCCGGGGTTAGGATCAGAGAAAACTGCACATCTGATTTTTCAGTGCAGACAAACAGTTAAATAAACACAGTTCAAAACATTTAACATACAAAAAAAGCCCCCTGACGAACGTCCAGCCAGAGAACACAAATAAAAGCGTCATGCAACGAGTAGCAGCGAACAGGCAGCAGCCCAGAAACCAAAACAAGAACAAAGCTTGAGGAGAACACAGGACTGAGTGAGGCATCCTCGCTGAGCACTCAGGAATGTGTGGAACCCACAGGACGAGGGGGTGAAATTCCTTACATTTTATGAGACTAATTTTATTTAGAACGTGTGTTTAATGGATAATGATGCCGTTCTGCTCATCGATTCAGCAAAGGCGTAAATTTTGAACCATTTCTACTTCAGTACACTAGGCGGCGCTGTGTATTTTACTCTCTAGGCAGGTAAGCAGCAGAAGTCTAGCTGTTCACTCACAACAGCACAAGCCTGCGAGACAGCAGAGTTCAGCTAATGTCGGCTACTTTCCTTTATGTTCTCTTATATATACACACTGGTCAGGTGTAACATTATGACCATCTCCTTGTTTCTGCGCTCAGTGTCCATTTTATCAGCTCCACTTACTATATAGGTGCACTTTGTAGTTCTACAGTTACAGCTTATAGGAAGACACAGCAGTGCTGCAGGAGTTTTAAACACTGTGTCCACTCACTGTCCACTCTATTAGACACTCCTACCTTGTCAGTCCACCTTGTAGATGTACAGTCAGAGACGATAGCTCATCTGCTGCTGCACAGTTTGTGTTGGTCATCCTCTAGTCCTTCATCAGTGGTCACAGGACGCTGCCCACAGGACACTGCTGGCTGGATGTTTTTGGTTGGTGGACTATTCTCAGTCCAGCAGCGACACTGAGATGTTTAAAAACTCCAGCAGCACTGCTGTGTCTGATCCACTCAGACCAGCGCAACACACACTAACACACCACCACCACGTCAGTGTTACTGCAGTGCTGAGAATGATCCACCACCCAAATAGTACCTGCTCTGTGAGGGTCCATGGCGGTCCTGACCACTGAAGAACAGGGTAAAAGGGGGCTAACAAAGTATCAGAGAAACAGATGGACTACAGTCTGTAACTGTAGAACTACAAAGTGACCCTATATAGTAAGTGGAGCTGATAAAATGGACAATGAGTGCAGAAACAAGGAGGTGGTCAGAATGTTACGCCTGACCGGTGAATGTTACACCAGCTGTTTTGTATATTAGACCCGAGAAAGTCTATTCAGAGCAACAGGAAATACATTGATATGGAAAATTACACTGTGACCAGGTGGCCGTATCGCCCAGCCCTACATTTCACTTCTCTAGCCTTCATATGTTCAGAGAGGATTGTGGGAAAACTGCTCATCTCTGCTGAAGGCCCAGTCCAAAATCCAACCACAGCTCAGCCAGCTCTCCAGATGAAAACCAGACGCTGAGCACGCTGGAGCTTCCTCTAATGCTGACTGCAGAGTCAGCGGTCAGTCTGCAGAGACGCTTCAGTTCTTTCAAGACCATAAGGTAAAAGCTGTGTTCTGAAAACTGTCACACACACTTTGGAACAAACATCTCTGACTGCAGAAGCTGCACCGCCCAAAAAAATCCACCAATAAAATAACAGCACAGCAAAAAATCCACTAATACCAAGAAAGGCAGGGTGGAAATCCACCAATAGGAGAATGCACAGCTAAGATATGCTAAGAACATCACAGCTCAAAGTCTACCAACCGGAGAACATTATGGTGATAAATTCACCAATAGGAAAACAGTGCAGCTAAAAATCCAATTACAGAAAAATGATATGGCTGAAAATCCACCAATAGGAGAATGGTATGACTAAAAATCCAATAACAGAAGAACAACACGGCTAAAACCAGAAGAACAGTACAGCTAAAAATCCAAAAATAGAACAAATATGGCTAAAAAATCCAATAACAGAAGAACAGTACAGCTAAAAATCAAATAATAGAAGAATGATATGGTTAAAAATCCAATAATCCAAGAATGACATGGCTAAAAAATCCAATTATAGAAGATATGGCTAAAAATCCAATTATAGAAGAATGATATGGCTAAAATGTCCAATAAAAGGAGACTGATATGGCTAAATATCCAACAATAAAATAATGATATGGCCAAAAAATCCCATAATGAAAGAAATATATGGCTAATAATCCAACAAGAGAAGAAATATATGGCTAAAAATCCAATTAGAGAAGAAAGATATGGCAAAAAATTCTCCAACAGGAGAACAGAATGGCTAAAAATCTAAAAATGGAAGCGTGATTTGGCTAAAGAACCTCCGATAGGAGAACAGCACAGCTATAATGCACCAACAGGTAAACGACACCACTAAAAATCCACCAACAGCAGAGCAGAATGGGGTGAAGCACAACTCTCACCAACTACCCGTGAAAACAACACACTGCGTAGTTCACTATGAGTTCAACACGCTTTCTCCAAAGCCACTGAGCACCGACGGGTTAGGGACGAATCTCTGAGTCAGGGCTCAGATTAGAACCGCACATCTTCAAGAACACGGCAAGCAGAGACAACAGCTCCACACACAGCAGGGCTGGGCGACATTCGCTCCTTAAAAACCCCAGGAGATGATATTTTTACTCATATTCAAGAAAGAGACGCTCACTGACAGCCCTACGCTCTGGACTTTATTTGGCTTCTTGATGTGACGATTGAGGAGCCGCAGCAGCTCTGCACACTCAAACCCACGTTTTCTTTGTATTCGACGGTTATTTAAAGGTTGACTTTTATTTTGACAGCTCCTGCTGTCTTAACACAACTTCAGAGGCGATACTGAGACGACGATATCGTTAAATCCGCACAGACGGCCTCTCCTGCTCCGCTCAGCGCCAGTGAGCTGGCACACTTCCTGTTATGATTAGGATGCATTTTTCAGTGCTAACAAAACAGCCACAGAGGGAGGGGTGGGGGGGCAGGCAGATGATAAGGAAGACAAGATGGGTTTTTGGATTCTTTCTCTCGATCCTGAGCGTCGTGTACCTTCCTCTGAGCTTTAGCCTCCTTACTGTCCTTAGAGCCAGCGCACACTGAGCGGTCAGACTACAGGACGATATCAGACCAGCAGAGAGAGAGACAGGAGCAAACGAGAGAGAGAGAGAGAGAGAGAGAGGGAGAGAGGGAGAGAGAGAGGGAGAGAGAGAGAGAGAGAGAGAGAGAGAGAGAGAGAGGGAGGAAGAGAAAGAAAAAGAGAAAGAGAAAGAGAGAGAGAGAAACCGAGAGAGAAAGAAAGAGAGAGAGAAAGAGAGAAAGACAGAGGCCGAGAAAGAAAGAAAAACAGAGAGAGACAGGGAGAAAGAGAGAAGAAGACAGAAACAGAGGGAGAAAAGAAAGAAAGAAAATAAAGAAGAAAGGAAGAAAGACAGCAAGAGAGAGAGAAACAGAGAGAGGGAGGGGAGACAAGAGAGAAGAAAGACAGGAGAGAGAGAGAGAGAGAGACAAAAGAAAGAAAGAAAGAAAGAAACAAAGAAACAAAGAGAGCGAGAGAGGAGAAAAAGAAAGAGTGAGAAAGAAAAAGATGAGAGAAAGAAAGAAAGAAAGAAAAAAGAAAAAACAGGAATGAGAAACAAGAGTTATTCAGTTGGAGAGAGAAAGAAATGTTCAAAAATGAATTAGAGAAAAAAAGATGAAGCAAATAAAAGAAAGCAGAACAGAGTGAGAGAAGGAGCGAAAGAGAGAATCCGAAAGAAATGACTCAGAAGAAAGAGTCAAAGCAAGAAAGAGAGAGAGAAAAGAAAGAGAACGAGGGAGAGGTAGGAAAGAGAGAGAAGGAAAAAGAGAAGAATAAAGAGAGGAGAACGAGAAAAAAAAAAAAGAATCAGAAGGGAAAAAAGGACCGAAAATGAAAAACATCAAGGAGATAAGAAGATAACAGAGTCAGAGAAGAGAGAGAGAGTCAAAAGAAATGAGTCAGAAGACAGAGGAGGAGAGGAGAGAGAGAGAGAG